CAGCCGACCAAAGCGACTTAGAGAATGATACCTCTGCCTTTGAGGGCTTCGAGCCTGATGCCATTGAGCACCCAGCCCCGAGCCCGAGCTTCCATGGAAGCAACCCTGCTCAGGATGTCGCACTCGACGGGTCGTCATCCAGTTCGACGAGCTCTTCATCGACGGACACGGAGGTGGAGTCGGAACCTGGCCCGCACCTTGCTGCTCTTGAACGGCCAGTTTGGCGAGACGCTTGCCAGGTTTGGCAGCACAGGCAAAGCAGAACCGTGCATCTGCTCCCAGAGGCCGATGCAGAGTCAGGGTCCTTCGTGTGCGGGAGGGTCAAGTCGCAAGCCTACTTCCGAGCCACTGGGCATCCGATTGTAGATTCTCTGAAGTGTGTGCAGTGCGATCGTGGTAAAACCATCAGAAGCACGGCACAACTTGTGCATGTTCTTGACAAGAGGCGGCGCACTGGTTAGAGTGAGCCGGCGAGTGACTCGTGTGGACCCGTGTGAGAACCGCTCGGCGTGTGCTCCATGAGGCCCCAGATGTCACCGCTCTTGCAAACATTTTCGATGCAGCTGTGCGCTCCCTGTGGTGAGAGCCAGCAGCATCTCAACCTCGGCAATGCCGGGGGTGGCTACATTCGCTCGAGCAGTGGTTACAGGTGCTGGAACATTCTTGGGTTAGAGTGTGCTGTCTTACATTTTCGGTGTCGCTGTGCGCTCCCTGTGGTGAGAGCCAGCAGCACCCAGCCTCGGGCACACCGGGGCCCGCATTCGCTCGAGCAGTGGTTACAGGAAAACTGGAGCACTCCTGCGGGCTTATGTGTTGTCGTGCATGGCTCAGCTAGCTAAACGCTCGGCTTGCTCATCTCAAGTGTAGCTCAGTGCAGGGCCTGACGTAGACGCCTACGATCCAGCATGTCCGGTGCCTCACTCTTGGATTCGAAAGCTGCCTTCAAAAACAAGGTGTTGGAGTATGGCTTGACCAATACTGTCTTCGAGGCCATTGTAAGACGTGGAGTCGACACTCTTAGCAAGGCTGCATATGCTGTGGGGGCCCCGGGTGTTGTACCCGCCGAAGATGCCCTGCGAGCTTTTCTGAATCCAGAGTCGCCTGCCACTGTTGAGCAGGGTCAGGTTGCAATTGCTAGGCGCCTAATCTTCGAAGCACAGACACTTGCAGTAAGCCAGCTGCGTCAGCAAATCGAGGGGCCGGACGAGAAGCGACAAGACCTTCAGCCCGCCGAAAGGCGGTTCCGACTGGAGGAGCAAGCACGCCGCCTGGCCGGAATGTCGCTCCGCGGTCCGTTGGAATGCTCTTTCAGCTGCTACACACTTGTCATTCGCATGCTGGCCACTGATGAAATTACTTATCTCGCCCCTAATCGGTTCACCACTCGGGCTCATGAGGTTCAGCAATCCAAACCCCCCAAAGAAGTCATCATTGATGCATCGTCTGCCATCAAGGTGCGTGATTCTGCTGAGCTTGCTGACACGTGTCATCTCCCTGATGCACTCAGCTTGAGTCAGGCTTTGACTCGAAGGTCTCTCGCGCTTGACTTGTGTGAAGCCGCAACGTTTGCAGCCTCCGAGCGGTGGCACGCCGAGCTTCTGCGACACTTGCAGCAGGCCCCTCCCATGGAGTACAAGCAGGTGGATACCATGCAAATTCTAAGGGCTGACAGAGCAGCATGGACGTACATGGCCGAAAAGGGCACTTCCTTGAAAAAGCGTGCAGATGGGAGTTTGCCCATGGATGATCTCTTTGCAGCCCTCACCACGGCTACCGATGTCATGATGTTCCTCATGCCGCTGCCCGCGGGTGGCCAGAGCAAGCGCCCTTCCGCTTCACAGGTCATGGCGACGCCCAATGGTAGCACCGACACACCCAACCCGGCCAAAAAGAGCCGCACCAAGGCGCGCCGTGAACGCCAGAAGCAGCGTCTGCAGGAAGCCCTGGCACTTGCGTCTGCACCCCCCTCTCATGCCTTCCCGCCCAAGCCTCCTACTCCGCATGCGCACAATGCTCTGCCGCCTACGCCGCCCCCGCCCACTCCGAAAATCAAGGGCAAGGGCAAGCACAAGCATCCCACCAAAGCCTGAGAGCCAGGCCTGCCGCAGACACGCGTTGTCGACTCAGCCGAGTCCTTCTTCCAGGCCCTGCAAGAGCGTGTTCGCGGCAGGCCCCTTCAGTCTTTGCTTTTTGTGGAAGTTTTCGCGGGTTCAGCTCGCCTCTCAGGTGCTGTCCATGCGTGTGGCGTGGGCAGTGTCTTCGGCATCGATGCATGGACACCCAAGTCAGCTCCAGCGCCCGTGGTCAAATTGGACCTCGCGCTTGATGAGGATGTCAGAGTGCTCTTTTTGCTGCTTTCCAATCGGGCATTGGCTGCGGTGCATTTGGCGCCACCTGCAGCCCTCCCTGGTCGTGGCGGTCCGCCACTTCGCTCACACGCGTTTCCGGACGGCCTGCCCGACCTTTCTCCACCCAATCAAGCCAAAGTTGAGCTGTACAATCGTCTCTTTGCACTGGCATCGACCCTTTTCCTTCAGGCTTTCCAGACAGGCATTGTTGCCACTCTGGAAAACCCAGCCTCCAGCCACTTCTGGCAAAGCAGTGCTTGGCTGGATGCATCTTCGTCGATTATCCCACTGCAGTTTTCGTCTGTTCACACTTGCATGTTCGGGGCTACTTTCAAACGTCAGCTTTGCATTGCACACTTCCATGATGCCTTTCAGGCCTTGCAACTCCCATGTGATCATACTTCGTTGCACCCGGCGCATTCTGCGCCGCGGGAGTCGGTCACAACTTACCCTGCTCCCTTCTGTAGAGCGTATGCGCAGGCTTTGCAGCATGCTCTTGGTGCGGCTGGGTCTCTGCCACCTGCGCAAGCCTTACCGGGTCTTTCTGATATCCATCTACAAGCTAGGGTGGCTGCTGGCACGCAACCGCGCGGCAAACGGGTACCGCCTCTTCTGCCAGAACACAAAGCCATTTGCGTCTTGCAGGGTCCAGCGCAGTTGCTCCCTTCCGGGCCCGTGTTACAGCAGCCTTGGTTGCCTTGCGCAGGCGTTCAGTGCCAGCCGCATTATCCCCTCTTGCCTGCTAAATCACGTGTTCTCTGCGCCCTTCCTTGCGCGGGGATTGAGAAGGGCGGTTCTTCTCTTGATTCCAGTGGCACCCCGTCCTCTCTGGCCGTGGATGCTTTGTGCAAGGGTGACTTGTCTTCTGAAATGTGTGTTCAGGTACTTCAGCAAGCATTCAACACCCCCTTGGAAGCCAGGCGTGCGGGCATTCTTCAGGACGGCCGACCTGTGAAATACTTTGTTTTGGGCGCCTACAAGTGCCTGCCGAGGAAGGGTGTTACCAAACTCACAGGTGAGCACCTTAGCACAGCTGCCTTCATAAATGCCTTTATGCTGCAGCGTTTCCCGGATGCATCGTGGTCTGCCTTCGTCGTCACTCACAACGAGCCCTCGGCACTGCACGTGGACTCGGCAAATGTGCCAGGAACCATGAACTTTGCGATCGGCTTAGGAAGTTACTCCGGAGGCGAACTCTTTGTGGAATCATAACAAACATTTCGCTTAGGAGTGTGTTGCCCTATAATCCTGTAGATGAGCTGTTTACCACATGATTTTGTATAGTATGGAACAAATGTTCCACTGTGGTGTTTAGGCTCAAGGGACGCACCCAAGACAGCCGTGCGCCTGAGGAAAAGTGAAGTGCGAATATCTGTGTGAAGTGAAAGGGTCCGGAACGTACCCGTAAAGCGTTTTATGGTAGCGGAGCTGAAGGCCAGGACCTTCGGCTGAAGAAGAGCCCAATACAAGGAGAAAAGAGCCTTGGGCCCCAGTGTCACGGAAAGTGAAAGAAAGGAAAGTTGAATGGCCACGCCAAGTCCAGCTGGAGACGCGGATTTGCCTGTGTCCCCTGGTCACGGTGGTCAAGGAGGAGATACACCAAGTGATACGCCAATGGCGATGCCTGCACCAGATGGAGTTGCAGGAGGATCCCTTCAGGCCCTGATAGGGAACCTGTCGGCAGCAGCGCAAGCTTTGGCAAGTGCTGCAGGTACAGGAAGTACCAGAAGTTACGACTCTGCAGCTAAGCTGGTGAAGAGTCCGGATGTGTTCGCTCCAAAGAATTTGGAGGAGGAAGTTTCACAGTGGCCAGATTGGAGTTTCAGTTTCAAAGTGTTTGTGGGATTCATTGATCCCACTTATGCAGAAGAGTTGAAGAAAGTGGAGCTGGCACCACCAAATCCAGCAGATTATACAGTTGGTGAAAGAGAGCGAAGTACAAAGCTGTATGCGATTTTGGCCTCGTATCTTAGGAACAGGCCATTGAAGTTATTGAAGTCAGAAGGAAGTCCAGATGGATATTCTGTCTGGAGGAGACTGTTTGAAGAGTTGGAGCCGTCAAGCCGAACAAGAGGGCTGGCAATGGCTCAAGCTCTAGTGAGCTTTCCCCAGATGACGAAGGGGACTTCTATCTTAGACTATCTGCTTACCTACGAAAAACTGGTGGCAGAATACGAAAAACTGTCCGAAGGAAAACCCTACGATGAGAATTTGAAAATCGGAACAGTACTCAAAGGTTTGCCAAATGAGTTGAGGAAGCATATCCTGATAGGATTGACCCCTACGACGAAGTACGCAGACATCAGGAAGAAGTTGCTTGAGTATGAAAGAAGTACCCAATCGTGGAATGCGGAGAACATTTTGCAGTCTTTCAACATGGAAAGCGCAACGAAGAGTACACCCTACAATGGACCACAACCAATGGATATTGATCGAGTGAAAGGAAAAGGAAAAGACAAAGGAAAAGGAAAAGGTCACGACAACAAAGGAAAAGGAGGAAAAGGGTACAACAACAAAGGAAAAGGAAAAGGAAAAGGATACGACAACAAAGGAAAAGGAAAAGGAAAAGGATACGACAACAAAGGAAAAGGAAAAGGTGGTTATAGAAATGCACGAGCAGTGGACGCTGGTGGCTACGGGAAAGGAAAGTTCATAGGAGAGTGCCACATATGCGGAAAGACAGGACACAAAGCAGCTGATTGCTGGCAGAATCAAGGAAAAGGGAAAGGAGGTAAAGGCAAAGTGAGACAGGTAGAAGAGGAAGGAACCCATCAAGGAGATCACGAGAAGAGTTCCTCTAGCAATGCCCCTCCTACGAAGAATGAGACTGGTCAAGTGAGGCAGATCACAGCTGAAGCAGCGCGCCAAGCAAGAAGAGTAGAGATGACACAAGAGTGGAACGATGAGGATGAAGAGCTCAACTTTGTGAGATTGTGTCAAGAGTTTGAAGGTTTGGTTCAAGGAGAGCTGAGAAGAGTTGAGGAGTTTGATATCTCTTCGAGCGATGAAGTGGAAGAGATCGAGGAAGAACCTACTGATGGTTTGATGGAGTGGTACCAAGGATGGTGGTTCTTGGAAACAGAAGTTGAAAGAAGTGTGAGAATGGTTTCTGAAGGAGATGATGTGAGAAGAGCAGCAAGAGAAGTGGATGCATGTGAGGTAGTGCTCGACAGTGGAGCTGACTGCCATGTGTTGCCTATGGATTGGGCAGAAGAAGTTGGAGAAACTTCGAACTTTGAGTATCATCTGAAAGATGCGCAAGGGAAAGTGATCCCAACGCTGCCTGTGAGGCAGAATGTGACGTTTGTTTTCACGAAGGAGTCTGGAAAGAAGTTGAAGATCACTGACAGTGCTGTTTGCGGCAATGTCACCCAACCTTTGTTTGCGGTAGGAAAGATGTGGAAGCTAGGTTGGGGTACGGTGAATGAAGATGGAAGATTGTGGTTGAAGAAAGGAAGTGTTCGGATACCGATATACTTCAAAAGGAATTCCTCAATGGCGAGGATGTGCATACGGAGACTTGAAGGAGAAGAGATGACGGTGCAGCCTGTGAGGCTGGAGCGAGAACTGAAGAATGAGTTGAAGAGCAAAGAAGATGAAGATGGTTGGTTTGTGCTAAATGACGGCACGCCTGCAAGGTTTGATTGGTTTATGGGGAAGACGTTTGACCCAACGGGTCAGTTCCCTAATAGACTCTATGAGGGAGCAGGAGATGAAGGCGATTATTTTCCTTATAGGACAACCTTGCTAGGAAAGATGAAAAGAAGTGGAGAAAGAGTGTTGAATGAAGTGGATTGGAAGAGTATGGATTTCTTTGAGTGTACGGAGATCTGGAAGGATCGCGAAAGAGTGCAACTTGGGGCGAGTCCTCAAGCGAGGTTTGAGGTGATGGTCACCTTGTTGGAAAAAGGATTGAAGGAACCGAGCGACTATGGGTTGCTCACGAATTTGGAAGAGCTTGAAAGAGAACTGGCACAAGAAGGAGTGCCAATGGAGGTCACAGGTACCTCCTCAAGTTCAAAAGACAAAAAGGAAAGTGAAAAAGAGGAACCGAAGAGAGGAGTTCCAGTTATTGGAGAAGATGAGGAAGAAGTGATGGTGATTGGACCAATGAAGTTGACACGCCAGAGTGAGTTGAAGGAGATGAAAGCGGCGTGCAAGTATCTGCATATCTCGAAGAATGGATCGAAAGAGATTTTGTGGAAAAGATTGAAGAAAGAGGTTGCGCTGAGCAAAGTGAAAGCGCAAGCCCAAATCTCTGAGGATATCAGAAAGGAGTTTGAGAGAGAACCAATTCCAGAGGCTCTGCCTGCTTTGCCGAGCCCGGAAGAGATTGAAGCGCATGAGTTGACGCATTTGCCGAGAGCGCCCTGGTGTGAAGCATGCCAGGCAGCAAAGAGCAGAGAAGACAACTTTGAAGAGACGAAAGAGAAAGCGCAACGGCCCGTGTTTAGCTTGGACTTTATGTTCACAGGAACACAAGGAGATGAAAAGGAGAGAGATCCGCTTGCTATTCAGCTTGCGGGTGTTGACAACGACACGAAGTTCCTGATAGCTATTGCGGTGCCAACGAAAGGAGGAGATGCGGTGATAAACCACGCAGTGAGTGAAGTGGTAAGAGTGTTAGCCCTTTTGGGTTACGCTGAAGTGGTGATTAGAACGGATACCGAGCCAGTGATGATTGCCATCAGGAGAGGAGTTCAAGTGGCAAGAACAAGACAAGGTTTGAAGACGGAGTTGCAAGATGCCACGCCTGATGAGCATCAAGGGTTGCCTGTGGAAAGGTATATCCAAACTGTGAGGAACCTTGCAAAGACGTTGTTGGCGACGGTTGAGCAACGAAGTGGAACGGCCATCGGATCTGATGTCCCGCTTTATAGCTGGGCGTACAGACATGCAGCATGGCTGCACAACAGGTTTCATGTTGGAAGAGATGGCAGAACTGCGTTTGAAGCGACAGTGGACCGAACGTACAAAGGGAAGTTGGCCCCGTTCGGGTCAGCAGTGTTTGGAAAAGCAGTGCCAAAGACCAAGGAGAAAGGAGAACCTTGGGAGAAAGGAGTCTTTCTTGGAAAGGACTACGCGAGCAATCTGAACTTGATTGGCACAGGTAGAGGAGTGATCAAAGCGAGAACAATGAGAAGATGTGCTGAGGCATATCAGCCGGAGCTTTTGCAACTTTCGGTTGGAGCTCCATGGGATCATCAGCTGAAGGCTTTGAGGTTTAAGAAGAAGAGAATTGTGCCTATTGATGATGGGCCAGTACTGCCGAGATTGGCGGTGGAAGCTGACAAAAGAGTAGAAGAAGAAAAGAGAAGCGAGCCTTCGCCGCCGAGCGACCGCCAAGGAAGCTCAAGTTCTTCTAGCAAGAGTTCGTCGCTATCTGGAGCAACACCAGAAGCAATGGACGATGAGAGCGATGACGATGACGATGATCCAGGAGAGGTGAGAACAAAGAGAAAAGCAGAAGATGAATTGGTGCCCGATGAAATGACATTGGAAGAGTTTCAAAGAGAAGTTGCAAAGAGGAATGCAGAAGACGAAGGAGAAGGGTCACCAAAGAAAGAACCAAGAGTAGACGAAGGAACTGGAGAGGTAGAAGAAAGAGTTGAAAAAGTGCCGAGACTTGGAGACGAAGCACGAGGAAGCGCGGCACGAGTGGAATACCACATTCGGAGATTCGCCAAGAGCGAAGATCCCGAAGAGCATGGAGATGAGTATGTTGATCTCGACGAGACACAGTTGTTTCTGGAAGAAAGTCGAGAGTTCCAGAGCAAGTGGAACGAGAAAGTGTGTGAGACAGAAGAGGACCTAACGGTTACTTGGTCTCACGAGTATGATGATGGGCCACCAAAGTTGGAAGATGAAGATTTGGCAAAGGTGGACCTGAAAGCAGAGAGAACAGAAATCGAGAGACTATTGGAGATGAAAGTTCTCAAAGAAGTGGAACTGGATGAGAATGGAGAGTTAAAGAAAGGACCGAATGGAGAAGAACCAAAGAGACTCAGTACAAAGTACGTGTTGGATTGGAGGCATAGGGACCTCCAATGGAAGAGGAGAGCCCGCCTAGTGGCGCGGGAGTACAAGTGGCTGACGGACTACGATCTCTCAGCGCTATACTCACCAACGAGTATTGGTTCGAGCATCAAGCTGTTATCAGCTTTGTGTGCGAGTTCAAGAGACTACGAGATGATCTCGATAGACATTTCGGACGCGTACCTTCAGGTGCCACAGAAGGAGTACACGGTTGTGAGTTTAGGAGGAAAGTGGTACCAGCTGCAGTACACCCTGCCGGGACAACGAACAGGAAGCAGTGATTGGTTTGAGCACTTACGAGAAATCCTGGAGAAAGAGAAGATGGTTTCCGATGTGGGGTTACCAAGTTTCTTCTACAAGTTTTCAGAGACCCCAGGAGAAGGTGGAACGCTGATGAGTACACATGTGGATGATTTGGAAGTGTTTGGAAAACCAAAGGAGAACCAAGCGGTGGTTGATCTGCTGCTAAAGCACAAGTTGAAGATAAAGCTGGAAGGACCAGTGAAGGTTGGAGAAGGAAAGTGTACTTTCTTGAAGAGGACGTTCTTAGGAACGAAAGAAGGAATTGAGATCAGGATGGACGGCAAGTATCTTGAGAAGTTGGAAGAGATTTTAGGTTTGGGAAAAGCCCTGCCGAAGAAGTTGCCGTTTCCAATGGATTACGGAAGATCGTTGAAGGACGATACGCCCTTGGATGCAGATGAACATCATCTGTATAGATCCTGTGTAGGAATCCTATTGTATATGACACCGGAGAGACCTGATTTGGGATTCGCTACGAAGTGGTTGTCTGGGAAGTTGGCAGCGCCAACGCGAGGAGACTTAGCAGTGCTTAGGCACGTGGCAAAGTATGTAAAAGCGACAGCCCACTACGTGATAGAACACAAAGAGGCATATCCTGGAAAGAGTTTTCTAGATCCAAGTGATAAGAGAACTGAGAATGCCTACAAAGATGTTTTTACGGCAAAGAGTTTGATCGAGGTAGTGACCGACGCCGACTGGGCGACCGATCGTGAGAATAGGCAGTCAACGAGCTGCGTGTTGATTTTCGTGAACAGTAACATCGTTTACTTTCACGCGAGAAAGCAAAAAGCGACGGCTTTGAGCAGCTGCGAAAGCGAACTGGTGGCAGCTGTTGGAGGTTTAAGTGAAGGAGTTTTTCTACAGAACCTGCTGCACAGAGTTCTAGGGATTAGGCCGGAGATGGTGATTAGGATGGATTCTAGCAGTGCTAGGTCTATTCTCATGAAGAAAGGCCTAGGAAGAACGAGGCACATTGATGCAGGACTGCTTTGGGTTCAAAGGCTTACTTCTGTAGGTCTTCAAGTGAAAGCGATAGCTGGGAAGGAGAACCCTGCAGATGTAGGAACAAAAGCTTTGTCGAGGAACGCTGTTGTGAAGTGTTTGGAGAGAATTGGTGTGAAAACTGGGGAAGAAAGTGAAGAGGTCAGGATAGCAAGTGACTTCAAGATCCCTACGAAGTATCTGAGAAGACTTGTGATGATGATGATGGTTCAGCAGTGTGATGGACTAAGAGATCAAAGCAGTAGAAGCAGTGAAGGTGGAAACCTTGGTTTGGTGATGATGGTGATGATGATGACACTGGTTGTTATCATGGCTTGCAACGGTAGCTTGTGGAAGAGTCTGGTTGGAAGTGTTGAATGCATGTTTTATTCCGCCGCTGCCGTTTTTGACTCAAGGAAGGAAGTGAAAAGAGAGAAAGTGAAAAGAAAAGAAGTGAGGAGAAAAGAAATAGAAGAAAAAGAAGAAGTGAAAAAGATGGCCGACGACGCGGCCCTCAAGACAATGATCAGTGACGAATGCCGCAGCATAGAGTCCGTAACCCTATGCGAAAGAGAGCTCAAAAAGGAGCGAGAGAGGAGATTAACCCTGGATGCCCTATGGCCCGAAGTGCAACGCCTCAACCAAAAGTATGAGCCTAAAGAGGCGGCCCCGTCAGAAGCTGCAAAGACGGAGGTTAAAGTGCCTGAAGAGTTCAAGAAAACAGCCGAGGAATTGGCTGGAGAGGCACAGGGAAGCAAAGGAAGTGCCGAAGGAAGCCAGGCACAGATTATGGAAGATAGAGTGAGCGAGCTGAGGCAGAAGGCCTTGGATGCTTCCGAGAGGCGAAGGGGCCAGAAGGAAAGGGCAAATGAAGCCGCAGAGAAGGCGAAGGAAACAAAAGAAGAAGAAGAGAAAAAGAAAGAGAAAGAAGAGGAGGAGCAAGAAGCCTCCGAAAGCGAGGAGAAAGTGAGTTCGGAGAAAGAGGAGGAAGAGCAAAGCTCCGAAAAAGAGGAAGAGAAAAAGAAAGGAGAAAAGAGAAAGAAAGAGTCTGAGTCCAGTGATGATGAATACAAGGAGATCATGGACAAAATGGCAAAGAAGTCAGTTCTGGAGGAGGAGAAGAGAGTGCAGGACCTGCTTGGGCAGATGCGAGCTCTGCAGGAGAAAGTGGACGAAAAGCGAAAGAAATTCACGATTTATTCGGACTTGTATACTTACAAGCAAAAACAGAAGAAGATCAAAGAGGAAGAGAGAGATAAGTTGATCGCAAAAGAGATAGAGGTGAAGGAAGAGCTGAAGCGGGTAGCGGACGAAGCGTTTGTTGCCAAAGAGTCCATAGAGAAACAACTGGACAAGCTGAGAGCCGAAGAGGAGGAACAGGAAAATGAGGCTACATTGATAATGGATGCCGAGTCCGCCCTGCAGAAAGAGATGGACCAATTGAGGCCGAAACTTCAGACTGCACTGGAGGAGTTGAAGGCAAAAAGGAAGGAACTGCAGGTTCCAGCGGGTGGACTGCTTCAGGGCGAAGCTGAGCAAAAGCTGAAAGAGATGGAGAGCCAGAGGATCAAAGAGATTAAAGAGCTCCAAGAAACGAAAGAAAAGGAGATCAAGGAGGAGATAGACAAAAAGGATAAAGAGATCAAGGAGCTAAAAGAGTCAAAGGACAAAGAGATTGGAGAATTGAATGAAGAATTGAGAAAGCTGAAAAAGCGCAAAAGCAGTGCTGGGTCGACGCAAGGCCCATCGAATGAGGATGCAGAGAAGATGAAAGAGGAGCGCAAGAAAATGCGCGAGACTATCAAGGAGCTTGGAAAGAACAACAAGGCCCTCGAAGATGAGCTCCAGGTGTTTAAAGAGGAAAGCCGGATCAACGAAGATCCTGATGCGCAAAGCCAGCCAATGGTTTGCGCAGTATGTTCTCGTTTCGGACATGGTTCCGAAACGTGTTGGGATGCCGATTACAATTATACTGCCTCAGGGCAGTATGCCCCAAAGATGCAAAGGGAAGAAATGAGTAAGGAACAGTTCCAATCCTGGTACAAGAAGAACGAATTGATAATTCGAAGAGCATACGCGAACAGGTTGGAGACAAACAAGAAAAAGTACCGCACAGACAACTCGGAGAAGGGCAAAGGAAAGAAAGCCCAGCAAAAGAGCGGCTAAAGGAGAAAAGGAAAAGAGAAGAAAGAAAGACCAAACCGGAGGTCTGTAAAGAAAAAGGGAATCTGAAGGCTGAAAAGCCAGAGGGGGAACTTCGTTCCCAAATGAGGAAAGAGTTTTCTGAAAGTTGTACGACAACTGCACCACGAGAAGCCGAAGAGTTTCTTCACGAGGAGAGAGTTTAAAGAGTTTGAAGAGTTTGTGGCTTTTGGGCCACCACGAGTTCTTTTGAGGCTGAAAGGCCAAAGAAGTGAACGAGTTTGAGAGCGGCCAGTAGGAGTAGCTCTGTTTCACTCGTCTCACACCACGACAAAAAGCGAGTGCACAACGAGTGTTTCAAAAGGAGGAAAGTGCGACTGTTTTGGGTTCGTTGCACCTCTAGGAAAGAAATGGCAAAAGAGGATGCACGAAGAGGGGGTAACAAACATTTCGCTTAGGAGTGTGTTGCCCTATAATCCTGTAGATGAGCTGTTTACCACATGATTTTGTATAGTATGGAACAAATGTTCCACTGTGGTGTTTAGGCTCAAGGGACGCACCCAAGACAGCCGTGCGCCTGAGGAAAAGTGAAGTGCGAATATCTGTGTGAAGTGAAAGGGTCCGGAACGTACCCGTAAAGCGTTTTAAATCAGAAGGCGGGGCCCATGCCTTTGAGGACCCGTGCACGGGCGAATGGCTGTGGGGAGACTGTCTAGCTCTCAACTTAGGACCGTGCCGGTTCGATGGTCGTGCAAGGCATGCTACCCTGCCGTGGGTCGGCGACAGGTGGTCGATCATTGCTTATTCGGCGGTTGTGCAAAATGATCTCTCCCCAACGCAGGAGCAAACGTTGTGGTCCTGCGGGTTTCCATTGCCTTGGACCTCTGCCTTTTCGAAAGTGCCGTCTGCTCCTAGCAATGCCCCTCAAGTTCGCATGACCATTGGCATACCCTGGGACCCATGTGACTTCGCCAAGGAGGCAGCGAAGAGGGGGCATCCACGCCACCTATTTGATGGAATTCCGCCTGTGCTCAAAACTGCGATCGACGCAACTGTCGAGCAGTCAGAAGTGGGCCTAGCACAACACCGCACCGAGGTCCTTAGGCGATGGATGCTTCGAGCGCAGGAGATCGCTCCGCAGGAAAGGGCTCTCCATGATGGAATGCCGAAACACCTTAAGGCCGTCCTCAAGGGTAAGCGGCTTTTGGTCTTCGGCGAGATGCTCGTCGCATGTGGCTATGGCGACTCTTCAATTGCGTCCGAAATTGGGAAGGGCTTCGACTTGACAGGTCCGATTCCTGCGTCGGATGGGCTCTTCAAACCCGTTGTGGAGCCGGCGTCAATGACCAAGGAGTGTTTGCGCGCCGCTGCCAGCGCAGTCCGTGCAGGCATTCTTCGCGCCACCGAGCGTGTGTGCTCGTCCGAGCTCGCGCAGGAGGTTCACGACATTACCAAGGAAGAGGTAGACCGCGGGTGGCTCGAAGGGCCCGTGCCACTTGAGCAACTGAGCGAGACTTGTTCCTTGAGCAGACGGTTCGGAGTTGAGCAGCGGTCCGGTGGGAAGCGCAAAGTCAGGCCCATCGACAACCTGTCGGAATCCTTTATCAACTCGACCGTTTCCCGCACCGAGTCGATTCAACCTCACGGCTTGGATGTGGTTTGTGCGGGCATCGCTTACAGACTCAGGGTCCGTGAGAGGTTCGGCCGCGCCAGCGTGCCAAAACTTAAAATCATAGACCTGCATAAAGCTTATAAGCAACTCGGCATTTCCCTTGACGCCATACAGGATGCTTTCTTGTGTGTGCCGAACCCGGAGACGGGCAAACCATCCATCTACGCCTGCCATGTGCTGCCCTTCGGATCATCCGCTTCTGTCGCGGCATTTTGCCGCAGCACGATGGGATTGTGGCACTTAGGGTGTGCTCTGTTGTTGATCCACTGGACGGTGTTTTACGACGACTTTATCGTCCTCAACGAGGCGTCGTCCACGAAACACCTTGACTTGGTTCTCAATTGCTTTTGGGACTTGCTTGGATGGACCGTGGCACGGGACAAAGAATCCGATTTTGATTACTTTGCGAGAGCTCTTGGTGTCAAAATTTGCTTTCAGTCCGAGAGAGTCTTCGTGGTGGAGAACACCCCCGAGCGAAAGGCCGAACTTGACGAGACCATCACGCGCTTACTCAGTCTCGAGTGGGTGGAGCAACATGAACTCACATCGCTGAGAGGGAGGTTGCAGTTCGTTGAGGGTCAGATCCATGGGCGACGAAGCGGCAGGTTCATGCAGCTTTTGTCGCGGCGCGCAGATTTCATCGGGGGGTCCGCCATGGATTCCGACTTGCAAGCAGCCCTCACTTTCCTTAAGGATAGGGTTGTAGGTGCTCCCCCTAGGGTAATATCCGCAAGACGTGAGAACGCTTGGTTCATCTTCACTGATGCGGCCTACAATGATGGCCAGGCGAACAGTTGTGGGTTAGGAGGGGTACTAGTTGCACCCGATGGGAAGCCCATTAGGTTCTTCAGCTGCTTGTTTAACGACGATGCACTTGAGGGCCTCAGGTTTGGTGATGTTCAGAGCCCCATCTACTTTCTTGAAGGCTTGGCAGTAGTGGTCGCGTTGCACGTGTGGAACAGCCTTGTGCAAGGCTCTGAGGCCGTTTGCTTCGTTGATAATGAAGCGGCCAAGTCTGCGTTCATTGCTGGCAAATCTCCTTGCGTTCACTTCTCAGCCCTGTCGGAATGGTTGAGTGATTGGGAGGAACGTGCCTCCTCGTTCCCATGGTTCGAAAGGGTGAGCAGTGCTGCGAACATTGCTGATGGCCCCTCGCGTGATGATTGCAGTCACTTGGCGGGTGTCCGTCGCGATGAGATTGATTTGCAGTCCATCATTCTCGCTTTGCAGTGCTTCTTGCCAGAGCTCTCAGTCGGCGGTGGGTGATGAGGTGAGCTCTGTTTGTTGTGTGACGACGAGGTGTGCGACCCTTGTTGTTTCACGATGCAGAGCCCCTCATCGTGTACTGCCTTTGTGTTTGTGCATGCACCGCTGACGTGCTCTGAAGTCCCCGCGCTCTAGAGTAAAATGAAGCAAGGGTTGTGCGAGTGACTGCAACTTCATATGCAATATATTTCGGATTCAATTTCACATATTCGCATTTTCCCCTTTTGTGGGAATATCTGTTGGAATGATTGTTGGAGAAATAAGTGCTATCTCCAGCTTGCCTGGCGAACACCTTATTTCGCCACATCATTTCACGCGCGCACGTACATTTCTCATGTCGGGCGCGCAGACAGATTTTCTCACATTGTCCTTGCATTGGTGTCTCACGCTTTTCACGCATGTTTTATTTTCTGTTGGTTGCAAAATTTTGTGATGTGCAGCAGCTACTCTCTCAAGGAGGGAGTGGCGGCAAAATTTTGCCCCGCCCACCCACCCGGGGGGTGATGAGGTGAGCTCTGTTTGTTGTGTGACGACGAGGTGTGCGACCCTTGTTGTTTCACGATGCAGAGCCCCTCATCGTGTACTGCCTTTGTGTTTGTGCATGCACCGCTGACGTGCTCTGAAGTCCCCGCGCTCTAGAGTAAAATGAAGCAAGGGTTGTGCGAGTGACTGCAACTTCATATGCAATATATTTCGGATTCAATTTCACATATTCGCATTTTCCCCTTTTGTGGGAATATCTGTTGGAATGATTGTTGGAGAAATAAGTGTGTTTGATTGCGTTTTGTATCATTACTTCTTATTCTCTTCTCATTTATTTTCTTCGCAAAAACCCATTAAGTGATTTCGTGTGGTTTCTTCTTCTTTTGTTTGAGCTTGCGTTTGAGTTTGTGGTTTCTGTCATTGTAGTATGCTCTCAGTTCATTTTTTCGCCAAAACCCACCACAAAGCGATTCTGTGTGGCTTCTTTTCCTTTTGTTTGGTGATTGTTGGTGTTCGAAACCCGTTCGAACTTTGGGAGGGAGGGAGTCTAGAACCCGGGGTTGGGCGGTTCATTTGTTCGCGGTTTTAGCATTCTCGTAGGAGACTTCATGCCCCTTCTGAAGCCCCCTTGAGAAGAAAGACCTCATTGACAATCTTTTTCTTTGTTTGGTCTTCGCAAAAACCGCCCATAAAGCGGTTTCGTGTGGCTTCTTCTTCTTCTTTTGTGGCAGGGACTGGTCATTGGCAGTCTTTTTCTTTGTTATCGGCAAGCTTCTAAAAACAGTGGGGGGGTTGGGGGGGGCGCAGCCCCCCTCAAACGTGGAGTTCCCGAACCCGGGTTCGAACGCCCGCGGGGGGGGGGGGGGGAATTCCAGAACCCGAGGTTCCAACATAGAGTTTCCCAAACCCCGGGTTCCAACGTAGAGTTCCCGAACCCAGGGTTCGAACTCCCTGGGGGACCGGGGGGGGGTTCCGGAACCCGGGGTTCCAGTATAGAGTTCCCCAAACCCCAGGTTCGAACATAGAGTTCCGAACCCAGGGTTCGAACATAGAGTTCCCGAACCCCGGGTTCGAACATAGAGTTCCCGAACCCAGGATTTGAACATAGAGTTCAAACTCCAGGTTCAACCTGGGTTCGAGAAGTTCGAACCCAGGGTTCAACCCTGAGTTCCGGAGTTATATGTTCTCCCCCCCCCCGGGCCCCCCAGGAGTTCGAACTCTGGATTCCGGAACACTCCAAAAACCTATGCTCGGGGTCGGGTCGCACACAGGCACCTTGCAAAACCTCCCTCCCTGTTTTTCTGAAACTGCGGCCTCATGTTGTAGCGCATGCATGTTGCGGGTCCTGTGCCCGGGCACACCAGACCTGTCATGCATCACAGCCATGTGACTCTGCCGTGTTTAGTTTCTGGTCAATCTCACCGAAGTCTGCTTTTCTCTAACTTTTTTTTTGGCGTGGACGGGCCTCGTAGACAGCAAGACAGTAGCTGGCTGCTGCCTTCGCCGCTTTAACTGGGGTTTTGCGGCTCGAATATTTGTCCGTCGCCGCACTAGAACTGCGGGCTTCTCATGCCACCGTGGCGGCCGCGGCAGACCATTATTACTGACTGGCTGGCAGAATCTGGAGCCAGAAAGTCCAGCAATTCTGGCTTCGAATGAGCCGTCCATGATCCGGATTACGCATTCTGCCCCCAGGTGGATGCCGAGCTGTGCGGCTCCAGTCCTGCAGGCATGGTTTGCGGCGATTGTGTGTCATGGAGATCATGCGGCCTGTCTCACCCTGTTATGCGCAGTCTTCTCTTTTGCAGTTGTTTTTGTGATTGGCATTATTGCAGTTCTTACTGGGACCGAGTGCAGCAACTGCTGTCTTCAAGGCCCGCCCACGCCAAAAAAAAGTGTCGTGGAGATCGTACGGAGTCGTGCCCATTTGCGCCCCACCTCCGTTCGGTGCTCGACTGAACCAGTCTTGGACTTTGGCCAAGGGTTTTGGTGTACTGGACTCGCAAAAGCAGGCACGAGGGACATCCATTGTGCGGAACTGGCGGCGGAGCCTTGCGTTTCTACTCGTTGCCTTGGGTGGCTTCGGTGCCGACCCACTGTCAGCTTGCTGAGTGGCTGAGCGTGGCTGCTGAGTCCGCACGCTGCACCTGATACGCAGCCATGTTCGCCATTACATCGTTTTTTCACCGCTGTTTTTCTTGTGTTTTGTGTTTGTTCAACGGTAGTTTACTGGGATCGAGTGCTGCTGTCGTGGCCGACGAGGCTCGCTGACGCCAGAAACAATCACCGGATCGCTTTTTCTGCTTGCGGGGTCCCATCTGAATGCCACTGGGTCCCATTTTTCCTACATACAGTTGAAGAAGTCCCTCCTTATCTGGTTGTCACCAAGCCACTTTGTTGCTGGATTGGATCCCATCCGGGTCCCACGGAGTCCCACCGGAGTCCCAAGAGGGACTTGGGTTTTAAAAGTTTTTTTTGGACGAAGGGAGACCCGTGTTTCACGGTTTTTTGCATGAAGCTGCTTTTAGTGTTGTATTCCACGTCATGTTCCAAACGGTGTCGACACTTCTTCAGTGAATACTCTTGACCAGTTGCTGAGTCAAACCGTAGTAAGGTCGGGAACTGAACGCTACAGCCGACAAAGTCTGCTCGCCGCAGTTCTTTCTCGCCCACTGCGTACCTGTGCTCCCACCGCTGTCTTGTTTCGTGTTAAACATCTTGCCAGGAACAGTAACACCGCTAATGCAGTGTAGCTAATGTAAAGGAACAGCCGTCACGCACACGCGACGTGAAGGCTCGAGACCCCGGACACACGTGCCCAGGAAAGCAAAAGTGTCCGACAGTCTGTGAGGGTAGGAACCCTTAGTGAAGCCCGTTCTTTAACATGGTAGCGGAGCTGCCTCCAGGAACCTCCTTGGCAGCGATGATGCTACTTGTAGCAATAGGAACAATGATGCTCGTCGCCATGGCAGTTTGCCTCGTTGCTGGATGGAAGCAGATGCGCGCAAATGAGCAAGTGACCAAGAAGACAGAGACAGTGCTGACTATGCCCACGCTCAGGATCGCAGTCCGTTCAGGAACCAAGTACCACCGCAGAGGTTGTGGACACCTTCGGAACCACAACGTGACAGCAGGAAACGCTCGAGACTTCGACGCGTGCTCAGACTGCTACCCCGACAGAGTGCTGGTGGAACAGAAGGAGTACAGGAACGTGAAGTGTTACGGTCTGGCAGCATGCATTGTGCTGCTGGTTGGTTTCGCCCTGGGATGCCTCGCAACGTTGTGCGGGATGACCTTGAGCCCAGGAACAAGAAGTTTGGTTGTGACACCGTGGCAGGCCCTTGGCAACAGCGAGAAGGTCAAGGAAGAACTTGCCCTTGGAGATGGCGTATCCTCCAGGGATGCGAGCCGTGGGAGAAAGGAACTTACGTACGTGGAGAGCGACGAGAGCGAGCTCATGGCCGTGTGGGCGAGCAGAACAAGGAAGCCCAATACGCACCGGAACCGCTACAGGAACTACGACGTGTACGGCGAGTACTACCAGGAAGGCTACAACGAGTGCAGCGTGAACCTTGACGGCACCAACGTGAACACGATCAGGAACACGAACGCGTACACGATCAAGGACTACGTGGAGATAGAAAAAGTCATGGTACCGTACGCTTTGCTGTGTGCGAACCAAGTGCTGAACGAGCTCTACAGCGTCGTTGGCGTGACCGGCGAGTACTACACGGAAGAGCACAGGAACGGCGACCAGAACACCGAGAACCAGGAGAGTGAGAGCCTTGAGTCAGGCTACGCCCCTAGGTACCTAGTAAAACAACAGCGAGTAGTACTGAGAAAGCTTGTACAGGAACATGTTCAGAGTTTCGTAGAAAAGCTAGCAACTGCAGGAAAGAAGTTTCACGACGTCGTGCATGTGATAGTTCAGGAAGTCATTTCCAACAGAGTTGTATTTCAAGGAATTCGCATAGCAGTGTTCTTAGGAACCCCAATGGGACTGATTACTTGGATCACCCTGTCGTACTATTCTAGTTTGTTTTTCACAAGAGCAAGCAGAAGCTCAAAGCCCCAAAGGAAAACAAGAGGAGAAAGGAGAGCACAAGCAGTGAACAGGAAGCAGTGCAAGTCACTACTTTTAGCAGCACTAGTGTACAGCAACCTTGAAGCAGCAAAAGGAATGGAGGATGCATTGAAGACGCTTGCAGAGATCAATGCACAGACCTTACAAGGAATACAGACACTAGCAGAGGAGATCAGGAACTCAGCAGCTTCAGGAAGCCAAAGAGAAGCAGGACTTACACAAGCGTTTCAGGAAACACTTACAGCAGTGCAGGAACAGCAAAAGGCAGCACAGATAGCGTTAGCAGACGCTCACACGAACGCAGCAACCACACTTGAGGAGATAGGAGCATCTCTGGAGAAAGCAGTAAAGGAACAAAGAAAGCCTGGAGAAGTGGAGTTGCGCAAGTTGATCAAAAGCCCTGAAGCGTTTTCCCCAGGAACATGAAAGGAAGAGAAGAGTGGCTGGACAGAGTTCAGGAACAGGATGCGGATCTGGCTTGGAGCAGTGGATTCCAATATGGTGAAGATCATGGACATCGTCGAAAGGAACTTGAAAGACGATAAGATGATCTGATAAAGATGAGTGAGATGTCTGGAGAAGCAAAGGAAGCTAGCCGCCGCCTGTACAGTGTTCTTTGTTCATATACCAAAGGAAGGCCTTACCGTGTTGTAAAGCACGTAGGAGAGGAAAACGGTATGGAAGCCTACCGTATGTTGATGAAGGAATATCAACCAACGAATCGTGCAAGATCGTTGGAACTGTTTCACAACATCCTCAACTACAGGTTTGCTCACAACAAAGGAATTGCTGAGAACATCCTCGAATATGAGGAACACATCGAGAAGTACGAGAAGGCGACAGGAGAAAAGGTACAAGAGAACTTGAAAGTATCTACTCTTATCCAAGGAATGAAGCCTGATGTTAAAAGGCACTTGTTGCTCAACCTTGACGAGAAGACACAGTACACAGCTCTTCGTCAGTACCTTGTGAACTACGAGTCAACAGAGCGTTGGACTAACTCTTTGTCAGCCCAGCAAGGAACACCTCACCGAACCACGACAGACTTGATCGACAAAGGTGATGACCATGGTGGTCTTGCAGCAATGGACATCAATCAAGCATGGTACAAAGGTAAGAAAGGCTATGGCAAAGGTTATGTTCATAACAAAGGCAAAGGCAAAGGAAAAGGCAAGAAAGGTGGAAAGGATTTCGGAAAAGGTTTCGGATTCGACGGTAAAGGCAAAGGTAAAGGAAAAGGTTTTGGAGGTTTTGGCAAAGGCAGAGGTCGAGGCAACTGGAAAGGTCGAGGTAGAGGTTTCAGAGGCTATAAAGGAAAAGGTAAAGGTCGAGGAAAAGGATTCTACAGACGCAAAGGTAAAGGCAAAGGAAAAGCCCAAGCAGCTACAGGAGTTTGTCACTACTGTCAGAAGTATGGACATTTCGAAGCACAGTGTAGACAGAAGCAGCGTGACATGGGTTACCAAGCAAGGAACGTAGACCTCGAGAACCAAAGTGAACAGGCAAGCACCACAGGTACCTCTACTCAGGCCCCTTCGTCAAGCAATAGGACCTCAGCAAGCCAGAGCCAAGCAAGTCAAGGAACACAACGACCAGTGATTAGGATGGTCTCCATGTACCATATGGGAGACGAGCCCACAAGCTTTCCGGAGGAATTCGAGATGAGTGAAAATTCAGAGGAAATTGAGATTGAGTACTTCGGAAGAGTTTTGCGGGTTGTTGGTGAAGAAGTTCAGGAAGAGAGAAGTGAGACAGAAGAGTTTTGGATTGGTGATGAAGATGATGAGTTTCAGGACTGTGATGAGGTGAGTGATGATGCATGGTGGCAGTGGCATCTAGCAGGAACCCCAGTAGGAACGCAAGATCGTGGATACTACTACGAATGCCCCAACGGATGTCATGAAACACCTTGGCACCCGAACATGCAGGAATGCGAGTATGGATGTCACCATCCTCCCAGGAGGAACAGAGTTGAAGGAACAGCACCTTCAAGGACAAGCGCCAGGTTTGTTCGTGCAGCAAGGAACTCAAGGACTCGAGAGATCGAGGTAGTGCTGGATTCTGGAGCCGACATCTCGTTGGCACCAATGTGGATGAAGAAGTACGGAAGGAAAGCACCCAACACGACCAAGGTGGTTTTGCGAGACGCACAAGGATCTCGTATCAAGGTTTCAGACCAAAGGATCATTGAGGTTGAGTTTCGAGGCGTTCAAGGAAACATCGTGAAGGTTGAAGAAGTGTTCTTGATTTCATCGGTAGTGCACCCTCTTTTAGCAGTAGGTAAGCTGTTGAAGAAAGGTTGGGAGTTCAGAGATGGAACAACTACAGGCACCTTCCTCACAGAAGGAACAACCAAGATTGCGGTGAATTACAACAACAACTCACTTACAACAAAAGCCTTTGTGAGAGCAGTCAACTGGGAAGCAGAAGCCAAGCCTATTCCCATATATTTGTGCGAGAACCTGAAGGAACTCATTGAAGAGCAACGTGTTGGTTGGACCAATTGGAGAGACCCTTACCAAGTCCACTACAGCCTAGGAACTTCAGAGCACGTTGATACTTACTTGATGTTTCCACCAGGAAAGTTTGCGTACAGAGCCGTACTCATTGAGGATGATGATCAGTGGTATCTGTTGCATCACAGCATCATGTTTGAGGAACTTGAAGAGCCATTCGGAACGATCTTTGATGGCAGCAAAGAGTATCGAACATTGACGCTAGTATCGCTCAAGGAATTTCCATTGACCCTCATAGGTACACCCAAGGAAGATGAAGATTGCAAGATGTTCGAAGAGTACACTGAAGATGCATGGTCAATCAGCATGGATGGTACAACACTCACTAGGTACCACAACTCGTTGAGAAAGACCTTGTTCAATCCTCGAGACACCAACGACATTCCAGTGGATATTGGAAATCTCAAACCAGACAGGTACACCTATGGAGAAGAACCGATCAACAAGGGTTTCTTTGAGGATGATAAGTTTTGGACTTTGGATGAGCCTCACAGAGACCCAGAACCACTAGGAGGTTTATCTTGGACAGGACGCAGTGTATTTGAACTCATTGAACCAGTGAACCCTAAGGCCAGGAAACCAAAACAGAAGGTTCACCAACTGGACACGATCCCAGAACAGGAAGAAGAACAGGAAGAGACCTCAGAGGCCCAAGCACCAGCGCACAGGCACGAGCTTGCAGGAGCAATGGTCATGAGTACAACCAGCAGAACAGCCTCAGGGCCCTGAAGGAACTTTGTAAGGAACTTGGAGTTTCAAAGTTTGGTTCTAAGCAGGACATTCTTAGAAGACTCAGCAGGTCGATCATGGAAGCAGAAAGGCACATGGAGCTTACCGCAGCTCAGAAGAAGTACAAGGAGTACATTGAAGCAGAACCTCTGAAGGTACCAAAACAGCCAAAGCCAGAAGAAGTTGCAGTACATAATCTCACACACTTGCCTTACGTATCGTGGTGTCCTACATGTGTAGCATGCAAAGGAAAAGAGTCTCCACATCTTCGTGAGAACCCAGAGAAGGAAAGATCTTCGAGACCAACTTTCTGCATGGATTTCTGTTTCACAGGAACAAGTCACGATGAGGCGCCAGCAGCAGTTAGTCTTGTGTGTGTTGATTCTTGGAGTAGGAACATGGTCTGTATCCCTACAGCATCCAAAGGAAAGGATCTTGTAGAACACCTTTGCGAAGGAGTCACCTACTTGAGCACCCAGCTAGGATATGGAGCCATCAACTTGAAGGCCGACAACGAAGGAACTATGATGAAACTGAAGCAGGTAATCCAGAAGCAACGAGCAGCTTTAGGTTTAGGAACAACCTTGCAGGACGCAGTCAGTGGCCAGAAGGAAACCAACGGCATGGCAGAGAGAGCAATTCAAACCATTAGACGACAAGGAACTACCTTGATTAGGCACCTGGAACACAAAACAGGAACATATATTGCTGACACCCATCCAGTCTTCAGTTGGGCTTTCAGGCATGCAGCGTGGACCTTGAACGGGTACCATCGCCACACAGGTACAGGAATGACGCCATATGAGTGGATGGCCGGGCGCCCTTACGAGGGCCAACTTGCCGAATTTGGTGAATCACTTTTGGTTTTGACCAATCGTTCAGGAACACGTGGCAATAGGAAAGGCGATCAGTTGTAGACTTGTCTACCAACCCCTTTTTGCGTGCGAGGCGAGCCACATGTGGCGAGCTTGCAAAAATCCAAAAGGTACCCTAATCCCTATCCCGTGTGCTTTACCTCACCCTAAGCACCGGTATTTTGGTGCGACCATTTCTTGTGTCGTGCCATTCTGAATGCTTGGCTTATCCGTGACATTCATCTCAAGTGGTGGGGGGGCGGGACCGCCAAACCGTCTCGACAAAGTTCGTGACGGGGGTGTGCGGTTAGAGAGCCGTGGAAAGCCTTGGGGCCAGTAGCGTGCATCTAGAAGGTTCTTGTGCTCCTAACACGAGGTGCTGTTAGGTTGTGCACGCCGTTTGGTCCCGTTGACCGCGGCAGATGGATCAGGAGTGGCTCTCCTTCGGTGGAGCTCATGAAGCATCCGGAAGTCCGGATGGCTTGTAGCTAGGATAAGCAGAGCTCGTGTGTGACATTTTTGGGAGTGCATTCATGTTTACTCACGCTTTATTTCGAGTGCTGATCTAGGCTTTAAAAATTTTTCTTTTCACTGTGAGGCCTGATCATTCGGTCGTGGGTGCGTGTGAAGTTGCTGTGGCACTCAATACCTGGTCACACTTGGCTCGCTCTTGAGTTCGGTAGAACTTTCCTTTTGACGGTTACGTGAGCACTCTTTGTAGCGTAGGGTGGCTTCGGAGGCGCACTTTCTTAGTAGATCAGGGCATCCTTTTGAGCCTACATGGGAGACGTGCCTGTGGATGCCGCTGCACTTGATGCGCACTTGTCCTTTTGCATCAGATCGAGTCACCAGTCGTCTTTCAGACCTACGTGGGAGACAGTCGGAGAGCCCACGAACTTAGTTTTTCGTCTCCCTGCTGCAAGGGGACCGTTGCCGCTGATAGCAGTACCTCGAGCTGAAGCGGCATCTTCCGGGTCCGGCAGTCAGGCCAAGAGACCGGGTGTTTCGGGAGACTCTCCATTGAAGATGGCTAAACATTGGCACGGGATTTCGTGGGAGTACAAGCTGGAACGAGAGCTGGTCGCGGGTATCAGGAAGTGGGGTGTGATTATTATGCACTCCCCTCTGAGCTTTGGTATTGGCCGGCGTCTTCGGGGTGAGCAAAGACTTGAACCACTCATCTTGGAAAGCCTCGGTCACATTTTTGCTGGGAAGGCAGCTGGTACTCTGCATCAGAGGGCTGGTCCGATGCTTAGGTATATCCGCTGGAGTGTTCAGGCCGACGTGGACCCTTTCCCACTTGAGGAGGGGCAGGTATACGAGTTTTGCAAGAGTTGCGAGTTTTCTTCTGCTCCGACTTTCTTGAGGAGCTTCATTGTATCCATATCTTTCGCTGTGCACGTCCTCGGTGTCACAGGTGGAGCCGATTGCTTGATCAGCGGTCGGGTGATTGGCATAGCGAGGCTCACCTACCTTGCAAAACGCAAGAAGACTCGGAGGCCGCCACTCACGGTGGCTATGGTAGCTTTCTTGGAGAACCTTGTTTGCGATCCGACTGCCAGGGCAATTGATCGAATCTGCGCGGGTTTCTTTCTTTGCTTGGTGTTCATGCGAGCCCGTTTTTCAGACGGGATGAACCTTGGAAACTTGCAGTTGGACACTCCGAGTGGTCTAGCCACTGAGGTGGCTGGATACTTGGAAGGAGAGGTGCTTCGATCAAAGACGTCTTTCACGACCGAGAGAAAGACGATGCTTTTGCCCATGGTCTGCCCACGCTTAGGTGTCACAGGACTCGATTGGGCAGGAGTGTGGATGAAGCTCCGGGAGGTTCACAAGATGCCGACGGGCAGCGGTGTGCCGCTGCTCCCTGGTACAGGAGCTTCGGGAGAATGGCTTCTCGTTCCACCGAGTGCCACTGTAGCTGCGTCTTGGCTGAAGGGCATTTTGAGCAAAGGAGGTTTTGATCATGGGGCTCTCGCCAAATTGGGCACTCATTCGTGTAAGTGCACTACCCTCAGCTGGTGCGGTAAATTTGGTATCGATCAAGCGGTGCGTCGTACCCTCGGATACCACACCGACCGAGCTGCTGCGATGGTCATTCTTTACTCTCGTGATGAGATTTCGAGTGCTGTGCGAGCTCTGGAGAGAGTCCTTGTTGAAATCAGGGAGGATCGTTTCAGGCCTGATGCCACTCGGAGCGGACATTTTCCTCGTGAGGTGGCTGCGCCCTCAGCAGAGACAGAGGGTGATCCTCCCGACTATGAGTCCAACGGCGGAGTGAGTGAGTCGGAAGATTCACAGGACGAAGAGGACAACGTTGGCGATCTCGGAGCCGAGGAACGGGCTCTGGAGGAAATTGGGGCCCCGTGGAGGCCACAGGGCGCTGCGAGTGATCGCCGCATGTTCCGGCACAAACTCTCGAGGATCATTCATTTTGTGGCCGACGAGGCCGGTGCCACTTTTGCATGTGGAACAAAGATCTCTTCGAATTACGTTGAGATGGACAGTGGAGTTTCTTTCTTGCATCCTTTGTGCAAGAAGTGCCACCCGGTCCGATAAGAGCTGGTCGGGCTGGACCGGAGTGGGTTTGGGTTTGCCACATCCAACCCAGTAGATGAGCTGGCACGGGCTCGGGTTGGGTGAATGCTGGTGCCTCCACTCGCATGTCGGCTGATTCGGGCCCGAGCTGGAACTTTGGGCACAGCATCGAAAATACCTTTTGATGGCCTTGAAGGATCGTGAGAGTCCTTCTTGGATACATGAGTGCAGCGCTAGAGGATCGCTTGGATCCGGGGCGATTGGACCTTAGCGAGGGGCAAGACTTTGTGTTGACGTGCTTAACAGTGACTTGGGTCATTATGGATCGCAAAGTCTTGTCTCGTTTGAGCGTCGAGGCTATGGCATGCAACAAATACAGGGTCCTGTGATGTGTGCCGCGCGGAATGCCGAGAGAAGTGCTAAACTTTTGCAGAGGTGCTGTAGAGCAACAGTTTACAGAGGTGAAGTGTAAATACTGCGCGAGCAAGTGTGCGTCTCAGAGCAGGTGGAGGGTGTAGTCGTTGCAATGTCGGTCACCGATTCCACCGCAAATTTCCGTGCGAGGGCCATCGCGCTGGGGCTTGCTGAGGCTGTCCTGCAGAAGATCATCGACGGGGGTATTGACACGTTGGCCAAGTTTGCTTTTTCGTCTTCTTACACCCCTGGTGCTCAGGATGAAGGGCCTTTTCTTGATTCCATTTCAACTCTTCTGGGTAGGAGTGGTAGCGTGGGAGAATTATCAGTACTTCGACGCTTGTTCCATGAATCCTACTCGCTCACCTCGGCTGAGTTGAAGCAGTCAGTGGAGCGTGTTGAGGACGGGCCTGTCAAGAGATTGGCTCAGCCCGACAGAGCCGACCGGTTGGCCAAGCAACAGAAACGCTTGCCTGGGATAAGTATCAGAGGCCCCCTTGAGCCGTCTGATCGACTCGTGGATCGTTGCGTGGCGATCTATGAGGAAAACCGACTTGTCTATGTTGAGCTTTCAGCCTGCACCTCTAAGGAAGACGAAATCAAGCAGGCCACGCTCAAGGAGGACCGGCATCTTGTCGTAGAAAGCGGGGGAAATGTTCGACTCAAAGGCTTGGTGAACAACAAGATGGATGCAGACATTTCCTCTGATTTGCTCATGCGGTATGCTCTTACTAGGCGTGGCCTAGCGATGGAGCAAGCGGGAATCATCTCTTATACACTGCATGATGCCTGGACTGAGCAACTGCTCGCATGCCGCTTCCGAGAACCTCCGACAGGGTACAGTCGCGTTTCCTTGCAGCAGGTCATCCACGCCGACAGACAATTCTTCATCAAGCTTGCCGAGCTCACCCGAGAGGGAATACAGCTTCAGGCGACGGGTAGACCATGTGATGTGCACTTCGAGACAGCTCGTAATCACCCAGATGTGGCGCACCTAATGCAACCCCTTCTTGCAGCAGTGCCAAGGCCCGACCCCGCATGGACACCCCGCAAGGGCGATGGCAAAAATGGCAAGGGAGGTAAAGGTCATAAGGGTGGCAAAGGAAAGCGAGACACCACTGCCATCACTGCTGCGATGCCTAAGGAGATTGCGGATGGAGGGTTATCTTTCACGCCTAAAGGGTACGCAATCTGTTGGGATTATAATCTCAATAGATGCAAGCGCAGAGTGACATCAGGAAGGTGCGACAAAGGGTTGCACATATGCTGCCGTGCTGGCTGCCTGAAATCTGGGCACTATTACGGCAACTGTCCAAAAGCAGGAGGTTCTTGACTAGGTACCTCAGGTCCTCTCGGTTCCGCCTCGCCTCAGGCCGGAGCCGATACGGGTATGAGCGTTGATGCATCCGGCGGTGCCTCCGCTGAAATCCTTTCACAACATTTGCTTGAGGCTGACAGATTGCCCACTCCAGAGGAGATTGAAGAGCTCGTTAGCCTCTTGCCACACGGCGAGTTGACCGGCGAACGCCGGGGCAACACTGACAATTCTTGCAACGCATTCCATAGCGGTGCTTTTGTGCATGTCAAGGTGGGATTGCGGCGAAATTGCAAAGCTTTCCCAAGCACGACAAAGATACTAGCGAGAATTCTGCGGCATGCCCATCCCGGGCATGAATTTACTTCCTTGTTGCTGTCTGTTGACAACCAGACTTCATTGCATGCAGATAGCCAGAATGCCTTCATCCCAAACTTAGTTGTTCCACTAAACCGGTTTTCGGGTGGTGGGATTTGGGTGCAATCCGATGACGGCAAAGAGCGCTTGACAGTTGATGGTCAGGAGCTGCTGGGAACCACCTTGGATTTAGGGTTAGGTCCCGTAAGATTTCAAGCCAGGGCTCAGAAGCACCTCACGCTGAGCTGGGAAGGCCGGCGAATAGTCCTTATAGGATACTCGGTACAAGGAGGTGAGAAGCTTGACGACTCAGACAAGGTTGTGTTGCAATCCTTGGGGTTTGCACTTCCGTCGCAGTACCCTGCCACTGGCGACCCGATAGCAGAGCAGGCGTGTTTTGCAGACTTCAGGAATGGGACCAGCAGTCCGCCACTTCTTGAGCAAAGGCAAGAATATGAGCCACAGCACGTCGGCGATCCGTCGACGGGTCCAGTGCAAGGGATCGTTGTCGAATTGTTTGCTCGTAGTGGTGCCCTGTCTAGGGTTTTCAAACAGCACGGGTTTGGTCTTCCCGGTGGATCGTGGGGGGCATAGGCTCCCTTTGTCCAAGTTGTGTGCACTTGATTTAGCGCAAGCGTCGAGTTGGACCTACCTTGAAGAGGTTCTTGAAACCTACCCTGTTCTTTATGTCCATGCTGAGCCACCTTATGCCACGTTTGGACCACAGCAGGCTTTCAGGCACTTAGTCAACGGGGTCACCAGCCCCTCGGGAGCCACCGACTCCAACGTTGTTGATCGGCTCGCGTTGGCTGATTCCATGGTCAACCACCTGTGCACTTTCTTGCAAAGCGTAGACAAACGAGGAATACCTTGGGCCTTGGAACACCCTAAGGCCAGCCTGCTTTGGAATCTGCCCAATGTGGAAGCATTGCCCTCAACTTCTGAGGTTGTTTACGATCTTTGTAATTTCGGGTCTTCCCTTAAGCTTCGCCGCCAACTTAGGACCAATTGCAGGGCTTTAAGGTCCTTGAACTGCTTGTGCAAAGGCGATCATTCCCACAGCCAAGTGGAAGGCGGAGTCGTCACACATCCGTCCGAATTCTGCAAACATGTCGTTCAGGCCGTTGCGCGGCACCATGGTTTGGCTTGCCCCGACGTGGCGTTGTCATCCACGCCAGTTGGTGTTGCCCAGCAGAAGCGAGGCAAGCCTGAAGCTTCGCTACTGCCCGAGTTCGGCAAGGTCTTGCAGGTGGATGTCGATCAGGTTCCGCCAGTGAACCACAAGCAGTGCCTCATACGTCCGTTGGGCGAGGTGCCAGCAGGATCCAAACTCATCGCCACATCTCTTCTCAGGGGTGATGCGGGTGGCGATGCGGGTAACGAAAGTAAGAAATTTCGCCTTTCTTTGGGAGTCTTTGCCACACCAGATGAGTTCGTTGATGCGGCTAAAGACTTGCTACATCCTTTTGCTGCTTCGGCTGTTCTGTCGCCTATTGTGAAAAGGCGACTGTTCGAAGCCTTGACCAAAGGCCCGGAATGGGTTCAGCGACAACGGTGCTCCAAGTTGAAATTGTGGCTTAGCTGGGCCAAAGAACTGCAAATTGCCGAAGGAGAAATGAAAGGCAAGCTTGACCCTGACATTGGCCGTGTGCTTCGAGGCAAGCGCTTGTTGCTCCTGAAGCGTATTGCTGATGATATGGACTGGCCTGACAAGGATTGGTTGAGCGAGCTCTTAGAAGGGTTTGACTTAGTTGGTAGTCAGAAGCACACCGGGGTCTTCAAGCGAGAGTTGCGACCACAGGCGAGGACCAAGGCTGATTTTCTTGATGCTAGCAAGTTTTTGCGCCCGGCACTTCTGGGCAAGGTTGCCTCTGAGGGTCTGAACGAGCATTCTCAGGAACTTTGGGACAAGACCTTTGAAGAAGTGACGGACGACCTTCTTGAAGGGCCTCTGACGCAGGAAGAGGTTCATGCCAGACATGGTGACCATTGGGTCCCGGTTAGGAGGTTTCCGGTTGTACAATCTTCAGCGGGAAAAAGGAAGCTTCGACCTATTGATGATTTTTCGGAAAATCTAGTCAACGGTTCTTTTTCGTATGCTGATAAGATTGACTTGCGCGCCCTTGATGAAATCATTGCCATTTGCCGATGCTGGACTCAGGCATGCACTTCTGAGCATCAGTTCTTTTTCGCGATGCCTGACGGGCCGCCATTGGTGGGCCGTGTCCACCCTTTGTGGATCAACGGGGCTTGGGAACCTTTGCTTACTACGTTTGACTTGAAGAACGCTTATCGTCAATTCCCGCTATCACCAGGCAGCCGTGCTCATGCAATCATTGCACTGTTGGACCCGAGTAGTCTTGACGTGGGTTTGTTCGAATCCAAGGCGTTACCTTTCGGCAGCACAGCGTCGGTGGTTCACTCATTCGAATGTCTAGGTTGTTTTGGAGGATCGGCCTTGAACTTCACTTGTGGTGGAGTAACTTTTATGACGACTACCCGGTCATGACGCCAACACTGCTTAAGGATTCCACCATGTCGACAATGATGCTCCTGTCCCAGCTGTTAGGGTTTAGTGCCTCCCTTGAGAAGTTGGCCCCTTTCTCTTCGGTTGGTTCGATGTTGGGCGTTGAAGTAGACTGCAGCTCAGCGCCCGATGCGATCATCCGTGTTCGCAACAAAGAAGGTCGTGCGAGCGAGGTGTGTGAGGTCATACAAGGATGCATTAAGGCTGGCGTCGTACGGCAGAGAGATTTCGCCCGTGTCGCTGGCAGGATTCAGTTTTCAGATTCACAAATCATGGGACGTACCGGCAAATTGGCTTTGGCCGAGTTGCGAGCCTCGTCGGCTAGGCACGCCGACAAGTTCCGTCTTGGCGAGCAGGAGGTCAGGGCCTTTGATTTCTTGGTCAGTCGACTGTCCTTTGGTGCTCCTAGGGTTGTGCCCTGTTCGGTTCCCCCGAAACCGATTCTCGTCTTTACCGATGGCGCCAGCGAAGGATCTGTCCACACAGTAGGGGGAATCATGCTTGACCCGCGAGAACAACAACCGAAGTACTTTGCTTGCCATGTGTGCAACAGTGTCGTCTCGACTTGGTCCCGGGACCTTCAGCACATCATAGGTCCAGTCGAGGCCTACGCCGTGCTCACAGCGAGAAAGGTCTTTCATCAGTCACTGTCGGGACGATATTGTGTGTACTTCATCGATAACGACGGTGTGCTACTTAGCTACATCAAGGGTACGTCTTCTAGCAAACCGATGCGAGATATTTTGCTGATGTGGGAGTCCTTAGAGATGCATGCTCACACGTGGGCTTGGTGGGCTCGTGTGCCATCCGCTTCGAACCCAGCCGATGCGCCGTCAAGAGGCGAGCTGGATGAACTTGTCAAGTCTGGGGCATTGCGTGTGGTTTGTGATTGCCCGCTTACCGGTACAAAACTTGTCGACTTGTAATCAATGGGGGCTTCCGTACTGCACTGCTTGGGGGGATCGGGCAGCCCGGTTCGCCCCGAGCAAAAAGAGTCCACTGTGCGAGTGATTGAGTATGATTGGAATCATTTCATATCTATATTTATGGAGTCTCGCCGTTGCATATTTCTGATGCCGACTTTTCCTCTTGAATAACATTCTTGAGTACGCGATTGGAAGTTTTTGGATTTTTCCGAGCTTAGCAAAAAGATCAGTTGTAGACTTGTCTACCAACCCCTTTTTGCGTGCGAGGCGAGCCACATGTGGCGAGCTTGCAAAAATCCAAAAGGTACCCTAATCCCTATCCCGTGTGCTTTACCTCACCCTAAGCACCGGTATTTTGGTGCGACCATTTCTTGTGTCGTGCCATTCTGAACGCTTGGCTTATCCGTGACATTCATCTCAAGTGGTGGGGGGGCGGGACCGCCAAACCGTCTCGACACCCACCCACCACACCCTGTCGAGACATCATTGCTTCGGCTTGCAGCGCCGACTTGTGCTCCCAAGGAGAACTTTCACTTTTCTGCCAACCTCCGGAGACTACAGCCTCGGTTGAGGCGGCGACTTTCTGTCGCTGACTCTCGTGACTTTAGCTTCGCCCGAAGTTGTTGCAACTCTCACGAACGTGAGAACGCGCCTAGCCCGAGCCTGGATCGGGCAGCCCGGTTCGCCCCGAGCAAAAAGAGTCCACTGTGCGAGTGATTGAGTATGATTGGAATCATTTCATATCTATATTTATGGAGTCTCGCCGTTGCATATTTCTGATGCCGACTTTTCCTCTTGAATAACATTCTTGAGTACGCGATTGGAAGTTTTTGGATTTTTCCGAGCTTAGCAAAAAGACCCTATTTGGTTGAGAGGAGTGTTCTTAGGAAAAACAGACAACAACTTGTTCATTACATGGCACTTGGGCGGCATCAAAACGAGCCGTAGCGCAAAACGCTGTGTGGAACATTTCGACATCAAAGGAATAAGCAGCGTAGGAATTCATACTTGGGAAGTGAAGCACACTACCCTTACGACAAGGAACATCCCAAGGAAGAACATCCCAGGACCACTTGCAGAGGCACCACCTATCATGGATGGAGCCGGAACTCAGGACCAGACAGCTCAGGATTCGGCACCTTCAGCACCTTCAGGACCGATTGTCATCCAAGGCGGGGACTCTGCAGGAAAGACAGGACCTACTAGGTCAACGTTCTTAGAGAGCAAAGCAAAGCAAGCACAGAGCAAGAGGAAAGCAGAAGAAGAACTTGAGCAGGAATATCCCGACGAAAACCAAGATGAAGCAGCATCGGACCCAACGTCTTCAAGCAGTAGCAGCAGCAAGGAAATGGACGCAGCCTCGGAACCAGAACTCATCCCAGACAGTGCAATGGCCAGTGAACTACTTTCAGCTAGAGGACCTGCACCTCTTAGGAAGCAAGAGTTTGAAGATGTAGGAACAGGTTCCAAGATCCCGAAGATAGATTCTCCCAAGAAAAGGTACCCTCCGTTCAACGTAGGAAGAGTGTACGAGCACAACGACGAGGAACTACCTGAAGCAGAACCAGGTACAGAAGGCATTTTCTGGGAAGATTCGTACTCAGACATTGGCGATTCAGATGAAGAGCAAGACATCTTCAAGAGCGAGGACTCAGGACCTCCAGAAGTTCCAGAAGCACAGTTGCAGGAACTAGACCGTGAGGCGATGCTCACGGAGATCAACAGACTCACAGAGATGAAGGCATTGGCAAGGAAACCCTTGCAAGAGCTTGAGAGAGAAGAGCCGAGAGAGAAAGAAGAAGAAGAAAGAGACCAAGGAACAAAGTGGCTCACAACGAAGTTTGTTTTCGATTGGAGATTCAGGAATGGCAGGTGGATGCGTAGAGCTAGGTTAGTGGCTAGAGAGTTTCGAGGTGTAGAGGTCAGGAACGACACTTTTAGCCCAGCTACAAGCGCATCGTTGGTGAGACTTATCCCTATCTTGGGACTACAACAGGAACATGCCCTGTATTCGATCGATGTCAAGGACGCATTCTTACAGGTACCGCAGAGAACTCGTTGCGCATGTCAATTCCCAAAGGAATATGTGGATCTGTTTGGCGACCAAGACCCTAGTTGTAGGAACGAAGGTTTGTTACTGCTCAGAGTACTTCCAGGACAGCGAGATGCAGCACTTCTTTGGAGTGATCATTTTGCAGGAACACTTAAGGAGCAGAACTTTGATAGGTGCATAGCATGCCCTACTTTGTTCCGTGACGACAGGAACAGCATACTTGTTGTGCATGTGGATGACATTCAAGCAGCAGGGAAAACCAGACACCTGGAGCCTAAGCTAGGAAAGCTAGGAGAAGCCTACGAACTGAAGGTTGAAGGCCCCTTCTTGACAGAACAGGAACTTGAAATAGGAGAGTCACATCAAACCATCAGATTCCTCAAAAGGAAATTCAGCTATCACAATCATGAGCTTCACATCACGAGTGACCCGAAGTATCTAGTGAAACTCAAGGAAGAACTGAAGCTGACTAGCAAAGCCTCAAAGCCAACTCCATGCACCCAAGAGTCTCAGGAAGCCGACAACACCCAAACCTTGAACCAGGAACAAGCAGCATCGTTCAGGAAATGCGTTGGCATACTCTTGTATGTCAGTCAGGATCGCCCTGACGTGCAGTTTGCCGTAAGAGGTTTAGCCTCCAAGATGTCAGAACCCACACATGGTTCTTGGAAACACTTAGTCCATCTTGTGCAGTATATGGCAAGAACTGAAGGATACCATCTTGTGTACAGGAAAACACCAAGAGGACTTAGCAACCTCCATGAATCCATTAGGAGCGGCAGTTACGACTTTACAGGAACACAGCCCAAGGAAAACCATCTTTTGGAAGTCTACAGCGACTCAGATTGGGCAGGAAAGAAGGACACTAGGCGCTCAACGTCTTCAGGAATTGTTTGTCTTGACGGCCAGTGTATCTACTCCTTTTCAAGGAACCAAAAGTCAGTTAGCTTGAGCAGTGGTGAAGCAGAGTACTACGCAGGAGCTAGCGCGGCATCTGATTCTATATTGTTGAAGGAAGCAGTTGAATTCTTGACAAGGAAAATTTGCAAGGTACATTTGTACATGGACTCTTCAGCAGCTAGAGGCATCATTACAAGGCAAGGTGTAGGAAGAGTGAAGCACCTCCAGATCAGGACCCTTTTTCTGCAGGACCTCCACAAGCAAGGAACAATCAGTGTTCACCCTGTAGGAACCAAGGAAAACACAGCCGACATAGGAACCAAGCCCCTTTCAGCGAAGCGTATTAGACTGTTGTTGAACTGGTTAGGTTTTCAAACCGGAGAGAACGAACCAGTAGGCCGAGAAGAACTCAAGGAACACAAGGCCCAAACACAAGCCAAAGCAGTTGTAAGGATGATCAAGAGCCCAGGAACTTTGTCGTTTGCAGCTTTGTTGTTTGCAGGGATTTCAGGAATTTCAGACAGTCTTCAGATTCAGAGTTGCAAGGAACAGAGTTTTGAAAGTTGTTTTCTTCAGGAAGAGTTTCAGCCAGAGTTTCAGGAACACGTTTTCTGTCTTGCAAGTGCATGTGCACAGGATGGCGTATGCAGTGACACGAGTGCATGTGAGCTAGGAACGTTTGCAGGAACAGCGCATGAAACCTCATGTTTTGAGATGCTTTCACAGCTCAAGGAATTCTGCGAAACACTCGCGGAACGCTCAGGCGTACAAGGAATAGTCAAGCCAGTAGCAGAAGGTCAAGGAACCTTAGCCATGGAAGCCAGCGCGAGTTCTGCAAGAAGCGAGAGTGAAGTTCTCAAGGAACTTGAAGCACTAAAGGAAGCCGCCACAGAACTCAGGAAAGCCAGCGCAGAAAGGAACGAGATCGCAGAGTCGATCAGGAAGAACACAGAAGAGTCGACGCGGTTGCGTCGATCCCAGGAACATGTAGCTGGTTGCGTGAAGTCCCTGACGGGACAAATCCAGGACGTCAAGTTTCAGGTGCAGGAAATGGCCGAGCAGAACGAAAGAGAACGCACAGAAGCCAAGGAACGCATGGCTTACGTCTTCGAGACGTGCGACAACTTGAAAGAGCAGGTACAGACGCTTGTGAACGACTTCTACGAGCAAGAAGAGGAACAGGAAGAAGAACAAAGAGAAAGAGAGGCCAAGGACAGAGAAGCAGAAGGAGAACTACGTCGTGAAGGACACGGACCAGGTACAGCACCTTCGAGAGCTACGTCACCTACCTCCCAGGAACACAAAGGAGAAGACGATGTAAGGAACTGGTCAGACAGGAGCTACTTCGAAGGACTTCAAGAACAGGAAGAAAGTCAGGAACTTCGGCGAGAACGAGAACGAGGCCTACGTGGACAGCTACGTTGGAGGAGATCCCGGGGAGTACCCCGAAGGAGAAAAGGAAGCAGAGGCAACAGGAGAAGCAACAGCAGAAGAGGAACAAGACGAAGAGGCAAAGGAAGAAGCAAGGAGACAAAAGATCAAGGAGATCAACGCCAAGAGCACGGAAAGGCTTGAGGAGAAAGAGAAGGAAAAGAAACTCTTTCCGTACCCCTACGACTACAGCAGCGAGTGGAAGGAATACTCCGAGAACGGCAACATCTACAGAGAGCACAGAGTCACAGGAGAAAAGCAGTACGTGGACAAGGACTACACGTACAAGCACGAGAAAGGAACAAAAGGAAAGGAGAAAGGAGCAAAAGCAGGCAAAGGAAGAGGAAAGCCAAAGCAGCGAGCAGAGAGCACAGGATTTCGACCTCGAGATGACGATGATCGAAAATACTGGGAAGAACAGGACAGGATCTCAAAGGAACAGCAAGAGGCAAAAGCGGCAGCAGAGGAGAAGAAGAAGGCAACAGAGGAGCAGATTGCCAAAGCAAGGCTGATCATGGAAGTGGCAGCAGAAGAGCAGGAGAAGAGAGACAAGGAAGCAGCAAGGCAGGAAGCAGCCGCAGCCGCCGAGAGAAGGCGAGAGGTAGAAGCAGCAGCCAAGGCAAAAGCAGAAAGAGAGGCAAAGGAAAAGGAGGAGACTGAAGCAGCAGCAGCCAAAGCAGAGAAGGAGAAAGAAGAGGAAGCAGACGCAGCAGCCAAAGAGGAGAAGGAAAGAAAGGAACAGGAAAAGAAGAGAAAGGAGAAGGAAGCCAGGAAGAAAAGAGAGGAAGACAAGAAGCAGGCATCGGCATACATTGCCCGAAAGGAAGCAGAAAAGAAGGCAGCAGCAGCAGCAGGAACAACGTCAGGATCAGGAGAAGTGGAACCGAGACGTGAAGAAGACAGGATGAAGAAGCTGGAACAGATGATGGAGGAGATGATGAAGGAACGTAAGGAGGATAAGGAAAGGATTGCAAGCCTCACACAGGAGCTTGAGAGCAGAGGATCGGCAGCCGGGTCGCAGGCACCCACAGAGCCAGACACAACACCAACAAAGGAGCAGGAGAAGCCAGAAGGAAAAGGAAAAGGAAGAGAAGAAGGAAAGGAGCCACCAAGCGTAACACAGCACAAGCAGAAGAAGGAAGACAAGGACGACCCAGAACTTTCCGCCAAAGGACCAGTGAACGAAGCGTCGTACTTGAAAGGAAAAGGCCGTGGAGAGTTTGAAGGAAACTGGTTTGCGGTCTACGGTTTCCAAGGCAGGAACTACCAGTGGAAGTGGAACGAAGAGAAGGAAAAGTGGTACTGGTATTCAGGATCAAAGGAAACTGGTTGGAAAGCAGCGTCAAAGGACAAGCAAGGAAAGGAAAAGTGCAAGTCGCAGGCAAAGCAGCGTGAAGAGTGGCTAAAGGCACAACTTGAGGAGCAGCAGGAAGTCACCAAGGACAGCGAAGAAGAAGAAGGAAGCAAAGCAGTGAACTTCCAGTGAAGCAAAGGAACAGCGAGCAGTACTGAGGCCAGAGAGCCGAGGAAAGAGCAGTGAAGCAGGACACACACAGGAACCGTGGCACAGCCCTTTTTGTTTCTGTGGTGATCTAAGTAAGTTCAGGAACAGTCTTGTACAGTCTAGCAACCTTGGAGAGGATTGCGAGTGAACGGAAACGTTTGCGAAAGAGGAACAGCGTTTGTTTTGTAGTGAAAAGGAACTGCAGCGTGTTTACTGTCTGTTCAGGAAAAGTCGGAGTCACCTCAGTCGAGGAACTTTCGCTAACTCCGAAGGCGGGGTGTTAAACATCTTGCCAGGAACAGTAAAACCGCTAATGCAGTGTAGCTAAAGTGAAGGAACAGCCGTCACGCACACGCGACGTGAAGGCTCGAGACCCCGGACACACGTGCCCAGGAAAGCAAAAGTGTCCGACAGTCTGTGAGGGTAGGAACCCTTAGTGAAGCCCGTTCTTTAACATTTCGGTGTTGTTTCGACTGTAGCTGCTGTTGGGAGAAAGCAAGATGTTGCAAGGCTTCCAAACGGCTTCAAAACCCCACGAACGAGGCTTTGGAAGGCTTAAGTTTTTGTGTCGAAACCCCGCAAATGAGGGTTGGAGAGGCTTTGCACTGTTGGTGAAAATTGGCCTCCATGTTATGGGAAGAAATGTCGAAGCTTTGGCTTCGAACCCGTGTTCGTGTGGTCGTCCGGGTTTCGGCGCCGAAACTTCGATGGACCAACCCACAGTCATCCCACACGTGCGAGCTGCGCACGGATCCCGCAGAACTCAATGGAAGGCTTAGGGCTTCGAAACTCGGCCTTTTACAGCGATAGCCTCGCTTGCACTCGACCCGAGGACCGGTTCCATCAGCCTCTGAGTGGACTCAGCTCCCTTGTAGCGAAAGTAATCGCCACTGGATTTGCTGGGCATCTTCATGAGTTTGCCGATGCCAGCCCAATCGGTCGCAAAACGGAATCCAGTTTGAGCCTAAGTCCGCAAAGTGGAAACAATCCACTGGTCGTGGCAATGCTAGTTTCCAAACCCTGGCGAACTCCGTAGGGGGTGGAAACATAACATCGGAACACTGCGCGAAAAGTTTGAGCAAGCATGAAGTTGCACTGCTCAAAAAATGATTGCACATGTGCAGCAATACTTCAGATAGGTCCAATTATCGAGGTTTATGGATCGCAAAATGATACGATTTTGCGCACCTTCTGCCACTGCAGCACGCGCGCCACAGCATGACATTTTCGTTTCATTGTGATGTTGATCACATCCATGCAGTGAGTGGGTAGTTCGACATCTGGATCTGGAATCACCACATCAGTTGGATAAAACACGACGAATTGACATGTAAACGGATCACAAGCCCAATTTGCGACCCCACTTTTGTTTGGCATTGTTGCATGCATGCTGCATCCCGTAAGGCACGTTTCGTGCACCTGCGTGCTGATGTGGCTGATCCGATGGTGTTGTCTTCCATTGGTGGGTCCAGAGCTGGGATTTCCGAGACCTCCCGACTCACGATTGCTGCGTCACAAGCGTTTGCCGGTTTACGGGCAAGTATGATCATGTTTGCTTGTTCAAGAATGCAGCATCATGTTAGACTACGGAACGTTTGTAGTGGTGTCAGGTGTGGCGGTGTCTGGCAAATGCGAGCAGTGTGATGTTTGCTGGGCTGTAGCGGTTTCAACTCACAGCGACGATAATGGGCCATGCGGCCTTGGTCTTGTATTGTGGGTCTCGCCCTGCTCATTGTGGCAACAGGCATTGGCAGCGCAACTCGGATGTGTTGGTATGCTGCACGCTTGTCATGCTGTTCAAGAGGAGCTCAGCATATGCCTTGTTGTGTTCGATGATTCAGGGTTGAGCGTTGTTCTGGGCTTTCAGAACCAACAGTGACAATCTCCACGAGAAGGCGGTCCTTGAACATGAAAATAGTTTTACCACCGAGGCAATCTGGATCGTGACCCAGGCTTAGTTGATCGTCGGGTCGTCGTCATGGGCATTTGTTTTGGGAATGCAGTTGCCTCGGTAAAGCACCTGCTGAGGTTGGGAGTGGAAGGCGAAGCTGAGCGCTGGCAGTTGTGCCTGGCGTTGTGTGGGTCCCACTCTTAGAAGTGCTCTGCAGTTCGAGTCAACTAGTTTAACTGGTCAAAGCAGGACGAACTTTGCTTTAGGGTGAACTAATGTTCAGGTTCTATTTACTTTGTTCTTCGAGAAGTGACCAGGCTTATGCTTATCAACTCATCATGCGCATTATTTAACGTGCATGAGCTCCGTGCCCGTATCTTCGAAGCACCAGTACATTTGCAAGTCTCATGTTCACATCGCAGCAGGGGCATTGGCTGCCTGACCCAACACGCACACTTACTTGCTTCGCCTTCTCACCCTCTTCCGAGGACATGCGTGCCCTGCTGTTTGGTTGGTGGTTGTTTGGCGATACTGTCGGCCTTGCTGGATGTGGAGCTCACTCCGCAGGCCGCAGGCCTAGGCACAGAGTTTGGACTTGTTCGGTCGGCAGTCTGCGCCAGCACCAGGCCTTCGCTTGCGACATGATGTGCCTTGGACCAACAGGGGTTCAAGGGCTCATTTTAGCGCTACTTGAAATGATCATCCTTTCCTTTCATGTACCTCTCCAGAGATATGAAGACTCAGGCCTGAAGATGTTGACGACGGCAAGGCTGTGTAGCAGAGCAAAGCCACCGATGCCATTGCTGCTGAGCTTCTCTCCTGCAGCCCTACAACGCCGCCTCTAACCTTCACGGATCAAATGCGACGACGCAGACGAACTCCGATACCCGCCATCTGGATGGCGAGCAGGGCTCTTTGCCGTGGACGTGTCCCAACGAAGCTCGCCATGTAGCGTGACAGTCTCAACACCTGGTCCACTGGTTGCACATCGGAGCTTTAAGGGAGGCAGGTACACGCCATTGCAACCTTGCGCATCTTTACAGATGTCTCTTCTCCAAGTTGCTTCTCTCAGTAAGTTGCTTCTTCATTGCAGCTTCGGAAGCAAAAAGCCTGTCCTCGACATGTGCGGGCGACTGCACTGGGAAAGGGGGGTGACATGGGTGACTTGTGAGCGAATGCAACTTTTCGAAAAATAGATCTCCTTCGCTGCCGCTTGTCATGCACAGTCGTTGCTGCCCCATCTCCTGTCTGAAGCACTACTCCGATGCTGAAGCAAAGCGCCGACGAAGCCTTCACAGAGCAGTTCTGCCGTGAGGTGTGCACAGGGTTCAGCCCCGACATCCTGTCACTTCAGCAGAGCCCCTCTCACGGATTGACACTTGTGCAGTCAGGAGACACGGTTTTGAGCCTGAGGCTACGTAGAAGCCATGGCGGAGAGCTTTGCAGATCCTGGCCTCCTGTTGGGTCGATGGGCTCGTTCCAGTACGTGCTCTGATGATTTCAGAGATTTCCTGCGCAGCTTGGGTGTCGCGGACGAGCGCGCAACGACTGAAGCCCTGGAGCAGCATGTCCTGATCTTCACTTCGGCCACCAAGGATCAGTTGCGATTGGTTCAGCAGCACAGCTGGAGGGACGGATTACAGGTCGAGTATGGGATGGCACTGAACGGCGAGTTTCAGAGAAGGCCGCCGCAGGTGCCTTGCATCGGAGGCACAGCTGCAGACGACGAGTCTGAGTGGCGTCATTTTTGGACCTCCGAAGGCTTCTGCACAGAGCAGACGATTTCAGTTCGGGGTGAAAGTCTGTTGCTGAGAGTTCGTAGCAGTTTCGTTACTGCAAACGAGCTACGAATGGACTATGTTCTCTGCCAGATGCCCGCTGGGGAGGTGAGAAAGCAGACCTCCCGTTTCTTTGAGCGTTCACCATTTCTGACGACTTGGAAAGCCGCTGCGTGTCAGTTCTTTTCGGGAACGGATGTCGAATTTAACCTGAAGACCTGCATTTTGTGGATGGAGAGGGCCAAAGCTGCAGGTGCACGTCTGGTTGTCATGCCTGAGAACTCGAATCGCGACAGGACGTACTTCAAAGATGGCAAGCCCAGCCGGGAACTCTGTTGGGAGCATTCCGAGACGTTGGATGGGAGTTTCGTCCACGGCATTCGCAGGGCTTGCCGCGACATCGGCATTTGGGCTTCCTTGGGTGTAGATCTCCGTGGACGGCAGAAACCAACCGTTCACATTGGAATCTTGCTGATTGCTCCAACTGGGAAGATCGTTGGGGCTGTAAAGAAGCACGTTCTCTGGGACTACGAGTACACCCTTTTCGAGCCGGGCAGTGAGCCCTATCAGGTTTTCGACACCGAGCTTGGGCGCCTCGGTGTCCTTTGTTGCGCTGACGGAATCGTCCCGGAAGCTGCACGTGTGCTTTGTCTCAAGGGTGCCCAGGTGTTGTTGAACTCCCTGAACAGCCGGGGACCTGATGAAATGCGGCTGCACATCCCCCTGCGTGCTATCGAAAATGCAGTTTGGCACGTGGCCTCCAACACCGTTGGCAACCCGAACACCGCTGGCCTGCTATGGCCCTGGACGGGAGGCTCCGAAGTCTGTGATCCCTCAGGCGTGAGAGTTGTGGCTTCGGAGGAGCATGACGACATGGTGGTTGCGGAGGTGAGGCCTTGGCAATCCGAGCTTAAGGAGACCAGCTGGGTACAGGACCTATGGGCGTGCCGCCGCCCCGAGCTCTATGGGCTCATGTGTGAGCCCTTGGAGTCGGTCCCAGCCGCGGTGATGTATGGCCCAGCGCCCGTCGAGGCCGAGGCTCTGCCCTTCGAAGGTCCGGCCTGCCTGAAAGTGGCGATGATGCAGCTCAGTGCGACGCACACTCGCCAGTGCACCGAGTGGATGACCCAGCGGCAGATCTCCTACGCCGCCCGACGAGGGGCTGTTTTGGGCGTTCTGCCCGCTCTTTGGTGCTTCCGCCGTGACGAGGTCCAGAAGGATCCTGCCGAAGCTGCCGCCTACTCGAATCAGATCCTGAAGAAACTCCAAGGCTGGTGCAAAGACAGCAACTTCAACCTCTGCTGCAGCCTTGTGGAAGAGGAAGCAGGCAGTCGCTTCCACACGGCCTACTTGGTCGGAGCAGATGGTTCAGTGCTGCTTAAGTATCGCAAGACTCACTTGAACCGTGTAGAGGGTTCTTGGGCCTCGCAGGGTGACTGCATCGTCGTGGAGTCTCTGCCAGGCTTGGGACGGGTGGCGGTGCTGATTGCCGACGAAGTCTGGAGCCCTGAACTTTCGCGGTGCATCGCGCTACAGGCCGCCGAGGTGGTGTTGCACCCGGCCGACTGGGACAGGGTCGAGGCTGCTGAGATGGCAGCCACGGAGCGTGCAACCGAGAACCGCTTCCACCTGGTTTCCGTCAATCGGCTCGACAGTCCGGGACGGATAGGGTCTCAGACAACACTTGCAGGGGAATATATCGGCGGCGAGCCGATACCGCTGATGCGATATGGCCAGGGCATTTGGTGTCGTTTTGGAGTTGAAGAACTTATTGTTGTGGACTTACTTCGGCGGCAGCCGCACTGCAAGATGATGGGGGACCACCTGGATGTTCTGCGAAAGCGTTGGCCTCAATTGTGTACTGTGTGCCGCGAGACACAAAGACACCTTCCATGCTGGCGTGAGATTACAGACGTTCGTGCGGGCCACTTCCCAGATGAAGTGCGTCACAGCCTGCAAGATCTGTGTCTGGACAAGAGTTCGACTCTGAGATGTCGCTTCGCGGATGACTTCGGGGACTCGTGATTCTTCGGTTGCTGAGCAAAAAGGGGGGCGAGGAAGCCTACGTAGTCAGGGAGCTTCCAAGTCCTGGGAGCGCAGAGGCGGAGGCGGACCGCTTTGGAGCTGCGAGGATTGCAGTTGGGTCCGTTGGGTCCCGAATGCAGAGCCTTCGTTTCTTCCAGGGTCATTCGGGGTTCAAGATGCCTGCGGTCGAGCCTGAGACTCGTTGAAGTTTGTCACATTTGCCATGCTGGCAGGTGATCCTGAGCTAACACAAGCACAAGCACAGAGTGGAATTTTTGTGCGTTGGGGTACGGATTGCGGGCTTTCAGGTGCCGTAGAGATTCGAAAGCTCTAAACCCCGAAGCACACCCGAACCGTGAAATGCATTGACACGAGCCAACAACTCTGACCGTATGACTGCTCTTCCAGACACCGTGCTTCGGATCAGACGGTTTGGTGCGATGCGCTCTGGCGCCTCAATCGCCCAAACAGTTTTGCAGACACGTGCGCGCAAATGTCGCGAACTCGAGTCATGTAGTGCAGCAGTGCAGCAGAGAACTGCAGCTAGATGCAGCTGGATCCTAGATCGGGATTGCCCGCCGGGTTTTGGCTTGATCCGTCCCTGTTGATGGTCTGCAGTACAGCCAAGAGTCACACAGCACCACAGACCTGCGCTTCTATAACCTACATCAGCTGACCCCGGACCTGCACGCGTTAGAATGCAGACCTATCTGGTAAACGTTTAGCATCCACAAGTAACAGTAGCAGACCCCGTGCTTCAGCAGTGCGCGCCTGCCAGTGCCATGGCAGATGTGAATCTAGGCCTCTTGGCGTGAAGCGTGCGGGAGGCGAAGCACCGAAAAGTATATCACGGCCTGCGGACAAGGCCGTGAGGCGATGCCTCAGCCCCCCGGCTTTGAAGCGCTTCCGCCTCAGAAGGGAACTTTGAAGCGCCAAGAGGCGCTTCGTTGCAACTCCGAGGAGCGATGCTTGGTCAAACTACAAGCCCACTGCCTGCTCCCCAGAGCCCCCCAGGGGGACCATCATTTCGGACATTTCATGCTGTTCTCACATGACGCCGGATGACCATAAGCTTCTCATGCTGTTGGAGCCACTGCTCCTTGAGGCCTCGTCACATGGCGGCTGGGATGACAACGACCGTGGCAACAATCGGAGTTGGGGAAGCCAGAACGGTCATGGTTCTGACAAGTGGAAAAACGACAAGTGGAGTGGCGGAGGCGGGGACACGTTCTTTCTGCACATGCCTGTTGCACCGCCTCTTTCATGCCTCGCATTTCGGAGGAGGTGGAGGTGCCAAGTGGGGGAACTCCAAATGGTCAAAGGACCTTTGATAGCCTGGAGGTGGCGAAATGTGCCGTTGTTCTGTTGCAGGATGCGGATACTTCGTCGTCTTGGTATTCAGGCCAGGATGCAAGTGTAGAGTGCGAGCGGATAGCTCATCTGCGTTAGCGCGTCAGCATGCTAGCGTTCGTCAGCCAGCCGCGTACACCCTGTGAGATTGAATAGCAGATGCTGAAACTTTTCAACAGTAGCTGCAGCGACATGTTCAACTGCTGTACACAGCTTAGCGATGGAGCATGCTGGTGTTGAGGTGGTTATGGAGGCCTTGTGGGCGAGGCTGGTCTTGGAAGAGCTGCTACGGCCCAGATTGATAGGGCCGTATCTGTTGTTGAAATCGTTGTGGGGGTTCTGAAGTTGAATTCGAGGACGTTGGAGGTTTGAGGCCTTTTTCGCATGGTCCTCCCTGTGCAGGACAATGCCACCGTTGAAGTCCAGGACGAGGCGGCACAGAGGGTCTGTGTGGTGCCCTCCATGCATTGATTTTAGGAGTACCAACTGTGAGGATCGTCGTAATACCGACAGGAGTAGCAGTCGACTTTCTTAGTACTGCCAAAGACCACCACAGAAGCAACAGCAACAACATCAACAGCAATGCCACCAGCACCAGCATCACCATCAGAACCGGCACCGGCACCCCCAGCCACAGCTGCAGCTACAGTGCTCCTGCCGCTCAGCTGCTGATAGTGGTACTGGTACTGCTACTACGACTACGACGACGACTGCTGCTGCTCCTACTATCTCCTACTACGACTGCTACTATTTCTACTGCTACTCCTACCACTACTCCCACTCCTGCTCCTACTACTGCTACTCCTCTCCTACTGCTACTCCTACTCCTGCTCCTAGTCGTACTCCTACTCTGTGCTCCAACTCCTGCTCCTCCTCCTCCTCCTACTACTCCTACTCCTACTACTCCTCCTCCTACTCCTACTCGTACTCCTGCTCGTACTCCTACTCTTAAACTCCTACTCCTACTACTACTACTACTACTTCTGCTACTACCACCACTACCATTACCACCGATACTGCTTTTATTTTACTTCCACTTCCACTTCTACTTCTGCTACCGCTCCTACGGCTGCTGCTGCTGCTACTACTACTACTACTGCTACTACTACGACTGCGACTGCGACTGGGACTGGCGCTGCGACTGGGACTGCGACTGCGACCGCGACTACGACGACTACTACAACGACTACTACAGCTATAACAACAATTGTTAGATGAGCGAGTAAATGAAAGCGAAAGCAATGAATGAGAAAGTAGGGCAGGAACGCTAAATGGACAGACGGACATCTGTATGAGCAGACGAGTAAACAAATAGATCAAAAATCGAATCCTCAAACCCGTATAACAAGTGAAGCGCAAGCGTATGCGTAAGTTGGTCATGAGGAAGCTGATAGACCTGTCTATATATGCGAGTGCATAGATCTACATATATTCGGTCGAATGCAAAAACCCATACATACACATACATACACATGCATATACATACATATGCATCATGCATATGCACACGCACTTTGGGTTGCGGTTCCTCCGGCTCCAGGAAGTCGAATTCCCCCGGACAGAGATGCTTCTGGCACAGGAAGAGTTCAGAACTCAGAACTGTGTGAGAGTCTGTTCTCCGAAGCCAAGAAGGAGCCACTTAGAGCGTCCGTGCCCTTGCCCAGTTTTGAAAGCCTCGGCGTGTGCAAAGAGGTCATGGAAGCCGCGGGCACAGCGTAATTCGGCTTCTGCACAGGGTCTCCTCCGTTGACGCGTGGTACGGTAGGCTTTTCATTTTCGGAGTCTTCCCGGCTGCCGCTGAAAAGAGATCATTACACCAGTCTTGGGGCGCTTATCGTCTGTGAATTTAATGCTGTCATAGCTTTCTTTTACAAATACGAAGATGCCCGCCCGGCCGGCAGCACCGTCAGAACCGGCAGCATCGGCATCGCTGTTGCTGTTCTTTTGTGTTGTTTCCATGGGTTCGAGGGCATCAACTTCCTTGGCTATGTGAAGCCCTCCGTCATCCAGGCATGCAGCTGTGGAATACTCGTGCTTTTATATGCTAGAAGAAAGCTGTGTCAACACGCCCTTCGTGGCAGGCACACACGCTGCCACGAATTCTTGGCGAGCCAGGTCAGAGAGGTAAAAGTCTCCAGGCGCAGGTGCGATGCAACTAAGCGCTCGATTTGTAGCTTTTGTGGGTCTCTTCGAGACGATTTGCATGCGGACAGGCGCAGAATGGATCTGGCAAGACTGCATGCTTCAGCATCGCTGTGTTGCAAGCGCTTGACATCAGTGCCGCATGCTCAGGAGGCAGGCATAAAGGCACATTAAGGGCAGTTGACAACGGAACGCTGGAGCTGCTCGTTTGGTATATTCAGCAGGTTTCCGCGGTGCATGGCCCTTTATTGGAGCATGCTTTGTGTTTCAACAAACATTTTTTCCCGCGATTCAATCAGCGTGGTGACACTGTGGGGTTCTCATGTTCAGAGTAAGGAGGACGGGCAGGCGCGCCCGGGGGTCCCCAGACTCCTGCTGTGGTGTGGTGACCATTTTCGCTCAAATTGTGTTCTTTCCATTCCTGCGCTGGTCGCATCCGCCCATATAGGGGCAAAGCCGCTCAATTTGAGAAATCATTCTCCCGCCACGGTGCCGCCTTCTATGCTGGCGTGAGGTTCCTCTCATGTACTGTGCAGCAAAGGTCTTGCAGCCGCAAGCGATGATTTTATGTCGGCTACTTAGCATGGCTAAGTACCGATGCCTCGGGTGTGCGGCATTGCCAAGGTCCAACCAGAGAGCTGGCGCGTCAAAACCACGACTTCCTGAACCTCATTGGGTCCCTGGGCTCAAGCATTGAGTCTTGCAGCTGCCGCTAACGGTGAAATCCATCAGAGTTTTGCACCCGATGGCAGGTTCGGTATGAAACCGAAGACTCATCTGGTGTGTCCGGGCATGGAGCGCAGCTTGTGCTTTCTGTGTTCGTTTGGTGGCAAGAGACGCGCGAGCATGGTTTCCTTCCGGGGCCAGTCTGGAGAGGAGCGTGTGCCCACCGGCTCTACGATTGACTGCCACGTCTTGATTGGCACTCCTGGGAAGATGATGGACGGGCTCAGAAATCACGAACTTCGAGTTCATGTCTTTCCTAAAGCTTTCCTGTTGTGCCCCCCCACCGGCATGAACGGTGGCGAATGCCAAAGAGTAGCAATGCAAGAGCGGATGGTCTTTCGCAGGATATGTGCAAGAAGAGGTTCGTCTACGTGAAGGAGCTCAAGGTTCTGGTGCTTGATGAGGCCGATGTGATGCTCGATCAGGAGCTCGCCGTGCTGGGCTTGCTGATATACTAGCATTAAGAAACTATATAAGTTCAGATATGGCGTGGTCGGGGCGGCATTTCGAGCAGCTGCTTAGTGCGTGCGAAGGAAAATTTCATGGGCACCCACGTCATGGACGTCAGGAAACATCTGCCACAGGATATCCAGGCCGTTTGTGCACGGTGTACAGTCTCGCATTTCGGGTACCTTGGTCACTCTGTCCTGGGCAGATTCTGTTCTTCAGTGCCACATATCCCGATTACGTGCAAATCTTTGCACGGAATTTGCTTGCGAGCAAGACGGTCATCAAGGCGGGGAAGACTCCGTGCAGTGTGACTCGTCGTAGGATATGCCAGGCAGGGATAGTGTCCGTCCCGGGGCCTTGGCAGAGGTCTCGAAGGAGGCGCTGACTGTCGCCACCATCCAGCTGTCACCTGAGTACTTGGCACTCCCATGCCTTGTGCATCTCACAGCGGTCACCACCTGATTTCTTTGTGAGGCAGACATACAAGGTTTGCGAGGACGAGAGCGACAAGTTTCAGCAGCTGATGAATGCCGATCCGACATGATTCCGAGGGCACCGCGGACAATTTCTGCTATCCCGCCTGTGACAGATCTACGGTGCTCTCAGCATGGGTCAGAGTATCGTCTTCTTCAACTCCAGAAGCAAGGCTTGTGCACTCTCCATGTGCCTGCAGAGTGCTGAACTCGCTTGGCGCCAACCCAACAACTTCTGTCTGGCACTGTCTGAAGAGTTCTAACGTGCAGTTCCGACGATGCGAAGGATCTTCTCAACATGCAGGCGGCGTGGTCGTTGCAGATTTCACGCCCCAGCGGAACCCGGAGAATAGAAATAAAAAGAAACACTTGAAAACAGCCTGTTGACTTAGCCACGTGTTGAACCGTGCCGGCTTATCTACCTGCCCCCACCCCCTGCCCCCATACCAGTTCCCGTGCTGCCATGGCGGAAGACTTGCTGCAGCTTTCGGTCCGCTCGCAGTACGGGCTGTCGTTTCTCGGTTTTGACGACGTATACTGTGTCATTATTGCTGGAGGCAATCATGTCTAGCTATGCAGGCAGGGCTAGGCAGGGTATGTGGTCAATCCGAAGTCCGACATAGCGCTCGTTTCATATCGTGTCCCAGCTGAGACTCGTTCCGAGGTTTCGCAAGTTCGATTCCACCGACTTCTCGGCAAACAAACTGGCCGCAGTGAGCTGCCTCAGAATTCGGAGAAGCCATTCCTGCTAAACGTTTGGAAGGTCTCTGCTTCCTGGGTGTGTTTCCTCCTAGGGCTTTGTCATGAGACTTCAGTTATTAGGTCGCCGACCAGGAGCGATGTGCAGTATGTGAAGCTCTTGTTCCTGTTTGAATGTGATGTCCATGTATTCCACCCGAGACGGCATTGCTCGTCAATTGCCAAAGGTTACAAACAAGGAGAAGGGGTCGCGGTCTGAGTCACTTCTGCCTCGTCAGGCTTTGCGAGGAGTCTTTAGTTGCTTCTGCCCAGCAGGCTGCGCGCTTGCACTTGCAATCTCATGGGGTGTAGATCCAGTGTTGATTCCATCAGCGTGCATCTGAGTCGCTTTACAAGGTTTAGGAGAGATGGCTGTGTTGAGTTGGACGAATGTCGCTGCTTCTCCAGAAGATGTTGATCAGGGCAGATGTATCCTAGTTCGGAATCGCTGCGTCAGTCGGCTGAGGGTGCTCGGGTCTGTAAAGCAAGATGTTCGTTCAGTACCGTGGTTATATTGAGCCCGGACAGCGAAGTCAAATTGCAGTTTCCCGGCTTTCAGACTGCCCTGCCACACTTCACCACCACAATATTGGCGCTGCAAGCTCTCAGATTCAGAAATTTTGCTTTTCTGTCCCTTTTGTCTTTGACTCATCAGGTCCAAAGGTGCTGCTGCCTCTACATCTTTTCTTAGCTGCCGTTTTGACTGCTTTTGCATCTTTTCCAGGGGTGTGGGCGAACACTGCTCATCGAAAGTAACTGGAATGCGCGGATTCCTCTTCACATCTCCGGAAGGGATAGTGCACAGACGGTCGCGGTGAGGCTGGGACAGCAGCGGCTTGCAAGCGCCGCATGCCTGCAACCTCGGCAGTTTTCGAGACATTTTTTAAGCTTTTGAAGGGTTCCGCAAGCTGAACGACAGCAACCAGATCCGTGCTGCTGCATATTTGCCTCCTATGCCTGTTGCAGGCGCCTGGGGCCATAAGCTCAGAGTCGCGAGAATCCTACCGTGCCGTGCCAGCATTCTGAATATGCCTCTTGCATCGTGCAGCCGCTTGGTCGGAGAATTGCGCAGATCCTCAAGAGGCTCCTTTGGGGAGGATGGAAACTCTGGCCTTTGGCGTGGCAAGGCCCCCCAGTAGAAGTCGGACAGGGGATCTCCGATAGTGCTTCCACTTATCTCTTGCGATGGCTGCAGGCGGATCCCCGCGAGAACGACAGTCTTTGCCACAGTTTGGGCGGCTTGTACGCATGACTCATGACGCCGACATCAGGTACTGCACCACTTGGCAAGCTGTAGCTTTTGTTCAAGCCGTGTTCAACCGGAATGGGAGCCCTTTGTTCTAAAAGGTCAAGAACCTAGGCAGAAGGCTTTCCCTTGTTCCACTGTAGCTCTGCATGCTTCACGTCGTTTTGCAAGTGGGGCTCCGCCGAGGCAATGAAGGGGGTCAGGGGGGGTTTTCTTGCTCAGGACAATCCTTCAGGGAAACGACTTCGAGCAGAGATGCTTTCCGCTCGCATGCAGCTTGTCCCCACAAAGCCAGTTGACGAGGTCTTGCAATGTCTTGCATGGAACACTCAACCTGTGTTTGGCGAGGAGTAGGCTGACTATCCTCGGTTCCGAGGACCAGAGATTTTCATCAAATTTGTTTACGCTTCACGACAATTTGGCGGCTGGCTCAGTACATCTGGAAGGTTAGGAAGAGCTGTTTGCCTTGTTGCCTTGTGTCAAGCGTGGCGTAGCAGTCGTCCTAGACACATGGCTGCTGAGGGGGTAGCATGGGGATCTCCGCTTGGCACGTCCACCCATCGCTATGATTTCCGTTGCTTCGCAGCAAGAATGCTCCCGAATCTCCGGAGAGGCCCGAAAGGGCATGGGTTGGGTTTTTGGGGTGGTATCTCGGCATGAGCTCCATACCGGCCAAGGTTGGCCTGGCAAGCAGAGAACCCGGCGAGGGTGGCACGGCTGCAGTTTCACTTACTGTTGGAAGAGCTCCGTGGCAAAAGGGGCTGAACAAAACGAGGAGCGACTGCGATTTTGCTTTCAATGAGTCAAGCGTCCGGCATGAGATATGAGCCGAGGCGATGAAGCCTGCCTGACGGGTATGCCAGCAGTAGGACACTAGTAACTAGTAGGTGTAGATCACTGGCTTCGCATTGCATGGAGGTAGGCTGCGATCGCGTCCATTGCCTGTGAAACAACCTTCATCGTCATGTTCAACACTGATCATCTGGAGCACTGCCCCACCCAGAATGCCTCCTGTGATTTTTCCACGAAGCCAGATAGCTCTTCGCTGCAAAGCAGCACTAGATCTCCCACACCTGGGTGCTTTCTTAGCTTTCCGGAAGCACTGTGAAGAAGTTGCCTTTCGGACGCCATGGAGCGGCCGTTCTAGTTCAGCAATGCGCACGATTTGCTAGCAATGAGGTTTAAAGCTTGAAGTGTTATTTACACGCAGGCAGTGACTGTGAAAACAGGACGGTTTGCCAGCACAAGAAAGTTCTGATTCTGACGGCATTGTACATCGCAGAGGTTTCAAAATAGTGAACAGCAAGATGGCCTGACGACCGCCCGGAGGCCTTTCAGATAGCAGAGCAGCTGAAGCAGGAGGGCCGAGTTGTGTCGCTGATCTGTGGATCGTGAGCCCGGCCCGTGCTTGAGTCCGCGGCCCCTGCCGCCGTGAAGACCTGCTTGCGATGATATGTTTGCAGGATTTTGCAATGGCTCTGCGGCTCTGCCTGCGTGATGTCAGCAATCTTTTCTCGTTGTTTCGCCAGGAAATCAAGCGGCCAAGAAGACGGCCTGACAGTCGAAGAGTTTGGCCCCCTTGCAGTCTTGCAGTCGTTCAACATCCCACAGATGTGGTTGCAGCACTAGTAGCGTGGCTGAGCACTGATTCGCAAGGCGTGATCGGGTGATGGGCGAGTTCCGTAACGGCGTGACTCAGGTCCATTTTCTGAAATGGTTTGGGGAATACCAAATTCTATGCCTCAGCCACAGGGCCGCGCCTGCGATTGACCTGCCAGTGGTCGCAAAACCCCCCATCGTTTGGTTGAATTATGCATCGATAAAGGTCCACACTCGGCTATCCCTTCAAACCGTCATTTCCATTCGTGAACGATCCGTCTGTTCCATGTGGAATGGAGCGTCTACATGGGGGATTGCAGATTTTGATATGTTGATGTGTGTCTCGAGCGGATGTGGAGAGCTGAGCTTGCAAGACTTCAGCTTCATCCGTCTCCACGGCTGCATTGCAGGTTCTGGTCGCCACGGACGTCCTTTGCCGCGGGATCGACGTGCCCCAGGTAAGGTGCTGTTGCGGTAAGCTGTCTCCTTCGAGTGCTGGCCACGGCCAGGTCACCCTGGTAGTGAACTACGAGATGCCGCTCACCCGTAACTGGACAGTTGCCATGGTCGCTCTGCAGCAACGAGACGTAACAACTCGGTGTCCGATGTGTGTCTGACGGAGCTGAGGATACGTACCTGCATCGAATCGGAAGGACCGGCCGGCCTTCGACTGAGCCGCCGCTGCCGAAATCGTTTGCGCACCCTTGGGCTCTGCCCCACCACAGCCCCGCAAGGTTCGGCTTGAAAGGAGTCGCGGTGAGCCTCGTCACGACGGATGAGATCAAGCACGTGCAGGAGGCGGAGCGCGGCGCAGCTCGAAAACCCAAATCCCGCAAAGACGAGAGCCGCCAGGTCATGGAGCACTACCAGTGCAAAGTCCAGGAGATCGACTACGACTGGGAGGAGTTTCAGGACTTGAAGGGACACATCAAGGAATCAGGGCTATTCAAGGCTGCACAGACACTGTGGTGAAAGGAGAGGCTCAGCGTGTTGCGTGTGCAACAAGAGCCGGACGGGCAGTGAGGATTTGAAAAGCCAGTTTCACGTGAGTTCACAGTGGATGCAGTGTGTCTGCAGCATAGAAAAGCGCGTAGACTTTGAGCCTTCATCTGGGAGCCTCACTTCGACCCTCCTGCTGCCACGCTGCCCTCTGCATTCATGTCTTAGCCGCTTAGCCTGCCAGGCATCAGTACGAACGGCAAGAGCCAACATTTAGTTGCGGCGCCTGGTGGATGAAGGGAAAAAGATGGAGACTTTTTCTCATGAGGCTTCTGCAGCGGTCGCTGGAGCTTCATGCCCAGCGCGGCTACCTTCGCACACGCTGCAAATATGGCGTTGCAGCAGTCGTCGTAGCCATGTCGTAGCGATGTCAGGGCATGTAGGCGCCTGAGACCTAAGACACAACGATGCTTCCACATACTCTCGAAGCTGAAGCTTCATCTTTCCATTTGCATAGTGCCCCGTTGTCTTCGGCATCTGGCCATGCCGAAGGGAGACGGGCTTGGCTACGTCTCGAAGGTGGGTTGTGAAACGTCTCCAGCGACGTTCTCGACTGCACAAGCTGTAGCATCGCAGGATTATGCAGACCTTTTTCGGGAGCTGAGCGGGGACTTCGCGCACAAGGCCAATTGGTTCCTTGATCGTGCTTCGATGGAGTGTTCATCGCTCGGTGTATCAGGATCCTGTGCAGCTGAAGCCGCCATGCCGCGTGCGAAAATGTACAGCCGAGGAGCCGCGCTGCTTGTAGTCTTTGGACGAGTGCTTAAGTTGCCACAGGAGATGTCGGTTCGGCACTTCCCGTTCGGCATCGTGCGAGTAAAGCAGCCCGCTAAGAACGCTTGCATGTCGAAATGGCTGCCCTGTTTGCAACTTGACTAGACGTGCTGAAGCAAACTGCGTGCAAGGCTCCGCATGCGTGGTGGTGACATAGCGATCGAAGATGTGGCGAAAGGGGAGTACATGAAATGGAGCGTTGCTGAGGCACTATCTCCTGAACTTAGAAGCTGTTATTGTTCACGAGGCCCGTGCGAATGCGCAGCTACAAAACTGTCAGGCGCTCTCGCAAAGCTTCAAAAAGCTCTTGCAGCCAGACTGCATGGCAGCTCTTTCGTCTTGCGGCTACAGCGCTAAAGCGGACAAGCATAGAGGAAACCAACCCGCGCCATGAGCCATGCTCAGGAAGATCGTGGTTCCTCCGAGCTGCATTCTGGCCTGCACGGACGAGATCGAAGTTCTCTCCGTATCTTGATTGACCTTGGCTCCCGCCGTCGTCGCACATCGGAGAGTTTTCAGCAGAGGTACAGCGCCCCAGCCTGGGTGATTGCCTTTGGCAATTCTGTGAGTTTCGCTTTGACTACAAGGCCGGCGTGAAACCGTCGACCCCGTTCATCCGTGCAGTTCAAGCCTCATTATGTGGAAGCATGTTTGCGACTCGGAGGTTGATACGGCGGACCCCGTTCTGTTGCTGAACGGCGTGTGCTTCCGCAGCATTCAATCTGCTTTTTGCAGAAGCTTGGGGGCATTTAGGTGAAGTGCCGTTCTGCATCCAAGGTTTGCCAACATGGCAGACTTTGAAGCCATCTTTTGCCAGCAGTTGGAGCGACTCGCCAGAACACTGGCGCGTGCTGGCAACTGCATAAGACTCGACAGGTCTTCTTCGGTTTTGGTTTCACTTAGTTTGTTGGTGCTTCTTCACGCTTGGCGTGTCGCAATTCACCGTTTGTAGCATTGGAGCGTTAGCAGATGTTGGTTTGGCAGCGGTCGGTGGGGTCCGCAGCTTCAGTCGCTTGCAATCCAGTACTCAGTGCCTGCTGTCAGCAGTAGTCACAGTCAGGAGACGGCTGACACCCGATATCCACGAAGAAAGTCCAGTCCACAGTTCACGATCAGAAGTATCTTGTTTGGTTGCGGTGTCAGTGCAACAACGACACATACATCAAAACACACATCCGCCCTGTATATTAGGATGCATGGATGTGCTCTCAGGACGAGATTCAGAGATGTTTACCTTCTAACGGCTGCCTGGCGACATGTGCGTAATGCTGCAGTTTGCCAGCACGATTAGACAACAAGCATGCTGGCGTGCAGATTTGTTGGAGATCGTGTTTGTCTGATCGGCTTGGCACCTCCAGATTTCCTCTAGATGACGTGCCAGACAAGGTCCTCGGCCTCATCAACAAGCGCTTCTTATTGATGGATGGTGGGGCCATCTTAGACGCGATCTCTCTCCACAAGGCTACCCCTCTGGTTTGTTTTTTGCTCTCAGGCATCGCTGCAGCTGATCAGGCTGCCGAGGCCAATGACGTCGAGGCAATTGCCGCGCTGGCCAATCCCAGCACCATCAACACAGTCCTCAAGGCGCTTGGTGCAAAACTCACGTCAATGACACGTCCCAGGACATGGAATCAAGGTGAGTCCAGACTGAAGAAGTTTGGGTTTCAAGATCTGTGCGTCTCAGGGCGACCGGCTCCCATGCGGTGTGCTGAACGAGGAAAGTTGGGTCATTTGAGTCGTTCTGTTCTGCTCGAGACTTGGTTCCTCACGGCTGGACAGGTAGGTGTCTGCATTTTAGCTGCAGCTACTTGTAGTGCTGGAACAGCGAGATGTTGGGCAGACACAAGACAGAATCAGACATTCTGTTGCGGCAGCATCGTGAATCTGCAGCTAACCCTTGTTGTGGTACATGACGGGACATGTGCATCTTTCTGCCTGCCAAGACAGCACAAGCAGGACGAGACCTTTTCAATGGTTTCACTGCAGCGGACACCTTTGCTGGCTGCTGCGGAAGCGGGTCATGCTGAGGCACGACTTGTGAAGATCTCTGTGTTCGGAATAGGCAATTGCACTTCCGAGTGGCGGGTGATGTACTTCGGAAAGGCGGCGCGGCGGCTACTGGATGCGAAGGCAGAGGTGAATTACCAGGACTGCAGAAGATGTTTTGTTCGTTTGGAGGCTTGATGCGTCTCGGTAACAGCGTCATCGAAGCTACGCACTGCACCTTGCCATTTGCAGGATACATCTGGTTTTCATGCTCTCTACCTTGCAGCTGGAGCTCCCAGTGCACAGGAGGCCTCCCTCACAAGAAGTCATACAGTGTGCCGTAGCCAAGCAGCTCAACCACTTGCATCACTTGAACAGACTTGACTCACATAGGGCCGTCGGATAATGGGCTGTCGCGTCTGTAGTGCAGGCTGTGAAGCTTCTCCTGGAGCAGGGCGCCGACATACAACTAGCGAAGCTTTGCAGCAAGACAGAGACAGAGACCTCAACATGAAGCAGGGTGAGGTCGTTTCGCTTTGTCCTGCAGCTGAGGAACAGAAGTGTGCAGCTGAGTGAGGAGTCGCGTTGCAAGCCATCATGTGAGTACGTACTATGAACTATCCCCGACTGGCTAGAGCAACTCCAACTCCTCCGCCGCATCACTGCTCGCGGCTGCCGCCCCCAGGTGGCTACACAGCGCTGCACAACGCTTGCGGATGTGGCCAGGTTGACAGCATTCGAGTGCTGTTGGAGGCCGTCCTTGTCACTTCTGCGACCAGCAGCAGGTTGCTAATGGTGATCTTTGAAGACAGGCTCGTGCAGACCTGAATATGAAGAGCCGCAGCGGAGCGGCTCCGGTACACGTGGCTGCCAGGAGCCTAGACGTTTGCGCTGCTCTCACTCTCACTCTCAGTCTCAGTCTCACTCTCACTCTCTCTCTTTCCATCTCTGCTCTCACTCTCACTCTCACCCTTTCTATCTCTCTCTCGCTCCGTAGAGGCCCGTAGGCCCGTAAGAGCTGAGGCGATTAGCGATCGTCCCGCGTCCCTGGAGGTCTGTGCAGCTATGCCGTGCTACGTAAGCAACTGTGAATCCGTCCGAACGGCAGGTATTGAAGCAGTACAAGTCCAATCTGGACATGTCAGCACCCTATTTGGAAAAGCGCAGAGTGCGGCTCTTTACCGGGCTCTGACCCAGGCCAGCAGTGGGCGGAAATACCGCCGTGCACGAGGGTGTTATGCAGACTCTCGGCTAGCGGGTCGGACAACATCCAGAGAAGCTGAGAGCAGTTCCGGGGATTCTGTGTGAGTTTTGTTAGGACTGGGACTGTTAGGACTGTTAGGATTGACATTTGCTTTCCCCTTTAGGGGCAGCTCCGAGGAACAATCCAGGGATCATCCAGAAGCTTTTCGAGCTGAAGGCCACGCACATCAACGAGTGCTCGCGCTAGTCTAGCTCCTCTTCGCTGTCTGCCACTCGCTTAGAAGTCTGCTGAAGTACCAGGCGGACATCAACATTGAGAGCGGCCCAGACAATCAGTTTGCGACACCGCTGAAGATGGCATTGGACAGGAGCCACGAAGATGAGGGCGTCGCCGGTTCTCAGAGAAGGTTCTTAGTGTTCGTGTCCTTTGGTATCTTCCCAGTATCTTCCTTAACTCTCACTGAATGCTCTCTGTGTTTCAGCTTTGATTTGCTTGCTTTTTTATTTGTTTGCTGGCTTGCTTGGTTGCTTGCTTGCTTGGTTGCTTCTTCATTTCTCCGTTTGATTGTTTGCTTGCATGTTTGTTTGTTTGTTTGTTTGTTTGTTTGTGTGTGCATGTGCCACATCCTCCTTGTCACATCCGCTCCACGCCCTGCTCTGTCGGTTCTGGCAATTTCACAGAGTTTTTCCAGGCCCCTCCGAGTAGCTCACGCTCCGAACTCGCAAAAAATCGGGGTTTTGAGTTGCCCGGTGGCCGCCTCTTCCGAAGCTCAGAGTTGAACACAGCTACTTCGCTGTTGTAGCCGCCACGCCGTTGATGGCCCGATGCCCAACGAGTCCGATCTCGGGTTGGCGGAAGCTGGGGTGCTTGATCTTGGTTGGTCTGGTGTGAATTCTCTCTCCCGTTCTTTCAGTTGTAGGGACGTGCAGTTGTGGCTGTGAAACCAAACGCGGCTTGAACTTTCTGCCATGCACAGAAACAGAAAGACAGGCAGACAGACAAATACACAACCATCATATCTTGAAACCCCTCGGAAGCCCGTAAAAGGCGAGTTTGCCTTGGCGCCTGGGGGCCTCACTCGCCTCTTATTGCTGGGAGAAGAAGAAGACAGACATATGGACATGCGTCATGCATCAGAGGAGGGGCATCTCAGCTGTAGCTTTCAGCATTCGCAGGAAGAAGAAAAAAGCTGCCAAAGTGCTCAAGGATCTCGGGGCCATCGAGCAGGTGGGCTGTGATTTTTCATCTGCAGCTGTCGGTGCTGTGGGTCATGCCAGGTGCCTGGGGGCAACACCACTGGCGAGGTCTTCGACAGCGCCAAGACAAGCGATTTCAGGCTCCTGTTGAACGATCCAAAACGGCGATCAGGGCACCACGCATGGTGAACTTGTCTTGGCATCTTCCGTGCATCCATACGGCATGAGCATATCCCTACCGGAGAATGGAACTCGCGGAAGTTTGGACTTTGCCCGTTTCTTTGCACTGAATGGGCTGTGGGCTGCGCCTGCATCAGGGCAAGTAAAGCTCAATCATCTCCCCATGAAACCCTACGTGCTAGTAGTAGCCTGAGCCCTATTCTGACGAGAGCCACGGGTCCCAGGCCGGCCGCAAAGAGGGAGCCGCAGCGTCCGAGTGTCCACCGTCAAAGCGTCTTCTTAGAAAACGCAGAGCTCCGGGATTCTGCACAACTGCTTGGCTTTGTTCCGAACACCCTGCCGCCAGGAATCTCCCGCGTGAAACTGCATCCAATCACCGAAGTCTAGCTCTGCCCGATTCGGATTCGGTCACTCGCAGAGAGGCCGAGCTTCCAAGCCTTCAAGCAACGCGGCCATTGTAGTCTGGCACGGTCTGGGCCGGCGGTTCTGCAGCGCAGTCTTCACGCCCCATCTCCAAGTGATGTCAGCACAGGAGAGCACCTGCTGACAGTAGCTGCAGTAGCTCCTCCGGCCATCCTTCCCACATCCGCCTGCGCCTCCCTCTGCTGCTGCTTGCTGTCCCCACACGGAAAGGAAGGGCTTTCAGGCTTGGCGAATTGCAGGTGCATGCTACCGCGGACATGCCCCCCGAGGTACCGAGACCACTGTGCACAAAGCCATAAATTCGAAAAAACTGACCTTCGACCCAGAACCAGAACATGTCTTGTGATTGCAACCGGTGGCTGAGTTTGCTTCACGGTTTCTGTGCCAAGTTTCGCCCCGGTAGAGGTTGAGGCGGCGGCCTTTGCGGTGATGCGACCACAGTGTCGCAAGCAGCAAGGCACTCCGGACGATTTCCATGCAGCGACGGGAAGTTTTCTGTCTTCGTTTCAGGAGTGCTAGGATTGCTTCTGTGCCGCTTAGCTCGGAAGCTAAAGCTTCCCGGTCATGCCGATGATAGGACTTTCTGATCGAGCCGTGTGTGCTGCCTTTGCTTTCAGCAACTTGGTTTCTTCACATGATCGCATCGGCGACAGAAAAGTGGCGTTCGCGTAATTTGCCACCGCGGGTGTGGACACTTGTGCGTGTGAGTCTGGCAGGTCGCTGCCGTGATTTAGAATATAGAAGCTCTAATGAAGCTTGAAGCCGGTGTCTTCATGCGAAGTTCCGGTGCAAGTGCTGCAGCATGTTGTAGCTACAACAATTGAGGTGCAGCTTGACCCGAGTGAAGCTGTCTTATTGGCACTTCCGCCACTGACGGACGCTGCTTGTTCGCCCTTGCATGCTTAAAGCCGATGATCTCTCGCACGATTAAACAACAACTCCATCTTGTTGCAACGGACAAGTTGGAGCCCCTTAGAGCTGCTCTCACTGCTCTCACAAAAGGCATTAAGTCAGCAAGACTACATCAGTGCAGCTTACTCCAAGAAGCTTCTCGCAGAAGGCTGCTAAGAAGGCATAAGACCAGCTGAATCATGGGGCGCACCGATGTTGCCTTCCAAGCACGGTACTTCTAAGTCCACATCTCAGTGTCACTCGATATGGGCTACAAAGCCGCTGCCATGCGTGTCGGGCTAAGGCGATGAAGCGAGATGGCCCCGACGACGAGTAGCGGTACTTAGTCGAAGCTTGAAGGTTGAGGACTTGAGGATCCAGCTCTAGTCAACTGTGTGTCTCAAGAAGGCTCTTTGTTTAATCCTCCGAGGCGCGGTGGTGGGCCACCCCCGAAGCGGCCACGAGGGCGGAGTCCTGGGAGGGGCGAGGCAAGGCTTCAGACTTGATGCGAAGCCTCGTAGCAAAAAGCCCTAGCGCCCTGCCAGACCGCGTTCGGACGAATAGTGAACTGGTACCCGGTGAAGAAGTATGGGCCTGGAGCCTGGCATTTCAGCGTGGCCAGAGAGAGGGGATGAGGATCGCAGCTGGCATGTTTTTTGTTGGTCGTCTTGACCGGGCCGGTCCCGCTGCGCAAGGTTTATCCAGTCCGACGTTGCGGCGAAGGAGTGCAAGCTGCTCACGCATCGGCTCACGACGTCTCAGTGATGGAAGTCGGGCAAGTCAGGGCCAGGTACGACGGCCAAATCGGCAAAATGCGGTGGTGTTTTCCCAGTGCACCATGCATTGCTACGAAGGAAGGACTAGTGCAAGCTGTTGTGTTTATGACAGCTTCAGGACGTCTTCTTCCCCAGGCAAGCTCTCCCACCTGAACTTCAGGAGATCTTGGCCAATTGACATATCGCCCTGCACGGAATGTGTTGCAACCCAGCCGCAGGAGGTGGAGTTCGACCGGCTGAAAGGCATGGAGGCCTTGCTTGCAGTCAGCTAAGCCCTTGGCATACATCTCTTTCCGAGGCTGCTTCGTTTTTTTTCGTCTCGCCTGTGGGCTCCCGCACGCCCCGGCCCGCCACCCCCCTCGCCGACCGCTCCAAAGCGTGAAATCTTTTGACCTTGCCAGGGTTCTCTCGAAGTGTCAAGGCCGCGGCCGATAAGAGACCCGAGCTACATCGCGATGTGTGCATGGACTTCGAGATGCCAGTTGACCGCAGCCCGCACTAGAAAGCTATTCGCCCTCATGCGGCTTTGTTGGGGATACGGGCAATTGAGTTGCGACATACTGAAGATTCGATTTGGCCTCGTCCAGTGTATTCTTTGCACATTCCATGTGACCAGAGAGGCGGTCATTCCGGAATGGCGCGCCCCGCTTTCCAGTTCGTTCTTTGATTTTTCAAGCATGTGCCTGGCCGTTGCGCCTCTCATCTTCGAGAAGCACCCCGCGCATTGATGTGATGTGCTGCGAAGACGAGAATGCAGAGTTCACATCTCCCTCTGCACACACCTCTGTCTTGTGTTGTCACTTAAACTGCGGTTGCTGGGGCTGGGAGGTCTCCTTCATCTTCACCGAGAACGAGGGGAAGCCGCGAGCAGAAGCTGTGACACCTGTTCCTCAGCGCCCGGAGCTGAGCACGCAGCCGGCCTTTTCAAACGGGAACCCGAAGCCAGATCTCAGGACAAAATCGTTTGCCAACCCCGCCGAGGAGACGTGAGCGCGAAGGCAGCAAAGGCTGAAAGTACACCCTAAACCTCAATCCGTAAGTCCACGATGCTGAATCCCAAATCCCAATCTCGAAAGGTGCAGCGGTACTAAGATCCTGCTTCGAGCATGCAGGGTCTTCGGTGTTCTTTCCTAATCAGGGAACAGACAGAACGGGATAGTCTCAAAGCTGCTTCTACCGATGCTGCTGCGGGGCTACAGCCAATGCTACTCTTGTGACTGTTGTTATTCGCATGAGCTGCCTTGTATTCGTCTTACTGTCAGTACTTCAATGCCGTTCTCTTCTTGAAGGACTTTTGCTAAAGGTTCAGGTGATCAGTGTGACCATGGTTACAGCCTTTGCCATCCATCCGTTCCTCCCTGCGCTTCTGCGAGGGCGTCCGATGGAGCCACCACCTCCGCAAGAGCGCTTGCCACAGGGCTCAGAGATGGGGACTCGGGAAAACGTTGGAGTTTCGGATCTCGGGATCATGTGATACAGTAGCGGGCGGATTATCGTTCCGTGTGATTTGTTGAAGTTAATTGTAGATGACGGCTAGTGTAGCAACCCGGTTTGGAGCAGCATTCGTAGGGAAGAGAGCAGAGGAAGCAAGATGCACAAGACAAACTACGCTACACTAGAATCAATAGAAGAACTGGAGTCCCGGAAAGAAAATCCTTCCAGCAAGGCCGGCTTTCAAGACTGGAGTGATCCGGTCCTATGACACGAAGAAGGCATCATCGGACGTTTAGCAGCAGCAGCAGCTGCAGCAGCAGCAGCAGCAGGAGTAGCTACTACTACTACTACTACTACTACTACTACTACTACTACTACTACTACTACTACTACTACTACTACTCCTGCTGCTGCTGCTGCTGCTGCTGCTGCTACTGCTGCTCCGGCTCCTGCTGCTGCCGCTCCTGCTCCTGCTGCTGCTACTGCTACTACCACTGCCACTGCCACTGCGACTGCGACTGCCGCTGCTACTGCTACTGCTACTAGGATACTAGTGCTACGACGGCGACAACGACTACAGTGACGACGACGACGACGACTGCTACTACCTCTACTGCTACCACTCCTGCCACTGCTACTGCTGGTACTGCTCTGCTGCTGCTGGTGCAAGTGTCGTTGCTGCGACTTTCACGGTAAATTTCTCAAGGACAGAGCCACTTTCAAAAACGTTAGTGGAAGCCAGAGCTATTCACAGTAGGAAGAGTAGCAGCGACTTCAGCTGCAGTTGTGCGAGTAAGGAAGGGGTTCAGATTGCAAGCAGTTGTAATGGTGAAAAAAAAAAGCACTAGAGTCACTAGACTCATTCGCGACTGACTACCGGAGTCTCGCTCCTTCGCTTGCAAAGGCAGAACTCCACACTGCCATTTCAGCACTTTCGTCGTTTCGTTTCCGTGGCGTGTCTCCGAATACCTCGGATGTTCAGGGATTCGGCTTCATCAAACCGGACGACATGCAAGAGGATGCCTTCTATCTGAGGCCAATGGGCCTTGGTTCATGAAGCTGCTGTCTTGCACAGCTCGTCAAGCAGGTTTGCATAAAGCGCGGTTTTGGGCGGGCACTGGGACTATCGAAACTGCTGCTTTTTGAAAGTCACGCAGAGCTGCCGCTAAGTTTGGCCACGCCATCTCACGCAGGAGTGAGCTGCCGCCGGAGCTGGCGGGCGGCGAGCCCCGGCGGGAGCAGGTTCGAACCCCAGAGCGGGAGCGGCCGTGACCTAGAGTCTGAGAGATGTCAGCGCGGAGGTGGTGGATAGGCGGGTCGAGTTCGAGGCCCGAGTCGAAGTCTTCTCGGCACCGGTGCGCCGGAGCACTGCGGCGCAGGTCCGAGTGATGCCAGACGGCAAACTGCGGGCGGAGAGAATCGCTTTCCTGCGGGGTTCGGGCCCTCCCGGCCCCCCTGGCCCCCCGGGCCCACCGCCGGCTCCCATGCTTCCAGGCTCGCGGCTCACGGGAGTTTTTTAACGTCAAGTAAAGCGGTCTTTGCGTGCTTTCCGTCGCCGTCGCTTGTCAGGACCATTTCGAGAAGGCCGAATTCGGAACTTCTACCCGTCCAAGGCCCCGGCACGGAATGATGCTTTACCTCTCGTCGACCAGCGTGCTGCGCGTGCGACCGGGAAATGCATGGGGCTTGTTGCATGACAGATTTAGGGCCTATGGGCTTTTCAGGGTCTCCATGAATATTCACTTCTCATGACTTCGCATGGTTCTAATCTTGCTCACGCGCTGCTGTGAGGGCTATGGCTTCATCGAAGTGCCGATGGGCCCAGATGTCTTTTTCCTGCCTAGTGCTTTGCCCAAGGACCAGTATGCAGTCCAGTCAGCCAACGGGGCGAAGGGTGTGATCTTGCCTTTTGCCTTTGCCGGTGAAGGACCTCTTGGACTCCAGGCAGCCATTGGAAGGCATGGAAATCTCCTTTGAGCCGAGTACCAGCGAGGCGGGCTCCTCAGCAAAGAGTCCAAGAGAAAGAGGCTTTTTGCCCCGCGACTCGCCCCCAAGCGGCCCTCAAAGGAAGGCAAACCCAGGGCCAGGAACATCCGGCCGTCCGAGTCTCAGTGAAGGTCGCACTGGACTTGGGCACCGCGGGCGTGTGGAGAAATTTTTAGAGACTCCAAACCGCTGCTGTTCAGCTTACGAGGATTGGGCACCGCGGGGGCGGGGGCCCGCCGAGTCAGAGGCCGCCAAGAGGGAATCGGGCGATGAGAACGTGGGACCGCCGGAGGATGCGTAGGATTTCGGGTGAAGGTGTGCAATGCTCCTTTCTGTCAGGCCACCCCCTCGAATGCCGTGGCGGGCTCAATCTTGGCTGCAAACTGCCACATCTGCCACGGTACTCGCAGCCTCGTCGTCTTACCATGATCATAATCACTATCGCTATCATTACTATTGAAACTATGTTTACCGTTACTGTTCTTATTCTTTCTTTCATTCTTCTTCTCAGTCTTATTACAATTTCGTTTCTTCTTTCTATCATGAAGGGCCCTCCACGCACCTGAGGATCCCGGCCCCACCCGCCATGGTCCGGGCCTTGGTCGCAAGAAGCCGAAAGCCGGAAAAGGCCGATGAAATGGGGGTCGACTGTTTAGGGTTTAGGAGTTTAGGGTTTGGGGTTTGAGGGTTTCAAGGTTTAGGGTTTAGGGTCCCTCGGCTCTGTTCCTGAAGATGCCATGCTTTTCCGCAGCATTTTTTTTATTCGAATCCTGCCCTTAGCCAGTGCTTGCACTGGAAGTTCGGCCGGATTCTCATTGGGCAAGGCCGCGGGGAGCAGTTCAGATCGGGAGACTCCTGTGTTGCGAGGCTCGAAGTTTATGGCGCCGGCACCCACATCTCCCATCACCAGAGTTCTTCGGCTGTCCAAGCTGTTCAAGGATTCAAGGGCTGTTTAAGCGAAAGAAGCTCCGGCCAGCCAGGAGTTGTTGTCATAGAGGTGTTCCAGTAAAAGAATGACGCCTCCCTACGAAGACTTTCGACCCCAAGGCCAGTGTCGACACGATCATCTTCGTGGATGTTGACGGTGTGCTCAACGCGACCTGAATCAAAGATCCTCGATTTTCTCCTGCATGGCCTTCCCATTCGACTGTGAAGGGTTCTGTGTTGTGGCAAGATGCCTCAAAGTCGGTGCATGAGGTTGGAATCCAAGACGACGACAAACCTCCTCTGCTTTTCCGTGACGTGCCCTGGTCGTGTGTTGGTCACGTCATGTCTCGAGATACATCCGGACCCACAGATATGGTGTGGCCGGCAACTGCTTCGGTGCTCGAGCACTCAAGCCAAGGAGGATGTCCACACTGCGCTGCGGCTCGCCAAAAAGGGCTACAACGGCCCCGAGGTTTCTTCTGTCAGTGCGGTCATATGGCGTCCATCCTGCTTCGCTTGCTTCATTGCTCCACCGGCACGTTGCAGGCAAGCTGCGTGGAGAAGCTAAGCGCCCTAGCCGAACACCAGGCCGGGGTATGGGAGCGTTGTGAGACTTTATGACCTTTCTTCGCGTCAAAAGCATGTTGAACAGAGCAAGCAGGTTGGATTCAAGGAGAATGGCACCTACGATACTCGGACTCAAAATTAACTGGCACACACGAAAGAGAGGGCAGAAGGCTCCGGTGGCTTAAAAAGCAAAGCGCATCGCCGACTGTGACATCTGTGGAGGTCGGCGTAGTTCGGATGTGGAGAGCAGCATTTGCCGAATTTCTGGCAGGCTGTCAGCAGTCTTAAGTCCTGCTACAGTAAAGTCAGCCTGGAGAAGTGAACCCTGGCTAAGGACAAGCTGATGACCCGCAACGGTGCTGAGGCTCCGGCAACCTGCGACACCATGGTCGGGAAGTGAAGGGCAAAGCTTTTCCCACACCTTTTGCATGCATCCCGTTCAGTTGACCGATCTTCTGGTCCAGCGACTGGCAAAGCTCATCGCGCCTGTGGCAGCTTTGTGCTGTAGGCTTCTTGCTGTTTCTTTGACTGGTTCGATTCGGGCACCAGGTTCGGGATGCAAGCGGTGCTTGGATGTTGGTTCAGAAGAGTCATTCTTTTGCCATGTGTGCTGTCACCTTCAAGCGGCCGTTGCAAAGCGGGTCACATCCATGCAGTGTATAACTCACTTCCAAGGCGCTGGCGGGCCCTAACGCCAAGGCGTGGGGGCTGCTGTTGCAACTCTTGCACATGTCTTTCGAAACTCGGGGCCGGGGCGGAGAGAGCGGCGGGTCCGTGCCTGAGCTCCGTGTTGGAGGTCGTGCTCTCGTCAAGCTGGCGCAGGCCTGGACTGGCTGCAGTCGACTCCTTCCTCATTTCCTCTTCCTCTCTTTCCTCCTTCCTCCCCTTCCTGCCCTTCCTCCCCGTCCGTCACGTCCTCCCTTCCTCCCCTTGTCCTCCAGTTCTCTTGCTTCCTCTTTATTCCCTTACTCTTCTTTCTTCTTCCTCCCCTTCCTGCGAAGGCCGCACCACCGAACCCGCCGCCGACAGCTGGAAGAGTCCCTGGCACAGCACCTGGGCAAATCGTTGCTTGGCTGAATCGGAGCTTGTTGGGTGAGCGGGCAGTGGACTGCATGATGCTGCATGCGCATCACTTCCCTTTGGTGCCATTTTTGCTTTCATCAGCGGAGAGGGATCCATGCGGACGGGCTGACATGTCGGGCTCAAGGGTAAACTCCAGCTGGGATTGACAAGGGTGCTCGCGGCCTGACTTGGCAGTTGAATTTGGATGTCTCACCATATTAATATTGGCAGGGCGAGCTGGCACGTCTCTGTCTACTCACGTTGCTACGGTTGCTGGGTGTCACGCGAGAGTCAGACCCAGGTTCCGCTTCCATTCCGTCACGGCTTTGTACCGTGAGGCCTTCACTGCCTCTGATCAGAGATCGATGAAATGATGAGTTTGTCTGTTGGTAGGAAAAGACGGCGGCTGATCGCCTGGAAACTGTTGGCGACTACCTCGCCGAATTCTGAACCTCGTCTGGCTATGGCTGCGTTCCTGCTAGTATAGTTAACTTTCTTCACTGCTTTGTTGCTTGCCAGAGCGATCCAGAGCGTATACCAATGAGGTCATCGCCGCGATGATGTGACTAGCTTGCGAGTTGTCATGCTGGAGGACGGTGGCAGAGCGAAATCGCAAGCTGCGCAGGGCTTCGCAGGTAGCCTGACATAAGGCGTCCTCCGTGACAGCTGACAGGATTTCTTCATTACGCCACTGGACGGCCTCCCGACGGAATTAATTCACTGTTTCATTGCCCGGGGATTCGAGAACCGCCAATCGGTACGTGCCGCTTGTGTCATTTGACCATGGTCGTTTGGTCAACTGGTTTGGGAAATACACTACGACCTGCGCAAGTGACTATGGTCACTTGGTCTATGGTTTAGGGGTTCAGGGTTAAGAGCTTATGGTTTAGAACTTAGTTTAGGGTTAATTTGGCCGAAGTGCTTAAATTTAACAGGCTTTGGGTTTTAATCGGTCGCCGGGCAGTTGCACTTAGGGTTTCGGGTTTAGGGTTAATGGCTGACGGCTAGGGTTGAGGGGTTTAGGGTTTGAGGGTTTGAGGGTTGGCAAGTGCACAAGGGGACCATGTATTACTATCGCCTCAAAAGCTGCCTTACTAGCTTGAATTCTAGGAAACGAAAAGTGACACTGCTAACTTGCTCAAGTGGTAGCTGCACCAAGCGATCCTTTGTCTTGCTGAGGATGGAAGCTCAAGGGCCGGGCCATCAAGAACCCGAGCGACGCTGACCCGCGGCAGCACCGGCTGCACCGTACTTCTACTCTGTGTACTCTTTGAGCAGCTTTTTGAAGGCTCGAGAACTCTTCGCTGTTGAGGTCGGTGGGAGGGAGAGAGAGACACACAGACTATCGCTTCAAGCCCCCGTCTGCACCTGCCGGTGCGTCTGGGAAGGGGTCCGTTCTCCTTTCTTGTGCATTGTCATTGCCGGAACCAGACGAGAAGACATGCCAACGTTTGATCGAACTTGCAGCATTGATCTTGCCCGGATGCTTCGCGCGAGAGCCACGGGCTGGACCGCATGTTGGTGCTTGGGCTCCTTTGGTGGCCTCTATGGCTCTATGGTTGCAGCACGTGCATGCACGGTCGGAGCTGTCCTAACCGGTGAGGGAAACGCATTTTCATCCGAGTGCTGCAGTTCTTTCTCTCGGGGACGGTTTTCCGGAGTGCTAAAAAGAGAAGATGCAAACAGCACTGACTTGGAGTCGGGGGCTCAACAATCTGAACCCTCGGCGCGATCCCGACAATCCCGACAGCTTGAATCTCGTGCCCGTGGCCGAAGGCAAGAACCGCCTAGGATGCGTCAGCGTTCGTTCATGTTGAGAACGGCCGGTCTTCTGGTCCGGGGGCAGAGTCTCATAGTAGATGCGTCTGCGAGCTTCGACTTCAGCGCCCTTTCTGTCTAAGGAGCGCTATCTGGACAGCCGTGCCCGCAGCATGTCACCAGCTCTGAGCGTCCAGTCGAAGCTCTGCCACTGCCGGACTCTCAGAGGATCGGGGCCCGGCCCGGATGCGCTCATGAAAAGAGGAAGCCAGATGGGAGTTTCCGAAAATTAGGGGTACCTTATTTGGGGTCCTTAGGATCCTACTATTTAGGGTACAGTATTAGGGTTCCCTATCTTCGGAAACTCCCAGATGAAGCCAGTCTCAGGCTATGACCACGTCAAGACTAGCAGCGGACTGCGAATGCAGGCCCGTACGCGCTGTCTTTGGCGGCGTACTTGACGAACTTGGGATATTGTAGGGGTTGGGTTGGGCCCAGGTCCTGCGGGTCTACATGAATGTTTATATATCTCTCGGGGAAGTAAAGATCTCCTTACTACTTACCGAAACGTTCACCGGCAGTTGCCCATCATCGATGACAGTCTGCTGCAACATCCACATGCCTGCGCTCCCATCCACGCCTGCCTATGATATACTCGGAAGAAGCTGTGGAAATACCCAGTGTATCTATGGGAGCATGTGCCAATCGTCAATAGTTTTGTTTCAGTGATTGAACGTGATGCGCCGCCATCGTAACACAAAGTTTCAGCAGCTTGGTCATGTGCTAAGTTGTTCAGTGCCCACAGTTGCATCATGTCGCGGTGATGTGTGCTTTCAACAGCTTAAGGCCGAAAAGATGGGCAGCAGTCTCGTAACTCTGAGCCGTGTCGTTGAGTTTAATTTGCTCATACCTCAGAGATCTGAGACCTGCTGATGGGCACTCGATCTGAGAGCTGTAGGGAGTCAAGTTGCTCTTGGTTTGAGGCATTGGTAGCTGGGAAAATCATACGTAGCAGCGCCTGTTGGCCACCAGAGTGCACATGGGTCGGTACCGATGATCAGCCGTGGATGCCTAGAGGTTCGCGAAACGGATACGGATCTTTGCCGCCCGTATAGCCGTGGCGTAGCAGGTGGGCACGGGCTTCACGCAACAGCTGTTTGAAGAGGCAGGGTCAGCACCACGGTCCTGTTGAAGCGCGTTTCGGGCGTCCATCTGTGACTCCTCGTCAAAAGGCCAGTGCCTTCCTTGACCGCGAGAAGCAGGGGGAATCGGCCGAAACGAACCAAGGCCGGGCCGCTGTCGGCGGTTTTCAGGGGGTGGTGGTGGCGCCTTAAGTCAGCCAAGTGTGTCAAAAAAGTGCTGCGTCCTTGGAGGCGAGGAGCAGAACTTCCTGCCCTCCCTCGTGCAGCGTGCACCTGGGCAAAATTGGGCGCTCGCGCGTTTTTGTTTCTTGAAGCGAGTGGCGCATGAGAAGCGTCGGATGCGAGGTGGTGCCAGAGGCCAAAGTGGAGGACATGGTCTTCATAGTCAGACAAGTAGCAAGTAGATCTACACATCCATCCGCTTGATTGCTCATTCGGGGTTTCCCGATCTGAGTGTCTAGACCTACGATGTGATCGTGGTGTTGTGGAGTTTCAGTGTTCTAGCATTCTGTGCCACAATGACCCAATACACGGTGAAGAATGGATGCAGGAGCCCAGCATCATGCAGATCATTTCAGCCTTTGTCCCTCCAGTCAGCTCAATGGCCGCTCTGCAGCGAAGAAGTAGCCCAGAATGCGCAGCATGCGCAGCAGACCAGAAAGTACATGTTATGCAAGCGCCACGGCGACCCCGCCGCTTGCACTGGCGATTGTAGGCTTTGGCTTTGTCAGTTAAGGTCAGGGCCTTTTGAAGAGTGGCTCCCTGGCCGCGGACTGGAAGCGGCTTCTTGGCCGCCTTGGGGGCGCCACACCAGTATATGTTCGCGCATTGGGTATGTGCTGCAATGGGCAGTCAAACGCGGTCCAAGGATGCGATTCGCAAGGACGCTTCAACAGCTTCGCGGTTCAAGAAGTGTTTTGGAGTCATCGGGCTCGCCGTTTGTGAAGACGCTTTTGAGACGGGTAGATAGTCCGGACACTTAGACGATTGTGCATAGCGGTCGAAACAGCATCCTCACAGTGAGCAGGCCTGATGACTTATCAATCTCGGAGCTGAATCAGGGAAGCTTGTAAATGTGTTCCAGGTGATGCCATGACAGACTCATGACACTGCTATTTGCGGTGAGCCAAAAGCAGAGACAAGCTCCCTGGCGTCGCAGTCAGTGCAAGTAAATTCAAGTCGTGGCCACAGCAAGAGGTGCCCCACTGACTTCTGCAGGAAACTGGATTCCAAACCGCCAGTTTGGGTACAGCTTCGAACTTCGTTCCCTGCAGCCGTCACTGTTCGGAGTGGAGACCTGTACAAACATGAAGTAGTTGCAGAGAAAGTCCGCTCCTTTTGAACGCGTTGGGAGCTCCTTGGGGGCGCCTTCCTAGCAAAGACACTTCTTAGTCTCAGCCGGAAGCGGCCACCTTTGCTCAGCTTTGCAAGAAGATGGCTGGGAGGGCTCCAGGTGGCTGCCAATGTTAGAAGGCGCGTTCGTGATCCCCCTGCAGGGTTCGTGCACTGCGGGGGATCTTTCGTTTGAAGCTCTGAGAGGAAGCTCAAGAGCAAGCAGCAGTCCTATGAAGTCCTATGGAAAGCCAACCATCTCTCGTGGGCATGATAATTCTTGACAGTTGAGTTGCTTGTCGTGCAGAGCCTTGAGTTCCAGTGAGGCCGTGTTCAGTCATCTCACATGTTGGCAACTGCCTGCAAACCTTGATATTGGGGTTGAGGGCTCTCTGATAATTCGGGACAGTACGATGTTTACGCTTTGGAATAGGAGCTGCTTGTTGGAGTATTTTTGCACCAAGGAATTGCATTGCACCCCACCATAGTGATAGGGCAGGTGGCCAACATGCGATCTTGGACTTCGGGCGTCGCGGCGTCACACGCAAGGGACAAGTTCCCGAGCCCGGGTGCAACTTTGCTGGCTTCAGCCATGCATGCGGTGCGATGCTTCCGAGACGAAGGCCCTTCCCTCTCGAGGGGACACGCTGTGACAATCGTTTGCGCTCTGCACGTGGCGCACAGAATTTGCAATTGTGTTGAGAGATAGGTTTTTCAAGTCATATCGTACGGGCCTGAGGGACTTGGCAGAGCATTGTGAGTCATGTCGCACAAGTAATGACTGGCTTGAGCCCTGACCTCGAGCCTCGTATGCGCTCTTCGCTATCGTACGATGTGGCATCTTCCAAACAAGCGGCTAAATTTGTGCAGTTTACAGCGCGTATCCGACCTGCGGTGAGACTAGCGGCCTGTATGTTCTAGGAGAGATCGGATCTGTTATCAGTGGACGGCTGAGATCTTCGTTTCATTCAATTGCGTCGGGTCAGTCAGCACGTCATGGTCGCTTCACCTTACAAATTCTAGATTTTAAGATTTCGGGTTGTAGCTCGAAGTTGTGGCCATGTCCAACCAAGTCCTAGCATGTTTCTGTTCCAGGCTTTCTGCTGGAGCTGCGGGTTATGTTACCATGCAGGACGGATGCGCGTGTCGGATGTTCGTCGTGCAAAGTGAGAGCTCTCTTCTATGGATCTGTGAAAGGAGGAGGACGCTTGCGTAATTCTTCGTTTGCCAGCGTGCATAGCTGCTTACCATACAGTGAGGAGCGTGGTCAACTAGAACTGCACATAGTGAAACGACGTATTCCAAAAACAAGAAGATGGTGTATCCTCCGGGTGCAGACATTCCTGAAGGAGTCCAGTGCACAGCGGCGTCCAATCAGGGGTTTGGCATCCCTTGTGATTGGCTTTGATCTTGAGGTAAAGCCCCGACGGTGTTACTGCACGACATACCCATCTAACCAGAAGGTTTCAGCAGGGGTACATGTCCAGAGTGAGTAGCTGGGTTTCCGGATAAAGCACATAACTTGAGCAGCACAAGCGCGCCAAAGCATCACCGCACACTAAGGGAGAACAGAAGTTGTCATGGGTCTTTAGACTTCGAAGGAAGTATGTGCCAAGCCCGATCCAGATGGAAAACAGTAAAGCAAGAGCGACCTGCATAAATATGTATTCAGAGACACAGTGCAGCCGATCCTAAACGAGGACAGTTGCAAAGGAAGAGGCAGATAAACCACTCACATACAGTTGAGCGGCATGTGTTGAAGCGCAAGTGTAGCTTGTTGCACACACACACACGTGTATGTGCATGTGTTTGTACATGTATATGTATGTGATGTATGTGTATGAGATAATAGGTATAGGTATGTGTATATAGTGTATATGTTTGCCTATGTCATGTATGCACATGCGCATAGCATCTGTCCGTGACTTTGCATCTATGGTTTCATGTAACTAGAGAAGTACATCTGGAGTTCTGAACATGGCACATCTATCCATGTATGTCTACCTGCCTGCTACCTGCCTACCTACCCACCTCCAACCTTCCGACCTTCGGACCCGACCTGCTACCCACCTACCTGCTTGTCTATCTACCGCATCTATCTAACAAATCTCTAATCAGTTTAATCCATCGAGTCTTTGTAATCTACTTATCCGCGCACACGTGTTCTTGTATCTGCACCCTCGAAGCTGACGTTAAAACACCAGAAGGGGTCCAACCTCGCTTTGTTCGTCCCTGCGTTTGGTGAGGGATTCTGATGCGCGCTCTGATGGGGCCTGGCCTGGTTTGACATCAGGAGGTCATCACTTGTTTGAGGACTTGCGGCTGCCTGGGAAGAGACGTGCTCGCACTGGCTTGTCCCCACGGCACTGTGCAACTTGTGAACTAATGAATTCGTTTCGGATGCTAAGTCTTCGCTCTGACGCTTTTTGCAAATGGAGCTCCCTGCTTATGGTACGCAGTGCTTGGAAGCCAAGTCATGCGGTCTGTCGCAACATTTGAGATTTGACAGATGGATCGTGCCTCTGCAGCTCAGTGGTGCAGTTGGGGGGCCGCCCTCATTGGGCACTAGGTCACTAGGGCTCATTACGGGCAGAAGCAGAAAGTGGCCTCGCTTCGCATCCAAGCAGTGGACCCCGCGGCTCCCCCTGACACTGTGCTCGTAGCTCTGATAGCAACCCCATAGCATGTTCCTGACGGGTGCAGGAGGAAGGCAACGCAAGGATTTGCATAGAAGAAAGAGAATGGAGTTTGCGAATGTAGACGGCTTGAATGGACAAAGGTAGACGGCCTTGCACCCGTTCCCTATGGAGGTTTCGACCCGGCCTGGGTAGCCGTTCACCCAGAGTGTCCTCGGACAGCTTCCTGGGATCCTGTGAATGTGAAAGAGTTTGGAGGCCCCTTCTCGGGTACCTCCGGGCTCTGCCAGGCAACAGACGCCTTTGGGCCCATGGAGGGCTCATGGATGTCCAAATTCATGGTAGGTCTGCCAACGACAACTGTCACTCTTATGAACTCTGAAGAGGACAGTTTGCAGAGGAAGGCGGCTAGGCACTGATCGCTTGTTGGTCAGCTCAGCCTTTAGATGACTGAGCCCGGCTTGCCGTTTTCAGGGTACGACCCTCACCTGCCCGTGGATTCTCGTGGCCGCCATTCAATCAAAACTGTACAGGCTCGTGGCTCTTAGATGCGAGCACTTGATGTCATTGTAAACTGAGCTGTCAGTGACAGCTCTGTCGGCAGATGGAAGTGCTCTGGAAGCTTTCAGCAAGCCTAGCCGTCGCCCTTCAGCTGTGCTGTTGGGGTGCAGTGATTGAGACTCACTGAAGGAGCCTGCATCATATAATGTCACATAGTTGCAAACCCATGAATTGCCAGGTTTGTGTCATGTAAACTTCCGATGTAAGCCATCAACATGAACATGCATGTACCTTTTGTATGTCGCCTGATCCAACTTTAAATTCGGGCAACGGTAGCAAATCTTGCAGTGCTCTTGTGTGTTCTCCAGTCTCGATCTTTCCTCAATTTTCCGAACTCTGCGACTGTCTTTCTCTGAACAGCGCGTGGGTCAACTTGTTTATTCCATGGAATGCAGATAATATAACCATGGCTCTGCGCGAATGATTGCAGAGGAAGACGGGCACTTACAGCTGCAGCTCGCAGTTTGCCGCGGTTTCAACATATTTAAACGTGGCACTGGTGCTGCATGGAGACTCGGCCCGGGCACAGATAGCACTCGCATCGCGATGAGTACCGGACGACACTTTGATGCTGTTGTCACAGTCTGTTATGTCAACAACAAGTCGTTCGTGCGACAATAGCCAACCCGGAAGCCCAAGTGTTGCTGGTGGCCAGTCTAGCAGGGAACCAACAACGCATGCCTGCTCCAGACAAGATCTCTGGTGGAGAGGCTTCTCAAGCGAGCCTGCATCACGGATCGTTGATCAGTCAACAGCTGTCAATAACACCGAGCCAGCGGAGATACCTGGCTTGTGAGCATCAAACTCCCATCCGGCCATGCACTCCAGCGCAAAGCATTCGTACAGCGTGGGAAAGCCTGGAAGCCCGGTCCTGCATACTGCACGATGGCAGTGTGGGTCCATGGCAAGAAGTTGTAAACCACTGGCGGACTGAGAGGATGCACCTTGTACATTCACTTTCCTTGGCGCAGATTGCTGCGCCAGTTATATGGTGAACATCACCCATGATCTTGTTGAAGTCGGATCTCTAGCAGCCTGAGCATTCCGGCAGTGAAGTGTAGCTGCCATACAGGAGACAGGAAGACAGTTTTCTATGCGTGGGCTGCACGAATGCACGAGGATTTGTATCTGGAGATTTTGGAAACCGATCCACGCTCACCCGGATGAAAAGGATAATTCACAAACTCACAGCTGTGGATGTCTCGACATCCAAGCAGAATGATAGTTTTCCATGGCATGACTGTGGCATATCCATACTGCATGTCACTTGGGGAGTGGGGCCCTGAACCATGGAAGAGATTCTGCAAGGTTCTGCAGCCTCCCCCGCCGGTACCGATGGGGCATCCAGCAGGTCCAAGCCTTTTGCGGCCTCACGGTGCAGCCTGTATGTTCTTGCTGGTCTTGACAAGCCACTCACTTGGCTTAGCCTCGAGTTGGCTGTGAGGTCCACCGCCTGTCGTGCCCATGCCACCTCCACGACAAGTGGTGCGCCTCCCAAAATCCCATCCTCCCCAAGACTGACATGTTCTTGAGATCAGGAGAACAGCTCAGCCTCTGGCGGCTGCTTTGTAGCATCGCTGTCAAACGCTTTTTTTCTGTGCATCCAGGCTCGATTCAAGCCTAGCTGACTTATCTACTTTGTACTCGACCCCTTCATGCAGAACCATGAACCCAGTCAGCCTCGTGGCATAGCATTTTCCAGCCCAGAGCCCAGCAAAAACCAAGCCAACAACACCTTCGCAATGCGACGCCACCTCGACTCTCCAGTTCCTTCAGCCCCTTCTCCCTTTTTCGCCTGGCAACCTTTCCAATGCTTTCATGATCGTTGCTCCGGCGGCGCTTAAACTGGCGCTGCCCGTGCCTGTGGCTAATGAGGAGTGACAGAGTGACATGTGTGCTAGCGCTCGCCGAAAGCACTGCTGACTTCGCGACTTGCCTCCTGACTCAGGTTCCGCCAGGTCATGGAGCGCATGCTACAGGAAAGCGCAGCATCTCGACAGCAAAAGGGGAGACAGTAAGGCCAGAGTGGTCGAGGAAAGGATCAAATCGGGTCGATGGATCGAAAAACTTCGTTTCCCAGGCCTGGGCAGCTCCGCGCCTCTTGCGGCTGCTGCAGCGGCAGCCCAGGTGACCTGGCGCCGATGGGAGACGTCATGAATGGCGTTCCGATCTTGCCACCGGTCACCAGCTGCAAGAGCTCAGGCCTTGCGCCCTCGCCCTGGGCGTCGGCGTTTGGCTTCTGCCTCGCAGGCAAAGAAGCGGGACGATGTGTGTTGCACGGCATGGGGGGAGCTGTGTGCCCGTTGCCAGGGGGTCGCTGTGGAGTGGCAGACTCTACGGTCCCTTGAGTTTACATTTGAAAGGGTCGCGAGTGGCAGAAACATTTCAGCGACCATATGCATTTAATATGAACAAGCCGCATCAGGCCTGGGCAATGCTCGTACGTCGTTGCTGCGTCTGAAGCCCTTGAACTTGATGACATCGAAGCCAAGGTCTCGCATCGTTGAGACTCCCACGGGAAAGGAGCCCAACTTGGATTTCTCAAGGCTGTGCTTCGCAGCGACAGCCGTGAGAGCCAGGAGCTGGTCCAGGCGCAGGAAGAAATCTCGTCAGGCCGTAAGACAGTGGTAAGTCCACTGGACAGCCAGGGGCCAGTGTTTGTCCTGTGGTTTTCAGGCCTCCGATGCCATCCAGACGCCGAGGCGCACCCTGTACACGGGTCTTATCCGCAGCTCAGCATGTCTTCTTGCAGGTACGCTTTTTCGGCTCCAGCCGACAAACGCCTCGGGTGACCCAGATGCAACATGATGCAACATGCTGTAGCCTGAACACATAATTTTGTGGAATCCAGCGACGGAAGTGCACAGGTGACGTTCTATCGGGACTCGGCTGCGCTGTGTCCTCGTTGCCAGGCGTGTCGGACTGTGAATGCTTCTTCTTGAAGACGCTTAGTTCCGTGCTTCAAAGAGCATGGTTTTCTCAGGCAGTTTGGCTGCTCCTTGTACCTTGGCGAGACATCTGGTGTTCAAGCAGTCGAGTCATGCGCCATATTCGTCGGAAGGTGTTCCTGATCGAATCTATTCATCCGCTGCTTCACGAATGTCGAAGGAAGCGAAGCGCATCGACTACATCGTGGTCAAAGAAAATCTTCCGTCATACGGGGAGAGAAGCGAGGCCTTTCTAAGGAAGGTACGGGCGCCCAAAAGCATCAAAGAGAAGCATCTGTTGAAAGCTACGAGAGGGCGGCTCGAGCAGGTTCCTCGCGGTGCTCTGCCTGCCATTGAGATCGACGGTCGTTGGGCAACTGACAGCCTTGTCCCCTGCCTGAAGTCAGAAGTCAGATCCCAAAGCAACACTGCTTGGGAAAGTCTTGCCAGTGCTTTGAGTGCCAAGGATGCCATGTTCCTTTTGGAGCGCACCTTTCCGAATCCAGAGCGTCCGATGATCCCCGGCTTCTCGCGACTGCGGGCTCCTTGCCTGTCGAGTCGTCGAGTCTCGCACGGCGGCTCCGAGCAAAACCCCAGAGTCTGCAGGGCCGGGCGATCGAGCTGCTAGAGCTGCAGCGAGCAGTTCACTCAGCCTGGTGTGGGGGCCTCGGCTAAGAAGGGGTTGCACTCAGCAGAGTTCAGGGCAGATCTTGCAGGCAACTACCTCTTCCGCGCCGAGATGTCCTTCGTTAACGAGCCCGCTGTGGATTTCGCCGCTGCTCTGGGACAGGTCCAGACTGCCTTGGAACCTCGGCAGACCAGGGGCCCAGGGGGGCTCAGCTTTTTGGAGGCTTCCAGTCCTTTCGTGACGTGAGGAGAGGGATACAGAGACTCCGTGGTTCCTGCCCTACGAGCACCCGACCATCGTGGATATCCAGTATGTCTGCACACTGGAAAGAATCGTGGCAAGCGCTTTCTTCTACAAGGCCCGGCAAGCTTCCCGGGGATCACCATCTCTACAGTCTGCAGTGTGTTGCAGGCCATGGATGTCCGTGCGGATTTTCCGGGAATCGACCGGTGGCTTCGGGCCTTCGAGGAAACTTCTGAGCGGAGAGTGTGAGAGTTTGATCTGATGCGATGCCACCAGGAGCTCCCGTGGTACCGGGCAACGCGAGGAGACTACTACAGGCTGGGCCCGAGTCATGGCGTGAGTGAAAATACTCAGTGTGTTTCCTACTGCTTCTGGCAGTCTGTGCATGGCCCTGGAACCGGCGTTTGGAGAGCCGCAGCCGGCTGAGATTTTGGCACAAGCCATTGCCAAAGCGTTGCTGTGCCCGCGCCGACAGAAAGCCAAGGCAACCTAGCCCGATGAACAACTCGAGCCGGACGGATTGGAGAAAGCTGCTGCCAGAGCCACATGGATCGCATCCTAGCCGGAGAGCGCATTTCGCTTCGCAGAGCTTGTCACATCTTCTCCAGAAGCTTCGCCAGCTCTGCCGAAGCCTTTCCATTTGAGTCCGAGGAACTACAGACTGCCTTTTGCGTTGAGGCCTGGCTCGGCAAGCGTTTTGGTGTCACCAAGCAGCTAGCCTGTAAGGCATTTAGACTGTAGTGTTCGTAGCAGCCGCCTGGGATGTCTTCTGACAGCTTCTGAAGTCTTCTTAGCGATCCGGCTAATTAGACTGCTGAGAACCGGCCGCTTGGAGTTTTTTCGATAGCGATACCACGCATTGGGTTCTCAATGAAGGTTTTCTCCGGGCCGTTCAAGACTGATTTCGTAGATGTCAGGCGTGATGTGGAAATGACGGCAGCCGAAGCCGCTTCAGTCCTACGGCGCCCCTTTGTGGAGGCCGCAGTTTGTGGCATTTCGCCCAGGTCACGGCTGATCGGATTGATTTCATTGAAGACAGTGCTGCCCTTGTCAAATCTCTGCCTCCATCTCTCCCTTGTTACATCTCCTGTTCCTGGCAACAGGCACACTCTCGCTCTTGCTCTCACTCTTGCTCTCACTCATGCTCTGCTCTCGTGCCCTGCCCTCCCTCCCTCCCTCCCTCCCTCGCTCTCTCTCTCTCTCTCTCTCTCTCTCTCTCTCTCTCTGTTGTCTCTCTCCCCTCCCATCCACCGCAAAGTCTTTCTCTCTTTTACGGATTTTGTCACTTCTCTTTCTTGCAGTACTGCCATGGCATCTTGGCAAGGCAGCTTGGAAGCTGGTACAAAACCACGATGAGGTTGAGTCTCGTCAGCATGCCAGCTGCGCTGTTCCGAGTTTTTTCTTGTCCTCTTTGCGCTTTGCTGCCAATGCTTCTTCTGCCTTGGCCAGCCGCTCTTTCCAGGCGCGCTACTGCTGCCGAGCTGTGGGTGGTGAGGTGCCCTCAATCCATTCTGTCAACAGTGCCATCTGCTAGCAGCTGCTCCGTGCTGGGGCTTCTTGGGCGCAAGTGAAGACCAAGAGGCCGGTTCCTTCGCCGCGCGGGCCCCGACACGCTCCAGACTGGCAGATCCCCAGGCATCCCATCAGCAGCCAATTGTTTTCCGATTCGGCTTATCAGGCATGGACTACGGGCGATTATGCTGTTGGCGATGCTGCTAGGGGTGATGATGATGCTGCGCTGATGATGATGATGATGACGACGCGTCAAGCAGCCGCAGCTGCAACTGCGACGGCGGCAGCAGCAACAGCAGCATCATCGGCATTTTCGGCATCTTTATTGTCATCATTTTCAATTATTTTTGTCGCCGTGGTCGCCGTCGTCGCCGTGGCCGTTGTCGCCGTTGCTTTCGCCGTCGTGCCGCCGCCGTGGTTTGTCGTCGTTGCCTTCCGTGGTGCTTTGGCTTGTATGGTCAGGCGGCCATCGTTGAGGGTTTGCTGGAGCCACTCGACGCCCTCCTTTGCAGCGTAGCGCAGGCTGGAGTGAGGGGGGGAATTTCCACATGGGCTCTGGCACCGTGGAGCCCGAAGTCTGTGCCTTCGTGCCCTGTCGCAGATGCTCTTCGACGAGGCTCCCGTCGAGGATTTGCAGTCTCAGATGCAGAAACGGGTGCAGGCGCGGCTCAGAAAATATCTCGAATAGCAGCGCGCCTGCGGTCCCTAGGAACCTCCAACCATTTCCTTTAAGTCTTTCCTGCCAAATAGTTTGTTCGAGCTGCTGGAAACTCGAAGGTGTATGGCATTCCGGAAAAACTGCGGCCACGCTTGGCATCCTGTTTGGCGCTTCTTGGAAAATCATTTATTTATACTGCTCTCGGCTTTCTGAAGTTGCTTCTTATGCATGAACATGCGATAATGTAGTGGCTACATGTGGTGCGATCAACATCCCGAGGTATTTGCGCGATCGGATTGGTGCCTAATCTGCAGTTCTCCCCTGCCATCTTGCCACGGCACGAACAACTCGCATCGCATTTTAGATCCAAAGCATCGGTGCGTCACAGCCGGCCAAAAATGGCATCAGCTCAGGTGTTCCCCGTGATCTCCCGCTTCCGGCGGCGAAGATGTTGAATCTCGAGCTGATTATGTTGCCCGCAACGCATTCGAAGCTGCATGCGTAAGCTTCAAGCATCGTGTCCCGAATGTTGCTGATCCAAGGAGAGCATATATGGCTGAAGCATATACTATACTGAGGCAGCCGATGCGGTGATGTTTATGCACGGAGTCTTGTAGCCATATGTCAAGGCTTGCCTCAGGCGGTTGTTCAAAACCGGAGAACCAAAAACTCCCATTTTCGGTTCCGGCCCCTGGACTCGACGACGCTCTGCGCATGGCTTTGTAAGCTTTCGCTTTCGCAAAGACTTGGGAGGTTTGAGAGGTCTCGTAGTCACGCCATAGTCACTGTAGTGCTGGCGATTCCTGCTATGCTCGCCCGCAAGCTTACAGCCACAGCGAAGTCCCAGTTGTCTCTTCGGCACTTCTCTTGGCGAGAATCAGGCCGCAGCTACCTTTGAAAACGGTGGGGCCAGAAGCAAGGGTCGACAAAGTTTCAGTGCAAGTATATCCTCTAGAATCCCACCGACAGATGCTGCTATGATTATCGCCGATATTTGTTTTCCCTAGCGACCTTGCACTTGCATTGACAAAACAGCTGCTTGCGACAGCGCTGGCCGACTCTTCGACTATTCAGGCATTTCTGTCCTACATGGCTGTCTGCCTGTGTGGGGAATGAGAAGTGGGTGCTGAGTGTATCGTCTGCTGGCAGTGCACCTTGGCTCCTCAACTCCGGGTGCCTGAACCCCCTCCAAGCTACCTTGATCCCCAATTCGATACGTCCCTGGCCTCGAAATGCTTTGTCAAGGACCGGCCTGGCTGTTCTTTGAGTGATGGGAAAAAGCGCATCCAACATCTTTGTTTGCCCCTTCGGTCCCGAGGACTTCGCATCTCGGCCGTGCTCCTGCTCATGTCCATCAGATCTATGCAGGTGGGAGGCACCAATCCGAGCACTCCGAGCGACCAGGACCGGAGAGAGCCGTTTGTGCAACGAATGAGATGTCAATCGCCTGTTGCACGAGGCTTCGGCTTTCGACCTGTCAATGTTTGATGACATCAAGGCTTCATTGCCCGTGAAACATGTCCAGATGTCTGGCAGCTCTCAACTGCAGAGGAAGCTTTCGGATCGTTAGATCCAGACAGCAACAAGTCCTACGAGATGCAGGAGTGCAAACACTTGCTTATTCAAGTGCTCTTGGGTTGGGTCCCGGCATTGATCCAAGCCTGCCATTCCGAGTAGTGGCACATAGGGGCAAAGTGGAGTGAGCAGGCGCAGGAGGCCATTGCAAACCTCGTGAATTCCGTGAAGAGCGTCGTTCCAGAGGCCGTAGTAGTGCGCGGAGATTGAACTTGATGGCAAGCTGTTCACACACGGTCGGAATGTTTTTGAGGAAGTAAAGGAAGAGAAGTCCTTTCTTGCAAAAGGCCAAACTTGCAAGAGGCCCGCTAGATTTTGAGAGTGTGCGGAAGCAGGCTGGTGACACCCAACCTTGCTGAACCCGGTGCCCTCTGCAGGAAGTGTCAAAAGGAAATGAAGCGGCATTTGGGCAACACTTGCCGCTTGTCAGATTCGGTATGACGTCCTAGTAAAACTCTAGGAAATCATTCCGGGGTACGGCAAAGGTGAGCACCTCGAATTCCGGGTGCAGGAAGCGAAGAAGGCCTTGTCTCTGCCAGGTTGGCCATATCTGACGGAAGCTTGAGCATTGCCGGAGGTCAACCATGCGCATCTTATTGAGTCTACGGAAAATGTTCTCAAGATCTGCAAGCAGAGTCGGCTGCCAAGCACTCGCGGAGGGTCGATTCGCGACACGTGGCACACCTGCTCAGAAGCCAAGGCCAGAAGCACCATGACGAGCACTGCAAGTGGCGCTGCTGGCGTGAAGAGCTTTGAAAGCGCTTCGCTTTGAGAGCCGCCGTGTTGGCTTGGGAGCGATCACAGCTCCGTGCTGTTGAGCTCTCTCCCAGGCAGTACACTACTATCCTCCCATCGGAGGGTCGATGCGCATGAAGTATAAACCCATGAACAAGTCTTTCTAGTTCTTGCATGGAGCTGGACACAGCCTGCCTGACTGACACTGAGCATATTCCATCCCCACTTCCTGCTGATGTGATGTTTACTTGAGCAGGCAGGATGGCCATTCCACGGCACCAGCTTTCATGTGCAGAAGAATAGTGACAGCTGTCTCCAACCGAGAGCGCGCCTGGTCACACAGAGCGGCAGTGCTGAACAGCCGGAAGTGACAGCAGAAAGCTGGATCGAAGACGTCTAGGACTAAGATATGAGGATTTCCCGAAGTGAGGCGCTGCACAGCCAGGACAGCGCTGCTAGTGATTTGAATGTGACAGCACGACTCCACGACGCAATGCATGCTCTCAAACCTTCTGCTGACGGTGTTGCCATGCAACTTGTGCGGAGACGTGCCTGTGGTGATTGGCGACCCCTGCTCGCAGCCCGAGCCACGAGTTGCTGTCGGCATCGTGACCAGCTACGATTCGGCCAAGGCTGTAGAGCGGAGCGAAGAGCGCTTGCCAAAGGCTTCGAAGTGGCGGAATCTCTGCTCCGGTGCAAAGGGCTTCGGCTTCCTGAAAGTCGACGGAATACAGGGCGACGTCTTCTTCGCAAGGCGTGGTGAGCAAAGCTTCCGGCATTGTGGCCAGATCCTTGCAGCAGGTCAGAGCTTCCGCCGGAGCTCAGAGAGGAGGACAAGAAGGAGAAGGTCCAAACCTGTCCAAATCAATGCATCGGAATCGCCAACGCTTGGTCCAGGCCAGAGAAGTTGTGGCCTGCCAGGTCATCCACAAAGTGATCGAGTTTGAACTCCAGAAGAAGTCCGATGGGAAGCTGCGGGCAAGGTTCCGCCAGAATTCGGAGGCTTTTGGTCACGGGGTCTCTGCTCACCTTTCCCCCCTTCCAGGAAACTGCTCTTCCTCCACAGGAACCTGGAAGGCCGGCGCTTTCTGTCCCTCGCACTCGCACCCTTTTAAAACCGCCCCCCCCTCCTGCCCCGCTCCGGATCGCTGCAGCGCGCCCAGGTGTGGGCCAAAGAACGCGCGGAAGGCCAGGGTTGGGTTGCCAGGACAGAGGCTCAAGAAAGACGCAACATCGCACCTAGGGTGGCCAAGTACCACAAAGACAAAGGCTACGGATTCCTGGGCCCGGTGCTCTGATCTCCAGCTCGTGGTATCAATGCTTCCAGGCAGCCTGACTTTTCTGTGTTTTTGAGCTGCTCTCAGAATGCGAGTACGGCGACAACGTCTTCTTCCTGAGAAGCTCGCTTCCCAAGGCCATCCAAAACGGGCAAAGGCGGGGGGTGTTTGGCGTCCTCGGTTTCTCTCGTGGGAGGATCTGAACGAAGCCGGCTTCGAAGAGCTCTCGCAGCTGGAGATCTCCTTCCAGATGTGCGCCGGGTTGTGTTGTTGCGCTTGAGCCCTTCTGGAGCTCTGTCGGCCGCGCGAATCTGGCCGTGTGTTATGGGCAGATACTTCAAAGAGCAGGGCAAGCCGCGCGCACAAAACCTGGAAATTGTCGGCAGGGACCGCGGGGCGGGGGCGACTTTGGCGATGCTTTTCTGACGCCTCTTCTGACGTGGTTCAGGGGATGTGTGAATGCCGTGAGTCGTGCATCGGGCTCCTTCTTGCGGCGTCACTTTGTCACTTTGGCCCGCACTTTGCGCTGTTTCGGAAGGAACGGAGAGAGGAGCGGCCCCAGCTACAGGGCGGTGAGGCCGCTTTGACGCTTCGTTGCCGGGTTGCCCATGGCCTCTGGTGGCCTGTAGCTGGCCTTTCTTGCGTTCATGTTTTGGCGGAGGCCTGCTCTAAGAGTGAGCCGGGAGTCTACGTAATTTGTGCTGTCGGAGGTTCCATGCATGTCCTTTGTGGTGTGCAAGGGGTGTTGAGTTGACACGTGCCGGCATAGCGGCTTAGCCACAGGCGCCTCGTTCCATCTCGCTGCGGTTGTCTGAGTGGTGCTTGTAGCCGCTACTATCGGGTAGCGCTTGGGGCTTCGGTCTCTGGCGAGTTCCGTCGGCAAGCCAGGTGGCGTGGTTTGTGCGGCTTGTGGAGCAATGGCCTTCATTTTGTGGCCTTTTGATGCGGACTCGCGAGGTTTTGATCGGCGAGATCGTGACTTTCGAGCCCGGCAAGGCTTGTCGAAACTGAGCCTCCGCTTTTTCTCGTGTCCGCTTTTGTCGTCTGCTCTGCTCTGCTTTACCTGCTCCGAGGGCTTCGGATTCGTCCGGTCAGAGAGCTGCGACGAGGCCGCTGACGTCTGCTGGCCGTTGAGAGTGAAGATGTGGGAAACATGTATCAGTGCATCGTTCCTCACTTTGAAGGACGTGTACTTCGTGCGCCCGGAGTTGCCAGCGGAACTTGCTGGTGCAGAGCGCAAGGAGGAGGTGGGGATTTGGGATTGGAGCTGCGTGCTCGGGGGCTGTCAGAGATTCATGCTTGCCGCGCCCCTATTCACAGGTTGTCGGAGAGCGCGTGGAGTTCGAGGCCAGCTGAGCACAGACCAGCTAAGCACGCAAAGCGAGTGACTGGCTTGCTGTATTCCGTGTTGACTGTCACAAGCCGCTGTTTCCAGACTCCAGCATTGCTTCCTCGCAGCTGCTTTCTGTTCCAACATATTTTGCTTGGCTGCCCTGATTTGCTTTGCGGCTGGCTCAGAATAGAGGGGCCTGCGTAATCTTGCCTCAGCCGAGAAGTATGCGAAGGCGCTTAGCAAGAATCCGAGGTGGGTCAGCATGTTTGCTCCACGCCTGGTGGCCTCGAGGATGGCCCGCGCGAGTGTGTCTACAGCAGGTGCTCTCAATAAAGCACGGCAGAGAACTCGAGGACCAGATAGCGAGCCATAGCATCACAGGGGCACAGCGGGGCGATCCATCAGTCAGTCTTCAATCATCAAGAAAAGCAGGATGAGGCAGCGATCCCAGGGACACGATAAGAACGTAGCCATGGCACAAGCAGTGGTTTCAGCCTTGGCAAGGGTATGACGCATCTCAATCGCGCTCAGCGCGATATTAGTTTCAGTTACAGTTTCGATTCTCGCAATGTGGGCCTAGCAGCAAGCAGGCATAGCAAAAGCAGCCTAAAACGGCCCTTGCTGCGAGGCGTTCGTGGCTTCGCCGCCGCGGGCGACAAGTTTCCGGCCATCGAATTGGACTTTGGCTTCCCACCCACCAAGGCACCGAACGGGATCCTAAGCCGGCCGAAGGGACTTTGCAGTTCGAGAAGCCAGGTGCAACTAGAGTGGAGGAGTGGAGGGCGAAAAGACGAAAGATTCTACAACTGTTGCTCGCATCTAGTCTTTGCAGAGTGCACGGTTCTGTTGAGCTGCTGGTGCAGGTAAACATGGCGGAGCGTCTCGCCGGGAAGAAGGTGGCTTGACTGCTTTTCGGTAGCCATGATTGCGAATGTATGAACGGAGCATATGGCATGATACTTCCTCAGGCAGTGGTGGTGGGTGTGCCCGGGGCTTTCACCCCAACTTGCTCTGGCACTCATGTCCCAGGATATCTTGCAAAGCAAGCTGACTTAAAGGCCAAAGGCGTTTCTGAAGTCATCGTGTGCAGCGTGAACGATGGAGCGGTGATGGAGGGCTGGGCCAAAGACCAGAAGGTGGAAGGCTCCATGATCACCTTCCTTGGTGACACGCGCATGGAGCTGACCAAAGCTTTGGACCTTGTTTTGGATGCCGAGAAGCCGATGGAAGTGCTTGGAAACCCTCGCTGCAAGCGATTCGCCATGGTCGTGGACAACGGCATCATCAAGGCTTCTCGCAAGTTTTTCAATCTATGCTTTCATGGATGCTCACGCATCTTCAGGGCAGCATTGTTGGTAGTTCAGGTTTCGGATGGCAGCTGGCAGACAGTCTTGTTTGCAACGACGCGAGGACATAGTGGTGGCTGGTGGTGACGTGCCCGACGCAGCCACTTTCGCAGAAGCGATGTTGGAGAAATGCTAGCCAACAGCCTCTAGAGCTCTGGCGCTCGAGCTGCCGGGCTTTTGAAAGATTGCACAAGTCAATTCCGCCTAGACCTCTTAGCTTGAAGCTTCAAGCTCCAACTCGTCTATAGTCTACTGGCCCACTACAGGCTGGGTCGCTGATGATAGCACTTTACATGTGCCCAGAAGACCTCGCGAGTTGAGCTGGAAGTCGTTGACGATTTTGGACGTGCTGAAGTTGGCACCATGGGTCTTGCGGAGTATCTCGCTTCTTAGTCCAAAAACGAGCGTGCCGCTACAGCCTCAGACTGGTCCCGACATGTTCGGCTCTCTGCAGGTCAAGATCATGACCGATGGGAAACTGCGAGCCCAACAAATGTCCCGGCTCTTCCCAGATGGGGACAGTGCCCCTTCAAGAGGCCACCAGGGAAAGCAACAGTGCCAGGAGTAGCCAGGAAGCTTGTCTCGAACATATTCTCTGTCAGGTGCCGAGCCGGCTGAGCCTGCGGAGCTGCCAAGCGCCTAGAAGATCCCACAAGCAAAGGAGAGCACTGAAAGTAGATTTTAAGCTCTTAGAGTCTTAGATGCTCTTAGCAGAGGGCTCTACAGCCATGCGTTCCTTCCGATATACGAGTAGCTGCCATTTCCCGTTCACGGCACGGCCTCTTGCCGTGTTGAAGACGCTTCCCATCGCTTAGCAGAGACTTGGCATAAGGTCGGAGCTCGAAGACGACATGGTCCAGGAGATGGCGGAGTACTTGGCGGATTGCGGCAATGGTGCGCTCTGCTGGCTGTCCGTCAGACACTGCTAGTCTTTGCTTTCCGTGTTGTGTGGTGACAGGCCAGGACTATGGAAAGTTCACGAATCAATTCCCACGCGCCTCAACCTGAGCACGGGAGCTTCCGAGAGCTTTGAAAAGCCTTTCAGCCGTTGCTGAAAGGATCTGGTTCTTCTGATGCGAAATTGGAGTTGAGGGGCGAAGCGTAAAGGTGAGTGCGCAACAGTTTCTGTCGCCGAGATGAGGTCAAGAAGCGCAAGATTGAAAGGCACTTTGACATAATCACAGACGAAGGCTGGATGCTCATATATCTTCAAGGGCAAGAGGGCGACAAAGTTCCGGTGAAGTTGCCTGTGAGGCGGCCGCCAGCGCGTGGTTTTGCCTCCCGATCACCCTCAGCGAGTCGAGGCTGTGGACTACAAGAGCTCTCTCTCTCTGCGGCCAATTCCTGTTTTTGATGCTGAAGGAACCCCTGCCGGACTCGTTGGTAGGAGAGGCCGAGGCAGGTGTCAAGTAGGTGCGAACGGCTAAAACGCTCGATTGTTGCTGTTGCTTGGCATGCGGCCAACAACAGGCAAAGGAAGAGGAACGCCGAGAGGTGCGAGAGTTCGTGAACTCACTCACGTTTTACGGTCGCCAGTCATGAGCTGAGTGCACACAGGATGACATCCCCGAAGACGACCTCCCAGACGAAGCCGAGGCGATGTCCTGGGAAGCTCCGGAAAGCGCATGTTCTGTACTATTAGAGTTATTAGATATTGTATCATCTTCTATCATATACTATCATATACTATCACATACTATTATATACTAAGATTTACTGTGCGTACTGTTGTCCTCGGTGGTCTGGTGTTTTTCTGGAAGATTTCCCGAGGAGTCTCGCCCGGACGGGATGATGGTCGAGGAGGGGCTCCCGTACATATGACGGATATATACATATATATATATACATATCTACAATAGATATCTCGATCTATCTATGATATGCTAAAAGGTATACACATATATACATGTATAAGCATAAGCATAAATAAATACATAAATAATATATATATATATATATATATATATGAGCACTTTCTGGCCCAGAGGGGGTGAGGGCGAACCTTGGCCTGCAGGAGGTGGACCCGAACGAGCCCGCCATACCTCTGGGGCCTGGGTCGGCGCCCCGGAAATTTCGAGGTATGTTGTAACATTGTAACATTGTTGATATAGTAGGGTGCATTAGAGTTCGTGTTATGGCCTGTTATTGTGTATTATGGTGTATCGCTGTATACTGTGTTTTATGGTATCTTTGTGTATGTTGTGGTATGTTAGAAGTGTTGCGTGCATCAGGGCTCCAGAACCGACGACCTTGGTCGCTTCCAAGGGTGCAGCCGGTGGGCGTCATCCGCGACTACGATCCAGTCAAGGGCTTCGGCTTCATCCGCTGCGAGCAAAACCCGGAGGAGCCTCCATTCAGTCACCTCGTTCGCAGACAGGGGGTCGAAAGAGGAGAGGGAAGTGGACTGCGCAACTCCAAGAACTACACTCAAATGCAGAAAGTACGCACGTACCCAGCGTATCCAGGATGATTGACATGTCCTATGTTTCAACTAGCCATGACATCCTGCTCTACTGTTGCAACCACCCGTAAACACGACCTGCAAACACTTGCCAGGACGTCTTCTTCCCGAGGACGGCTCTGCCGAAATCCTTTCAAGGTAGTGACGACAAAGAGGTGGCCTGGCAGAACTAGCAGCGCTTCGGCACCTTTACAGCATGTGCTGCACAGATGCACTGAAGTCGAGCAGCCGCAGCAAGGGTAGAAGTGGGAAGTGTGGCGGTGCGCCCTGTCTGGCCAAGATGCCGAAGCTGAAGGGCGTGCAGGTGACCTTTGAGCTGAACGAGAGGCGTGTGGTTTGACCAAACGGTTTCGAGCATGTTGTGTAGCCTACCGTGCCAGTAACAGCCGTGGCCCTCGCTCCGACTCGGTCACACTGCTGCTGAGGCGGGGGACGTCTTGAGCGGTGTAAATGGGTGCAGGGCATGCGGTTTTCGGATCCTGACAGGAATTTCTGGCACAGTACAGTGTAGATGCAATTGAATGGGGTTTTCTGATCTGTCTTCAGAAGCGGCAACCCTTCGTAATCCTGAAACCTACAATGCGTCAACAGCCCCCGCAGGTGGCTGCAGGCCGACAGGCCGACTCTTCTCTTTCAGTGTCTGTGGGAGGATCTCGGATCGCACTTGCGACTTCTTTTGGAGGTGTTGGCTCCTGAAGAGAGTGACCATCCCGCCCAGACCGGCACGAAACAGATAGTGACTCGTAGTAGGCTGAGCTATGGGTCCGCTCCATGTGGACATCTACTGTAGGTCCAATGTAGGTGTTGGGTGCGAGTGCCGCACTGTCAGGAGCATGTCTCAAAGGGGATTCTGCGTTGTGCTTACGCGCACCAAGAGAAGCAGAAGCCCCACTGCGCCCCCGCGCGGAAAAGATGGCCGATGTGTACATTGCATAACCTAGCCGAAGCAGTCACAATGGAACACGACAGTTTCGCTTAGGCCTTCTGGGGGCAGCAGTTTCTGCTGCAAGAGTGTCAACATCCTCCAACATCCGAAGGGCGAAGCACGCTGCGCTAGCCCGCTAGCCGCTACCAGACTAAACTGGCTCCTTCGGTCAGCATCAAGCGAGTGCTAGCACCATCTCTCGCACGAGCAGTGCCGATGCCGCGATGGTCTTCGGCACCTCCTCGCAGCAGACAGTACAGGAGCTTGGGAGCTTCCTGAGTGCTCTGGACAGTTCTTGCATGTCAATGGTCAACCAACCAATTGAGAGCCGGTGAGAGAGCGGAGTGGAGTGCTTGGCTGCCCGAATGGCCGGATGGGTGGGCGAAGGACGGTTGCTGCGAGAATGACTCAATGCATGATTGAACGCATGAGCAAATGTGTAAACGAGTAAAGCGAATGACTGGCTGGATGAATGCAGGAATGAGAAAGCGTGAAGCAAACACGTGCAGATGTGCGCTCACCTGAAACACACATACTTTGCTACATACGATACTCAAAGATGCGGCGACATGTATGCGGAGTGTGCCAGTGCCTGCAGCTTAGGTCCGGTGATCCATCCATCCAGGTATTTATCTGTTCGTCCGTCGGACGCGTCTATTAATCTCGCTGTCTCTCCATGTCTTCAGTTTTCCGCTTGGTGCTGTACCAATACACACTTTGCTGCTTTCCTGCTTCTAATATGTGTCGAGTTGATGCGGCTAAGATGCTCTTCATCTCGCACCCTGCTACACAACTTAGCAAACAGGCTGCTTACTCAGCCTGACATCGTTCTATGTGTGTTTCGTTAGATGTTGTTGCAGGCCCTGAGGCCTTTGCATTCCTCGGTCGGCAGGGCCTACGCCTGGGCAGAGCGCGAGCAGCCAGTACGGCACGACATGTCCGTGCAACCTCAGCCCGCAATCCCGACACCCTGCAGCATGGGAATGGGAAGAAAAGCAATCGAGGCTTGGATGACTAAATGCCCAAAGTCCTTCGGCCGCTGCTGTGGGGCCCAGGAGTTCTGCAGGAGCCGCAAGACATGGCAAGTGCTACTGGGCTGCAATGATGCCCCAGACTCTGAGTCTTCGGCGATGCCGGTTGGGGCAGTTATGGTTTTGTGATCCCATGTGGATCGCCGTGTCGACACTACTAGTAGCTTTTGTGAATCTACTCAGTAGTCATGTAGGTGGTCATTGCTTTGCGCCTCAGGTTATTTGCAGATTAGCGTTTGCATGCGATTGCACAGCTGTAAGTCCTCTAGTTAGTGGGGTCTGAGAGGATCTCCTGCTTCTTGCACAGCTTGCAGGTGCTGCGAGTAAACCAGCTAGATGCACGGTCCGGGCCCAACAATTTTCGAAGCACCGCTCTTGAACTGTGCACCTGCTGCCGACTAGGCGTTTGGATGGCGAGATCACCTCCATTCTAAGGCACTTGGGCTGGGCCCCTCAGCCCCTTTCAGAACAGTTCAGGATGACATTTTAGGGGTTTTCCGTCCCCGGACTCGGAAGGCAGCAGCTGCTCGAAGCCACCACCGCGACGTCGCAGTGGTGCTCTGGGAGGGCCCCCGAGAGACTGATCGCTGCTCCCCACCGGCCGTGTCTGGCAGGTCACTGGAGCCTTTCGTCCCGGAGCTGGATCTACTGCTTGGTGCAACTCTCTGGAGGCCCAAATCCCGCTGTCTCTAGAGGTGCATGAGTAAGCATGCAGCAGGACTTGGGCACGAACAGAGTATGCACGTCTGTAAGCTTGTCCGAAGGTAAGTGAGTAAGTGACACTCTTTCATCGTTGGCACGCCGATTCTGTTAGATGCACATCAGTGTTTGCTCCACTACTGAGAGTCGCACGCAATGACCGCACAAGACTTCGGCCGAGCACGGCAGGTACACAGTGTGGATTAACGAGCCCACGCAGCTGCCTCGGATTCCATAGGCATAAAATTCGAGTCATGACAAGGGTTGGTATCAAGATTCCTATAAGGGTTACTTATGCTTCTAATGGCTCTTTATGGGTAACAGAACTCAGGCCTGGCGGACGATTGCAAAACGTGCGTCACGCTCGCCTCAGCGCAGAAGGCCTTTCCGCGACTATTCTGCGGTGGGGAATTCGAGAGGGAGAGCTGGCACAGACGACACGGCGCAGCTATTTACTGATCTATCTATCTGTCTACCTATCTATCTATTTTTTTGCTTACCCCTTTCATTCAAAGATCACACTTTTTCGTTTTTCTGCTACGTTTTCGCATGTGTGTGCACCAATACAGTTGTACACATACTCGTCGATACATGCACAAATAGTTAGGTCGTTCAAGATGTGTACATTATGCATATATTTTTTACATATACATCTATCTATCTATCTATTTCTCTATCTATGTATCTATATAGATATGCACGGATTTAGCTGAGGCTCGCTCCACCTGTATTTTGTTTTGCGAGGCCATGTGCAGCCCCTGACAAGAGCTCAGCGGATCGGCTTCCTGGCATTGTGGGCTTGGTCCCGAGATCAGGTTTCAGGGTTTAGGGCCTAAGGTTTAGGGTTACTCCCTAAACCCTACAGCCCCAAAGCCGTTCAGGTTTTATTCTTGGGGTTGCTAGATCACCAACCCTCCAGGTTTAGGGTTCAGGAAGCCTGAACTTGAACCATCCTGGAGCCCTTTCGGGTTTAGGGTTCACCTCGCCCACCCACCCATCAACCCTTCCCCACCCAACCCATCCACCCACCCGCCCACCCGCTAGTTATTTCGTTCAACTTCCTTCAAGTACGCTTGTGTCAGCACAGGCTATACATGAACGTATATAAAGCAAAATACGTACAGGTATAAGATCCCCCCACACACATGCAAACGAATAACGTGGTATACATGCACCAGAAGCGTGATTGCTAAATATGCGCACGAACATACATGCATGCCTGCATTCATGCATGCATGCCTACATGCCTACTTGCACACATGCATACATTCATACATGCATACGCATGTATGTGTGGCCAGATAGCTAAATAGATGGGTAGATGGACAAGCGGCTGAAAGATGAATAGACTGAGTAGATGAACAGATGAGTCGATGGATGGACAGATGGCTAGATGGAAAGATTGATAGATGGATAGATGGATGCATACATGGATAGATGGACGGACGGATGATGGATGGATACGTAGAGACGTCGAGAGATAGATGCAGATATACATAAATGCAGACATATGTGTATCTATACAGAGACTTACTTGCCTACCTGTTCGCTTACATGCTTACTCACTCGCTTACTGACATGCATGCACACATAAGGACATATGTACTTACGTACCGACATGCATCAACGCTTGCACATACCTTGACACCTACGTGCATACTGAATTACTTGCTTACACACAAGATGTGCATACGTCTTATGTGAGACCGTATGACCAGCCGAGTTGTGTTGCTGCTACTAGTGCTTCACCTGCACAAGGTCCTTCTTCCCTGGCTGGCAGCACGGGTGCAGGAGCTGCTTATTTCGCAGTGTGTGACTGTACCATGCAATGAATACTGCAGGATATTTGGCAGCGCCTTGATGTCCCTGAGGCGGGGTGGTTGCTGTTCGGGCTGCACAGGGTCGCTTCAAAGATGTCCGAGCGGCATAGGCGACTCTGCATCATTCTAATTCACCACGGAGTAGAACTCTGAAGTCGCGAGACGAGTTCCAGCAACTGGTGTTTGTATGTACGCTTGAATGCATAATGAAACCAGGCGCGTCCGAACGGAGTTCAGTGATCGGATAAATGTTAGAGATCTCCAAAGACAAGACTGTGCCGTTGCAGGATTCTCCCCTGCAGTGGTTCTGGAAGGGGCATGGCACTAATTTCCGCGAGTGCTTCGGATGTGTCTTACTTGGCTTCGGTAGTGCCCGAGGTTTCGACGCCTTCTTCCACGGGCAACTGCTGTACACTCCATCCTAGTAGTTTGGAATTTTTTGCTGTTTCTCAGGCGGGACTTGTCTGTGTGTTTTGTAATCGCAACGAAAGCAGGGGCTGGCAGCCCCACAACTTTGTCTACAGGTACGGTGAGTGCAGTGAGCTGCGTGACAGACTTCTTGGCATTCGGATGGTGCTTTGCTCAGATTTGGTCTTGTCGTCCTGCCGTCGGCTGCAAACCCGCTCCAGGTACATATCGATCCAGTAGCGCGTCGACAGGCGATGCACCCTGAAGAGTGCCCTCCAGGAATACTGGGTTGACCAGGTCGCCTTCGAGTACATGAACCGTGTCATGATCTGGATGGGATCTCAGCTCCAGGGTCTTGGGTAAGGCAAAGACAGCCAGAGAGCATCCATTTCCTGAATTCTTCAGAGGAACGGCCTTTCCGAGTTTCTTCTGACGGTCTGGCTCCTAGTTCCAGGGGAGGTCCTTCGACACTAGTAAAAGTATCGTGCACATTTGGTAAAGCACACCTGGGCCGGAGAAAGCTGTTTCACCTTAAGCCAGTGCTGCATGAGCTTCCCAAACAAAGCCGAAGCGTGTCTGTCCTAGATCGCAGGTGCGGACTGGATCACTTAAATCCACATGACTGCCGCAGGTCATGCCGCTGGTGAATGTGTCGCGGCTGCGGCGATCCATAACAAGGCCGCGTAGATCTCGACATATCTTGACGGAACTTGTAATGATTCGGGGAGTTGTCTGACAACACAGCGTAGGTCTGTGTGAACTTGGGGCAATGTTCCTGGTCTCGCGGGCAATGCGCCAAGACAAGAACCCAACGAAAGAGGCAGGAAGAGAAAGAGAATGGCTCTTCGATGTTCTTCACCAAGACTGAGGATTGCGAGCGCGCCGACCGGGCGAACCCGGCAAAAGGTGACACCACACCGAGGAGCGTGAGCGCACTATGCCTTGGAGAACCCAATGGCAATCCAAGGCACTTTAACGGCAACCTTTAACCGCCAAAAGTTTCTGTAGATGTTGAGCACAAGTGAAGAAACGGCAGCACAGAGTCGTTTTCATGACTCTTTCCGTGGCCAAGGTTTTTGTTTTGGTGTGCTCGCAATGAACAGAGACACTCGCGGATCCGATCTTCAAAGCATGCTTGTGCCCCTTCTGTCCGAGTGTGACTCGATGACGTCTTCGGTCGTAGTGTGACACTTGCCCCAGCCAAGCAAGAAGGGGTGAGCAGGGAGCGCACCAGCGCAGCAATCTTTGTTCTGCCTGCTGATGCCCTCTGGAAGAAGGAGTGAGTGGACGCACACGAACAAGACAAGTAAAACATGACTCGGCCTGCAAGCATTGCTGTAGATGCCGTGCATTGCACCAGGCGGCTCCTGCCAAAGGCTCGACATTTTTGCCGTCCTCCCTGGGTCTTGCTCTGACGATATTTCGACAGCGACAAGCGCAATGTACTCGTCACGACAGACGGTGCCTTCTCATCAGCCACTGCTCTGGAGCCGCACAGGCATCGACGCGTGCGGATGCAGCAAGGGCCGAACTTTCTTGTGGATTCTGCGCCGATCTCAGCGAGTGTGTCCTGTGTCTCGTGTGTAGCCTTCATGCTGCATCTTCGTGGCTTGTCACACGAGGTGGAGCATCACCGATGACGGTGCCAACGCGGACAAACTGCAACCATGCGCCTTGTTTGATTTGCGATCGACAGGATCAGGACGGTTTTCCAGATGTGCATGCATACGTATTGCATATAGTCAGCTCGCGATACCATGCGAGCTTGAGAGGCAAGTCCTTCAGACCTTTGAGATTTGTTGACAGGTGTTCTGCTACTACTGTGTAGCGAGCGAGCTGATGGAGCAACCAAAGGCTGCAACTGTCGAGCTGGAGATGTCAGCAGCGTACACTAGTGTTTGTGACTTCCCGTTTTCGGAGGCTTTAGCATGCCCGCATTGCGGGGAGCAGATCGAGAAGTTGAGGCGACATGCAGTAAGTTTGTCGAGTCGAGTTCGGTGAGAGCGTCTAGCCATGTCTAGCCCGGGCTGCGAAGTGATGTCAACGCAACTACGTGGTCTGCATCCGCCTGCAGGCATGCACGCTGAGAAGCAGCCCGCGCGGGCGTGGTCGCAAACATCTGTCCGTGTCGCTAAGCATGGCACTTGCTTTATCGCATATTGCACTCATGCATGCCTATGCGGCCATGGATCAACTGTCGTGTGTGCTTCATGCTACTTTGGTTGTCTTTGTGGTTCGTCCAACTCCACCAACAAGAGCACGGACTACGACCATTGGTGTGTGAGACATGCACGAAGAGTGCACCTTGCAGGGTTAGCAAGTTGACAGGACTCATACTAGGTTACTATATTCAAGGAGCTCAGGTTTGAGGATGCGGCTGTATTCGGGGATTGTCCGGCAGCTTGAAGTCATATTTTGCGGTGGTTTGGTCTGTCGCATTGGGTACGTCGTTGCCGTCCATCGCGTGCATATGGCCTCCCCACCCAAACAGCCTCATCGGACCGCGACCACGTCGGCCGTGCCATCGACGCTGCACTGTCGTCGGAGCGGGCGGCGCGGAAGGAGGAAGCGGCCAGTGGGGACGAGGTGCTCCGCCACGCTTGCCTGGACGCTGCGTTCCAGCTGGGTGCCATTGCCACATGCGATGCCACCAAGGCTTGCCGCCGTTGACGCTCCTCCGACGGCGACGCGGCACCGAGCGGCATTTGCACCATCGCGTCGGTTAAACGGGTTCGCTGGTCTTGTCATATGATGTGCCTCGGCAGCTTTCAAAGGGCACATCGTAGGTTGGTATGTTGGGCTCCAGGCAGTACAGCACAGACAAATGCAGAACCTGGCAGGCGCTTTCGTATGCGGAAGAAAGGAAGGAGTGGGTGCGGACGGCCTCAACCACCAATCCGAGGCCTGATGTCTGATGATGACGGGATTCCCTGCGGGGCGATCATGGCCATCGCGGCATCCGACGAGGCCTTTGCCGGCATGGCGAGTGGCCTCAAAACGCCAACCTCCATCAAGCTTCTGTTCCCGAGTGCTTCCGGAACATCTCTCGCAGAAATAGAGCAAGAGACGGATCACCGCTTCAAGCGCCTGCAGTGCCTGGCGGGGGCCCTGACGCATCACTCCGCGCAGTCGCTGTGCGCTCTCGAACACTTGGCCTTGGTGAGCTTGGTCATAAAGCCATTACGTCTCGGACAAGGTCGTGAAAGAGGCGGCGATGTTTTTCGGACCTCATCTCGTGGTCGGCCACAAGGAGGGCCAGCCGCTTGCGAAGACCTTTGCCACGCCAAAACGACAACGTTTTTGCTTTGAATCGCCGCATTTGGGTCTGCTACGCTGCCAGATCCATCCTAATCGAGCTGCACGAATCCATGTCAAGGGAGCTGGACGAGGCCATCAATCGCTTCGGCAAGGAGTTCAAGAAGCTGTCGCAGCCCAAGGATCAGAGCGAAGCGTCAGGTGGCAGCAGCTATTCAAGTCAGGAGCGCCGAAGGCTTTGGGTGACGTCTTCTTGGCAGTGATCGGCACAATCACTATGGATTGGGATTACTTCGAGGCCGAGCAGTTGATGCTGCAGCACTACCAAGACAGTGAGCAGATCTTCGAACTCATGAAGAACCGAGAGGCTCCTGCCGGTATTGCGGATCCCACCCCGATGAGCACCACTGGTCTGCAGCGGCTTCGGGAAGATTTTCCGGAGGTCCATCGCGAGAATGTCCTCGAGGCGGATATTCCACAGCAGCATTCATTGTCGAAAGAGCTGGCAGGGGGTCTTGACATGTGAACGATCTGTCCATGGTGAAGGTCGAGGACGGATCCAGGTCTTGTGAGGTCATCGGCTCCACCCCGAAGCTTGCTGACCCACCTTGGCTTAGACAAAGATCAAGGGCAGCTCCGAAGGAAGCGAGACGGATTCCGAATCGCTTCCTTCGGAGCTGCCCTAATCGGAGAGCATCGCAGAGGACGCCAAAGAATCCGACATGCATGAGAAGAAGCCTACTGAGCATGATGGGGCCAGGTACTGAAAGCATTGCCAGATGTGCTTGAATGGCCCTGCACAGTATCACGAGATAGGAAAGAAACATCGCAAAGCTGTGCGCAGAAGACAGGTCGAAGGTTGTTCCGCCAGAGGGCTTTGGAAAGAGGTCGTATGAAAAGGGCATGGACGAAGACCCGCCGGACGACATGCAGACAGACGCTGGGGACAGCATTATCAGCATTTCACAGGTGGAGGGATCCGCCCCGTCCGAGCAGGTGGACTTCGACCTAGATCAGCGATTTGGCGATTCTGAGCACGATGCCGCCATTAACTGAAAGCAGTGCAAGATACGGTTGAATGGCCCGACACAGGGCAGATCACGAAATCGGCAAGAAGCACCAAAAGGCCGTGTGCAGAGCCGCGGGCACAGGCTCGGTCGCGCCGATGGACTTCGACCAATCGCAAGAATCATATTCCTGGCCGCAGCAGCGGTACAACAATGGGTACGCCTGGCGGCCGCAGCTCATGCAGCAGCAATTGATGGACAGCTCCTATGGCGCAGATGCAGTACCAGGCCCACGGCCCACCGCCAAACGACTCGGCAAGCGCTTCCAACATGGACCTCCCTTGGAGCCTGTTGCCACCCATTCAATGAGGACTGTGTGGGCATGTCCCCTGGCGAAGCCCTTCGAAAGCTTCAGCCGCCCATTGCAAGTTTAATTAGGCTGCGAACTACCACTGAACGCCAGAGCGGACGGAAAGTTCGACGGCAAAGTCCGACTCGTCAGCATTGGAGATGATATCATCCCAGCAGGTGGATAACAGGGTTCTGCTCAGCTGTAACGGCAAATGCGCAGTTCGAGTGTTCGTGTAGCCGAGGCTGTGCGCAGTTGCAAGAGTAACGTATTCTTGACGGGCTCTAGTTGCATCGGTAAGCATGGCTTCTGAAGACCAGGCATTGTGCACATGGCTCGAACCAGAACGGGTAGGACCGTAGGATCTCGCAAACACAGCGATCTCATGCAGATGCAGATCACCTCGGGCTTCGGCCAGTCATGGCGCGCAAGCAGGGCGGAACTCAATCCACGCACCTCTGAGTACCTTCAGACTTAACTCCGAAGTCTCCCAGCTGTTGGGCTGATCGTCTCACCGGGCTCTGCCGCTGGCTTTTGCAGAGTCACCATGAGGCGCTCATGTGGTCTTGCGGTCCGGCTCAGAGAGTCCCGTCATTGAAGTGTTTCCGTGCGAAGGCGTGGAGGCATAATGTGCGAGGGCATCGTGAAGAAAAGCGCCTCGGTGTCGATTTGGCTCCTGTCAGTGGCTTCCGGCACAAAGCTGTATCAGTTTAAAGTGGGCTTGATGGAGGTAGGTGTGTGTGTGTGTGTGTGTGTGTGTGTGTGTGTGTGTGTGGGTGTGTGCGCTTTTCGCATGCTCAGGTGAGCTCGTCCTTTGGAATGGTAGTCAGGCGAGCCAGGTGGAGAGCTGTGCAATCTGCCGTGAGGCCGGAGAACTCGGAACCTCCTTGGCACATGGCCCCTTTAATTCGAAAGTTCTGAACCTCTCGCCGCCTCAAAGTCTCGAGCTGTTTGAGGCCTTTCAGGTCGGTGTGGACATTTGCAGAGTTCTGGATTGCACACACATCTTCCATGCCAAGTGCATTGACATGCACCTTGGCGGCGGTAAGTTCAAGCTTTGGTGATCCCTTGAATGCCAGCGGCAGCTCACAAAGAATCAGGTGGTTTGTGAAGGCATCCTCGTGCCCGCTCTGTAAGAACGACCTGAAGCTGTGTGGCAGGCAGGGGGCGAGTGAGTTGTCGCAGTGGGACTTGTCTTCAGCCGAGCGGTGCTGCGTGTGCAGCTAAAGGAAGCGGCTCGCGAACAGACATGTGCTTTGAAGGAACAGTGCCTCCCAACGTTCTCTGGGCAGGTGGGTCATGTTGTCGGGTTTTCACATTCGGTGCATGAGTTGCTGAGAAAGTCCTTCCGGTCTGCCCACGAATCGTTGCTGATTTCACACGAAGACCTGTGTCTTGATCAAACCTAAAAGTGTTTGCTCGATGTCACTTGCGTGTCGTCAGTCATGAGTCATGAGTGTGCCGTTCTGTTTGTCGCAATTGTATCACCTGGAGCCCGTGATGGAAGAGCAGGTCCTCGCAGACCTCGTCCAACATGTCCCTGGGCTCTGCGTCCCTGCGCTCGGGGCAGATTTTAGTTGGCCACTCCAACTCTGCCCGGAGCTCAGCTTCTGCTCCTGGTAAAAGTGAAAGGACCACGAACCACTACTCCGTCATTATCAGGCTTCTTCTCCTTATGATTGCTGTCACTGTTGCTGCTGTTATCGCTATTGCCTGATTGCTTATGTGGTTCCTCGTACTGGTAGTATGAAAGAGAAGCGAAAGGAAGGGAAAAGCTGGGAGCTGAGGATCCGGCCTTGCTGCGGGCTTTGCACCCGGAGGGCCTGGGTCTCCTGCGGCGCAGCTCGCCGCCACCAACCCCGGACCAGCTTCGAATGGCTCTGTTTTGGGAGTTTCGGGATCTCGGGGTTTAAGGCCGGTTTGGGGGGCCTTTGGGGTGTGGGGCGTTGGGCTTCGGGCTAGCAGTGGCAGCTTCTCCGAGGTGGTTTTGCAAGGTCGGGCAAGGCCGCAGGGGGCCCGTTAGGCTGCCGTTACGAAACATGGCTGGGCAGGACCGCCATGCTGGCAGCGCGCCTTCCTTGGCGATCACGTCGGACAGGTGGGGATTAGAAAGCTCCAACAAGACCGTTGTAGGGCGCTGCGGTGTTGCGCAGGGTTTCTTTTCGTCAGGTCCATGGAGGTGATCTCCATCTCCCGCTCTGAGCGCTCCATTGCGTTGCTGTCGGAGAGCTCGTCAGGCTTGGCAAAAGCTCTCGCTTGTTACGACGTTCTATCCTAACCCTTTCCCGGCAGAGGCTTGCTACCTGCTGTGCAAGAGGGCTCCGAAGAGACCAGGATGGCACTGGAAGGTGCAGACGAGCGCGTCCCAGCACGCCGCCGTGGGGATCGAATCCCGGGTCTCTCCATGTTTGCCAGGATCCACGCCGCCATCGCCACGCAATGTCGACCTTCGGCAAACCTCGCACGGGAGCTGAGTGAAGGGTGCGTAGAAGGCTAACACTAAGAAGCATGCATGCTCAGAGAGCGACGAAGAGAACCAGTCAGTTGGTCCGCCAGGAGTCGGATGCTGCAGTTTCAGCTGCCAGAAGGGGGCTCCGCTGCCTCCACAGCGCGAGGGCCGTCACTTGGCGACTTTTTGTAGAGAGCCCTTCGTGCGCTGTGGGAGTTATCAGCCCACGAGGCCTTCGTCCAGACTCTCTGCAGGCGATCCGTCGCAGGAGGAGCTCACATCAATGAAGAAAGGATGTCTTCCGTGAAACCCGCAAGCATCGTTTCTTCAGGAGGCTGTGGAGGAAGACCAGGAGGTGGGAGCCTGCCAGACACCTGCAGTGACCTCAGCGGATCTGCGGCATTATGGTGGCAGGCACTTCAGAAGCCTACCTGGCTGGCCGACCCACAGATGCTGGATGGGCGGCAGGTGCGACAGAATGATCTTCCGTTCTTACTAAAGATGAATCACGTCTGTAAGATTTCGACCACATCGGACGAATCACAGAGGGTCTGAGCCTGAGCATGGGTTGGGAGCGATGACCTTCTGATCCCGGAGCTGAAGAAGTTGAGGCAGGGGAGGCGGTTAGACCTCCCGTTTTTTCGCCACAGCGGCTGCAACAAAGGTGGCTTTGGCATCAAAGTATTGCATGAGATTTTCGGGGGTGATTTCTTCCTCCTGTGAGGCTGGAGGTGCACCAGTTCATGTCGGGGCAGCAACCAGCTGCGGGCCACGCCTGGTCATTGACGTCTCTAGGATTGCAATTTATCGAGTGCAGACATTTGCAGCGCCTGCAATCGGTCCTTTTCCTTGAGCCAAGGCTGCCGGCATCCGTGTCGCAGTGCCGGCTGCAGGTCGAGGTGCCCTTGGAACTGGGGCTGTGACAGATTACAAGCCAGAGGAAGCCGGTGTTTAGATGGAAAAAAATACCAGTAGTGGTACGCGTGCGCAAGCAAGACCGGTCTGAGGACAGAAATGTCACCAAAGCCAAAGGAAATACTGTGCTTGCCCTGATCCTGCGTTGAGGCGCCGAAAGAGCGCCTTTGCGTGCCTTGGTGCCAATTCTTGGGAGGACTGGACACTTTCTCTTAGACTGTCGACAGTCGACAGCATTGAAAACAAAACAAACGTGATGGAGTTGCATAGTGGTTGCAAAATGTGAGGCCATTTCCAGCCCTCCAGTACCACTCGCGCCATCGCTGCATCCATGGGTGGAGGTGTACTCCCTGCTGTCGCCGAGTGAAGCTTCGATATTTCCTTGCTTGTGTGCTGGTCGTTGCGGTCTTGGAGGCTCCTCGATGTTGTGGATGTCGCACAGTGCAGCCGCCACGCCGTGGCCATAGGAAGCCGTCAGGAAAGCTGCAAGGGACACCGAAGGGAGACTTTTCCTTCCTGGACATTTGGCTCGATGGCAGGGCTCTGAGGCTGCATCAAGTGGTAGCAAGTTGCATCTGAAGAAGAAGAAGAATAAGAAGAAGAAACAGCCATCGCTTCGTAAAACACAGCCTCAGCCTCGTGGTGCAAAGGGACACCTGTCAGTGTTTGGGTAAAGATGGTCGCATGAAGCTATTGCTAGCATGGCGGTAGCTTCCTGGCGAAGTGTCTCGGCTCTTGATAGATTTTGACCCTCGGTGGAGGCACCGACTCTAGGTGAGAGCAGCTTGACTCCAGGCAGCATGCGGAGCGTGTGCTCTCATCCCACAGGCTTCAGAATCTCGGCTGCAGAGAGATCTTGCGCCGTCGGCTGATGAGTGAAGCGTTTTCCTTTCAAGAGCCAGTAAGGTAATTCAGTCTCGCTGCTTCCGAGCTCATCCTCAGCTAGAAAACCGAAGAGGCAGTCTTCGAAAGGAAGAGCCTCGTGGTTGCAAGAAAGGCAGACGCGCGTGTCTGCGCAATGACAAGACATGATGAAAAGATAGCAACTGCTTGCAACGCTTGTCGTTGTGTGTGTGCGCAGGCAGACGGCAGCTCACGTGTCGAAGCTGCACTGGGGTGCTGGAACTCGTACTAGTACCACAGCGGGGGATGTATGTGTGTGCGTGTGCAGTACTTCGATGTGCTGACCGTCGCATTCAGCAAGCGAGACTAGCAGATACCAGCAGCGGAAGCGATTGCTTTCTTCTTGAGGCACTCTGGGGCCGGAACCACAAAATGAGCTCCCTGTCTCAACCAGTGCAGTGCAACATATCAAGATTTCCCATAGCCAAGACAGGTGTGAGGCTTTCTGGTGGTTATGACATGACGTAACATGTGCACCCCTGGCTGCGTGCCAAATATGCACAATCCCACTGTATGAGGGCGGGCAGGGAAGCAGTAGGCACCTGTGTTTCTGTCCTGTGCAACTTGCGAACGCGTTCCTGGCCTTTGACAAGCCCCAATTCGTTTTATCCACTGGCCGCTAGCCAGGACCTCCAGGCGTGAAGAAGTCATGCACCGAATGAGCAAGAGACCCCGAGCTTCCTGGAAACAAGCTTCAAGTCCACTCGCCGCAGAACAGGATGCCCTTGAGCGCTGAACCTTACCACACAGCCCACAGTCTCAAACCCTACCCCAAGCTCTCTTCTTAGTTAGTACTGAACAGAGACCCCCGCAAGCAGCTTCAGCCACAAACAAGACCCTGAACTCAACCATACCTGAACCGTCCTGACAGAACCAGAAGCCCCAAAGCCCAGAAAAGTACCTTCTTTGTGATGTCCTGCATGGGAGTTGCAGAAAACAAACGACCTGCTATCCACATACTAGGACCAAGAAACAATGCCTTGAACCCTATACTTCTCTAAACAGAGGTTTTCTAGAAACAGATGCAGCTAGGAAAGACAGGCCCCAACCCCGAGGCTCTTCCTAATCTAGGAATTTCACACTCGCAGCAGTGAGAAAACAGTCCGTAAACCCTTAACCCCTAAACCCTAAACCCTTAAATCCCCAAACCCTAAACCCTCAGCCTGAAAGGCATGAGGATTCGAAACCTAGAGGAGAACCTCAGATCTTGGCCCCTCAGGCTCGAGTTGCCTCGGGGTTCCCTGGAGTCCCAACGGTGGCGGAGCCGGAAGATCGCAGCGAAGCTTCAGGCCCGTCAGCAGGGTTTGGGGTTTAGGCTTGTACGGTTTGGGGTTTAGGGTTGTAGGGTTTGGAGTTTAGGGTTGTGCGGTTTGGGGTTTAGGGTTGTGCGGTTTGGGATTTAGGGTTGCAGGGTTTGGGGGTTTGGGGTTGTCCGGTTTGGGGGTTTGGGGTTGTAGGGTTTGGGGTTTCGGTTTGGGGTCGCAGGGTTTGGGGTTTAGGGTTGTACGGTTTGGGGTTTAGAGTTGTGCGGTTTGGAGTTTAGGCTTGTGCGGTTTGTTGTTTAGGGTTGTGCGGTTTGAGATTTAGGGTTGTACGGTTTGGGGTTTAGGGTTGTGCGGTTTGGAGTTTAGGGTTGTGCGGTTTGGGGTTTGGGGTTGTCCGGTTTGGCGGTTTGGGGTTGTAGGGTTTGGGGTTTTGGGTTGTGCGGTTTGGGATTTAGGGTTTTAGGGTTTGGGGTTGTCCGGTTTGGGGGTTTGGGGTTGTAGGGTTTGGGGTTTCGGTTTGGGGTTGTTTAGGGTTTAGGGTCCAGCGTGATTGGTCATGGTGATGGTCTAGTTAGTCTAGGTGGTAGCAATGCGGAGTATAACGTGTTCAGTAGCAAAGCCACATATGGAACCTATTTCAAGACTCGCAGCGACAATGACGACGGCAGTTGCCATAGACAGTCATCTTTCCCGTCCGAGACTGGTGAAGGTCTTCTGGAGGAGTCATACAGCACTCTATTTTCGGGATTCGCTTGGCCTCTTCTCTCTTTGGAGGGAGGTGACAGCTAGGACTGTTGCTGCATGGCGCAGGCCTTGCTGGGAAACTTTCAGAATCCGGCGCTGGCCTCGAAGATGCCCTGGGTCAGGAGCCATGGTTTTGGGCACATGAATCCCGTAGTTCTTGCAGCAACTTGCTCGGCTGTTGCCCTGTCCTGATCTGCGGCCTCTATGCGTCTTGCACACCTCCGAGGAGCCAGCACAAACAGGCCGAACACAAGAACCTTGCCTGCAAAAGACTACTGACTACTGCCGGTACTGTTGCCTGGAGAGTTGCTTAGCCTTTCAAGCGTCCGCCGCTGATAGTTACTCACGACACCCCTGCAGATGTCCAGTGGTTGTTGGGCCTTGGCTTCAGGATTCCAAGTTTTGTCATGTCCAAAGATGACCTGACGCAACTTCTGAAAGCAGATGCTGGCCAGCAGTCAGACCGTATTGGGCAGGTGTTTCCCTGTCGGGTATTGTGCCTGCAAGTGCTGGTGTGTAGCCCTTGACAAGGACTCGTCGATTCGACATAGTAGCATCGTATGCTGGGGAAGCAAGCTGGCACCCCCTCCTTGAGCTGTACGGGCATTTGCTGCGTGACTGCTGCCAAGGAGGAGGCTGATCGTTTCCACATTGCCGAGCCACTTGCCAAAAAGCTCACAGGGTGATTCCGGTCTGCAAAGGAGATGAACTTCCCACGATGCTCGAACTGTGGGAAGAGAGACTGTCTCTTTTAGGCGCCGTGCACGCCAACTACGTGCAGCCGTAACGATCGATGCCGCTTGGCCGGCCTTTGAGGGTTTTTTTGAGACTGTGTGAGGCCACTTGTGGAGGATTTGGCCGGCCTTTGAGGGTCCCCGAAGCGGCCTGTGTGAGGGAACCCGTTGTGAGCCGAGGATCAGGCAGCCGATGAGCAGCTCAGCTCTGCTAACTTAACCAAAGCCATTCGCATTTTTTGAGCGATGGCATCCGATGTGCTGCCACAGGCTGGACATGGAGCGACGCGGGGTCGATGCGGTGCAGATCACGAGCGATCTCAATCCAGCGAGCCTCGGACGAACAGACGGTGTAAACTCCGGGGGACTCGTTGTCTTCAGGTCTTACTCCTGTGGTACATGGAAAACATGCTCCCTCGCAGGTTTGCGGATGGACTGGTCAGGTTTGGCATCCTCAGGCCGGTCTTGATCTTCGTTCCGAAGCCCAGCCTTAGCCGCTTTAGCCTTGAAACCCCGGATCCTCATCTTCACTAGCCGCAGGCACGAAGTGAAGGAGAAGGCCGAGGCCGGCGAAGGGGGAGGATCAGAGGGCTGCATAGGCTGTAAAGGGCCGAACTCCCCCCCTCCCCTTGCCCCTCCCCTCCTATGTCCCATGCCTGGAGCCGGGGCGGCTGAAGCTCGCCCGCCGAGGAGCGCAGGGCCAAGGCCAACCGGCTGTTGTCTCGGGTGGCCGCGGAGGTACGGTGCCTTGGCCTTGCTCTCGAGCTTCGGAGGCTGTTTTGGTGTATAGGGCTTAGGGAGTTTAGGGCTTGTTGACTATGAAGTCTTTGTGTTTGCTGTTTGCTGTGAAGAGGAAGCAACCTGAGCCGAGTTCCGTCGTTCCCAGGCACGGACAAGGCCTTTCGAAGAGGAGGCTGAAGCGAGGCAGATCCCGTGGCTTTGAGGATAACCTCGAGGAAGCGGAAGTCCCAAAGGCCAGTTCTTCCTTTCCTCGACGGGCTTCGGCCTGCATTTGGGTTCCTTTAAAAGGGGTCTATAAGGGTTACTATAAGGGATCTATAAGTCTATAAGGGTACCATAATACAGGTGCCTTCATAATTATGCTGTTTCGCCCTGAAGGCACCAGCTGTCGCGCAGGTTGAGGATGCTGCTTGGTGCTTTCAAGCTGTTGCGCAAAGCTTTCCTTGTGGCAATGTGGTCACATTGCTCGCAACAAATCGGTGTGGCCTAGACGAAAGTTTTGCCAAGGAGCGAGACGTCATGCGCCGTCATAGAATCGAGCTGGAGAAGCCCATTGCCAAATTCGACAAGCGACTTTGCAGCACGTCTTGTCATCAAAGCCTTGCGAGGGAGGACTGACCGTACTCTCCGCAAGGTGGATCGACGGCCACCTTCGTCGCCAAGGTCTCGTGAGGCCAAAAACGGCGCCAGCCAAGATCGCCTGAGAAGTCTACGAGCCGTGCCTCCTTCAGCACAGTGTCGCACGACGTTGCGATTCAATTTGTAGGCAGTTGTAGGTAGCAGCGATGCCACTGCTGTGTCCGAAGAGCGGACGCGGGCATGTGGGCAGGCTGCCTTTGGAGGAAGAAGGCTTCATAAGCTCCCTAAGTTCCTCTCCTGGGAGCCTCCTGCAGCAAAGCTGGGGGTTGGTGAATATCACTCTGACCTCCTTGTTGCAGCATGAGCATGGCTTATGCCTGCAGAAAAGTTGCACTGCAGGGGTGACCACCATGAAAGCCCTCAATCCTGGAGCTGAGGACTTGAGTATGATGGCGCCATGAAGAGGACAGACCTGGCCCTTCGGAGCAAAGCGAGCACTTCGGAGCTCTCAGGGCTCAAGTGCTTCCGGGATATGAGCTCAGCGCGACTTTTTTGGCATGTTGCGCACATTGTGTCGCAGGAGCCTCTCGCAGTCAAAGGATCCGGACGCGCCAGGACGCCATGGGAATCACGACAGTAGATCAGTAAGCTGAGTTTTCTTCACCTGTCGATGGGTTATTGAGTTATTGATTGTTGGCAGTGTAAGTATGGGACTGAAAATGTTCGCGGAACGTTCCGTTCGGGAAGTCGCATTCGAAACCAAATGCAGGTGCAGGCGGTGATGAGCACCTGGTCGGCAGTGCTCGAACGGTGGTCACGTGCGCCTTACCATGGCTGAACGTTTCAAAACTCTTAGATGCCGTCACGATGAAGTGAGGTTTGAGGTACCGTGTTCAATTGCCGGAGTGCCTCGTCTTGTCTTCTCACGCAGACAATTTTTTCTATCACCATGTTGTGTGTTTATAGCCATTAACGTGATGAAAATATAATTAGGTCATTTTCAGCCATGCCTCCGCACAGCGAGAGGTACCAGACTCGACCAGCGATTGTGGCTGACCTCAGACGTGAGAGTGTGCCCATCATGGCTGCCCCCGAGTGCTTAACAGGGGTTCGCGGTTTGGGGCTTGAGGTCCTGAAGTTTAAAGGAGGGTTCTGACTTTGACATGTGAGTCCCAACAGGGAGGGAGGCCCGGACGCAGGCATGCATTTCACGATGTAGTTGGGAATCGTTCCAACTTGGCGGAGCTGATATTCTTGGTACAAACGAATCAACACAGAGATTCACAGTAGCGCCTCATGTCTTTGTTGTTTGGATGTTGCTCACCCTGATGACTGTGACATCTGATGACGAGGATGACGACAAGACACCAAACCGCGTCATGAAAGTTCTCCGAAACCGTATAGACTCTGCAGCTGAGGCACCGATCGCACCAACATCGGCTGCAGTGCTGCGGCCAAACCCTGCTTCGAACTTGGAAGTGAGGGAAGTATTAGTAGTATTAGTATTATGAGTATCAATATTAGTATGAATATTAGTATTAATGTTCGTATCAGTATTCGTGTTAAGGAGACTTTTGGGGTCTCGGGGTTTCCAGGATGGAAGGCTAGGGGTGTCGGATTTGAGGCCCGGCAATCCCTAAGGCACCCTAAACCCCAAAGTATTGGGTCCTAAGAGTGTGACGACCAGCGTATGTTTCGATCCAAGAAGATGAAATCCATCGCACTGTGTTTCTTATTGTGCTCATGGCATCTAAGAATCAGATATCCGTACATAGCTCCATGACTTTGGCCTAATTGACTATCTCATCCTTCTCCTTGTCCCGTGATGCGATGCTTGTCACAGCTGTAGAGGCCAGGGGAGGAAGCGGCTAGCATTCACATCTCAATGTGAGTCGTGTGCATCAGTCGAAGCAGCGATTGAAGTCAACAAGCTGAACATGATCAGTACTTCTGAGACGAACATGGTCGTAGTTGCTTTAGTTGTGCACATGGTCACTTGAGCCTGAGTAGGAGCAATCTTCAGACCAGCAGAAACGACAACGACATCGTGTGCTGCGATTTTTCAAGCCAGCACGGTCATGATTTTCACCTCTCCTAGAAGTACTTGTACCACGTGCCACTAGGAGCTTCACCTGTAGCGAGCGACCTGCTCTCCAGAAACCATGCTCGACCTGCCTCCTGCCTAGCGGTAGCCGCAGAAGCAGCAGTTGCGGCAACAGCAGGGGGAGGAGGAGGAGCAGTAGTCGTAGGACGCAGTGGCCGCAGCGGCATCTTGAGAGGGTGTGGCAGTAGGAGTAGGAGTAGGAGGAGGGATAGGTGCTGTCGTCGTAGTTAGTAGGAGCAGGAGTAGTGGCAGCCCTTGCAAGACCGAGGCTCCCGTGCGCAGTCAGGTTCTACCACCAGGCGCGAAAGGATCGTCGAAGTATTGTTTTGGTTGCAGCAGCTTTCCAGACATCACCCGGCTCCAGGACACGTTCATCATGCTGCACCTCACGGAGCTTCGGGTGCTCAAGGTTATCGGGCTCCGGCTTGGTCCTTAGTCCATGAGCTCTGCTTGCTGTAGTGGCTGTGGTTGCGTGCTCACTTGAACGAGGCAGTCGCATTCCATAGCTTCACGCAGATCAGCAGGCGCAGCGCATTCTGCGTCAACCGTTCCGTGACCATTGAGGCTCAACCGCATGTAGACACTTCTGATGAACTGGCAGGCCTGCCACGACGATGCCAGTGTCGACTGTGAGAGCTGTCCGCCATTGAGCGTTGCAGCTACTTTTGCTGTTGTAGCTTCCAGCTTCCCAGCCATGTCTTCGCGCTTTTGGAAGGCTTTGTCTTCGTCTTTCGCTTCTAGCTGATTTGCAGAGAAATTCCCAGGTTGGCCAAGGGCAAATGCATGGCTGGGCAGCGGAAGCTGCACATAACAAGGTGTAGTTGACTGGCCACATCCACATGGCACGGAGGCTTCTTCAAAACTGCAGTCTAGTGGGCTAGCTGGACGACTGCCAGCATTAGGCCCGAGTTATACTTGTTTGAAAAGTAGGGTGTAAGAAAGTAAGGGTTCTCGCCTTCGTCGGGCGTACTCCCGACAGTTTGAGGGCACCCCTCTGTGACACGTTGGTTTCGTGTGCTCTTGTTGGTGCAGGCTCCTCGTGCAACATGCCATCTTGCACGGCGTGGCCTGATTTAGGAAGGAACGGTCACTACAGCAGAGAGCCTGTTGCACGAGCGACGCGCGAATGTAATCATGGTGATGTCCTGTCGGAAGGCGTGGAGATTGGGAAGCAAGTCCTGGCTCATGGAAGTCTTGCATGAAATCTCACACTGCGTGCTGTTGGAACCTGCAAGTAGCTGTGGCAAGCGCTTCAGAAACCTAAGCTCCGTGGCGTCCCCGCAGACAGCCACAACGGGCCGTTTTTTGCATCAGAGCATCGTGGCCGAGTTGACTATCGGCTTGTAGCAGTTCGATCCCTACTCCAATGAAGATTAACTGGGTGGAATCGAGGACGATGCTGTGCAACGGTTCCTGGCAGCAGATGGAACAGTGGAACTGAGTTCCCGTCCACTGCATGTTGGCAGGCTGCAGCCGTGTACATTACCTGCCTTTGGCAACAGTTTTCTGCAGCGATCTGTTGCGACCTAGACGCTGCTTGCACTTTGCACAGCCCCCGGTTTGCAGATGCAGGATGCCACAATCATCTCCGGAACGAAGGTCTGTACTATGTTTCTGACACGCTCCGTTTCGGCAAGCGGTTGGCTGAGCTCGATGAAATATCGGGTGATCAAAATACGATCGCCACGGAAGGTGTGTAGACATCTGGCCTTCTTCCTCTGAAGCTCCGTCATCTCTGGAGCGAGCAGTAGAAGTTCGGCTCCAGGAAGTGACAGATTGCATAGCGGCATAGCGGCTCTGTTTCAAGCCGGGAAAGGCAACAGAAAAGTAGAGATAGGACTGCTTGTATGAGCTTGCTGACACGTGAGGTGAACGTGTTGACTTAGACAATGAGATAGGCTGACAAGCACGGCTCAGTCATTTGGATGAAACATGTGAACACGTAACATCATGTGGCCTGAATATATGATCGTAACTTCCTATGGTTTGATGGGTCAGCACGGGCTAGCATGGTGACTAAACCTAATGTGGTCCGTACGAGGAGCACAACCTACGAGCTGATGTGCCTTCATGGGGCTGATTTGCTGAATTTCGTCCTGTCAGCGTTGTACGACTGTAATGTAGCAAGCTTTGTGCTTTTGGGCACTCGACATGCTTTTGGTGCCCAGTCTATCAATACAGGAGCATGGTGTTTATTTGGGCATCCAAGGGCGCCGTCAGTGGCAATCTGCTCACAGGTTTCACATGATAACCACAAGCACCCGATGGCAGCAGGGATGCAATCTCTTGGCTTGAGTTCAGTTCAGTGGTGGGTTTGGGGTTTAGGGCCAGCTTTGAACAACATGTTTCCCGGGATGTATCGACAGTGTCACGGTGTTGCTTCGCACAGGGTCGAGTCTCTCTGAGCACAGACCACGCTGCATCTGGTGCAGTTTGCTTCCCAGTCTTGTGCGCTCCATTTCTTGGCACAACTCTGCTCAGACCGGCAGAACAATCGGATTGCGGAAGGTGGTGCTATGGTCGCACCACCTCATGTCAGGCTGCTCCTGCAGATTTGCCTTTTCTCGTGTGATCATGTCTGCTCAACATGCATCTGACTGGGCTCTGATGTTACCAGCTGCACGGAATTGACAAGATTTAGGTAGATGTTTGGTTATACCCAGGTTCTAGCGAGTTCAGGTCATAGCTTTGCTCTTCTGGTTCGTGGCAGGGGCGATTGCAGATACAAAAACTAGCCCTTTCCTGCTGACTGGGACTGTCATGTTGCTCTCAACACCGGCACTCTCTTGGTATGGCACGACCCACCGGAGCGGCTTTTAAGGACATCAGCGTATTTCTTCATCTCCTGCTCAGCTGGCTTTGCTGCTGGATGCCCAAGTTCGCTTGTCATGATTTGTTCACAGCTATAGCAGTCATGACACTGCTGTTTCGTTGATGTTGTACTTCTTTTCTAATCGTGTTGAGGAAAAGTATAAGTTGCACAGTATTAGTGTCGTCGTAGCAGTAGTCGTCGTCGCCGTGGTGGTGGTGGTGGTGGTGGTGGTGGTGGTGGTGGTGGTGGTGGTGGTGGTGGTGGTAGTAGGAGTGTGGTGGTAGTGTTAGAAGTGGTAGTGGTAATGGTAGAGTCGTGGTCGTGGTAGTAGTAGTAGTAGTAGTAGTAGTAGTAGTAGTAGTAGTAGTAGTAGTAGTAGTAGTAGTAGTAGTAGTAGCAGTAGTAGTAGTAGTAGTAGTAGTAGTAGTAGTAGTAGCGGGAAGTCAGGAGAGTCAGGAGCAGCAAGAGAGGCAGCAGTCGTAGAAGTAGAATAAGACTAATATCAGTAGAGCAAAGCAAATGTCACGAGAAGCTTGTGGCAGATGGTTAAGGCGGGTAACTCCTCTGGGCCGCATTGTGAATCTGGCGGTCCAGCAGTGCTTACGATCCCTTGAATGGAATCTGTTGACCACCTGGCTTCCTGCAGGACAGCAGTCCATGCCAAAGTTGAGGGAGATTCTGCTTGCGCGGGCAAAGGACCAGCTGTTGGTGGGCCCTTGCCGTGAAAGCTTGGCAACAAGCTTGGAAGCTTCGGCAACTGGTTTGTGCCACATTCTCTCGACTGTCAGTCGGTGTTTCTGTCTTCCGACCCGTTAAAGCGGAGTGTAGTTTGAAAATGTTCGCGCCAGGAACCTGCCAAGATCCATCCGCTGGATCGCACTCCGACGGAGCCTGTGCTTCCAGCGGCTGCTCGGGCGGTTTCGACCCCAGGCCCCAGGCGTGCACAGCATTGGGGCCATACATTGCCTTGCGTGTTGAGTAAGAAGAAGAGTCTGGCGAAGACAAGGCGAGATGAGGAGAGGAAGCTGCAAAGATTTTTCTGTACGATCTACACCACCAGTTCTGCCTCGACCGTAATAAAAACCGTTTGTTCTGACATCGACGTCAAGGTCGCAGGATCCTCCTCATGGATCAAGCGTGGTTGATAGTCCGGGTCTTTCGCAGAAGGTGAAGCCATTTTAGTCAAAGGTCCAAACATGGACGCATCTGCGAATGCAGCATGAGCTGCATGAGCAGCGGCCTACAATTTACCAAGGTGGGAAGCTTCAAAGAAAAATGCAGGGACACGCGGAACGGTAGATTCTAAGACCTGCCTGCGGGAAGGCTCCGCGACCACAAAACGAAGGAACATGTTCTGGTGCAAGCACCTCTGAGAATGGCAAAAAAGTCATAACTCTTGTTGTTGTGATTGTTGTTGTTGTTGTTGTTGCTGTTGCTGTTGCGATAAGAACCATAAACATAGAAATGAACATTGCGTAAATATCGAAACTAGTATACAGACACCAGCTGTGCACATACAACTACATACATGTATGTGTGTACACATACGTGTACGGTTGTAGGTGGACAGACAGACAGATAGCAAGAAAGATAGATAGCGACAGATGGACAGATGGATGGATAGATCGTTAGACAGAGTCGTGGAGTCATGATCTCGCGGAGTAGAAAGCCGTGGCCAAGGCGCCCAAGGCGCCGGCCTCGCAGAAGACATCGCTGCCGGTCTCCCAGAGACTCGCAGGGAGGGGAGGGGGTTTAGGACCAGAGGGTTTCTGTTGGCTTCGGCGATTTTGAGTAGAACGGACTCCGAGCCGCTGCTTGAGGCCACCTTTACATCCAGCTCCACGTGCACCCGGGAACCCGGGGAGAACGGGGAAGGCCGGTGTATCCGTGGTTCTACCAGGAGCCTCTAAGCTGGTTGGGACCTCTAACTCTAACCCAAATCCGCAGTCTGAATCTGAACCAGAAACGCACCAACAACCACAAAGTTGATGCTAGAGTTTCCGAAAAAACAAGGGATCTCCAACAAGCCCGTTACGCATCACCCTCCCTGCGCACTGGCCCTAGCAGCCCCGCTTTCTACAGGATCTGCTGGTAGAACACGGCTCCCACAAATATCCAGAAACAACCAAAAGTTGGAACAGGGCCCGCCAAAAAGAATTCTGGACCCCCCCGCCGCCCTGCACCCTAAACTCCTCCACCCTACCAGTAGAGCCCTAACCCGCGGAGCTTGCCTTTGCATGGCAGGTTGGGCCTCCAAAGCCTGAGGTCCGTTTGGAGGGGACCGGGGGGGTGGATGGGTACTATAGGGGCCTTAATATTTAGAATAGGGTCTGGGGGTATGGTATACCATGATATTAATAAGGAGCCTCCCCCAAATAGTATAGGTAATTATTCAGGCCCATATAGTACAGCGGCGGTTAGCCTTCCGCAGGATTCGCCGCATGGCATGAGATGTTAGCGTTCTTGGGCGAAGTTCGGACTGGCAGGTCACCCAGCTTCCGTCACTACAAAATCCCAGAGCTGGTAAGGCAGCCGCGGGGCAACAGCGTTTTTTCGCACATCTCTACGATGTATTCAGACTTCCTCTGAATGTATCAGCAACAGCAGCAGCAGCTGCTCCGGTTGGTGCTGTTTCTGATATTGCGCTGCAGGTTCCTGCATACCTGAAGCGACGGCAGGCCAAGATCCAAGATGCTAAGCAGGTTGCATTGGAGTAAGACAGTCAGAGGCTCTTCTTTATGCAGGCTCATTCTTGCAGGGCTGGGGTGCTTGATGTTGAACTGCCATAGCTCCCACAGGCTTCAACATATCGTAGCTGCTCATCGGATTCCTCTGGTGATCCCGAGAGTGCGGACCCTCTTTACGTCTTTCGTCGACGCTTTCTGCGAATTGGTGCCGCTCCCTTCAAGGGTCTTTCTGACAGTTTTGTACAAGTCCTCAAGTATACGGAGGATTCTGTACCACAACCCCAAACTCCCGTAAAGCCTCCAAGCAGTACCGTGTAGTACCCTGAATCCTCAGCCCCTAAGCCCTGAAGCCCTCAGTAGTAGTTCCTGGGATTACGGGCGACAGAAAAGAGCTGTCTGGTTCTTAGTAGGGAATGGGGGAATGAATTATGGAGACTACCATTGGGGATTTGATACGGGCTACTATAGGGATCTCTTCCCCCATTCCCTACTAAGCACCAGGCAGAAGAACGGTGATCCCCGAAGTGACCCCGAGAATTGCAGGCCGAGCTGGCGGAGCAGAGGCCCAGAGCTTTCTCGAAGACTTTTGGGTTAGGTGTGTAGGGGTGTGTAGGGGTGTGGAGGGGTGTGGAGGGGTTTAGGGGTTTAGGGGTGTAGGGATGTAGGGGTTTAGGGGTGCAGGTTCTGCACTTGAGTTCGGATAGCTGTCCTGGATAAAACAAAAGTTGAAAAGATGGCTCTGTAGATATTATTTCATGTCAATCCATTTATGGCTTTCGGTATGGTTAGATAAATAGGGAGATAGCTACATCAATCGATAGACCTGTATACGGAAGAGAGTGAGGAAATGTAAGATGGAATGTTGCAGGCGCCGAGCAGCAAATCCACCGGAGCCGAAGCCGCCTCCAGGCTACAGGCTGCGCGCAAGCAACGGGGTTTCCGCAAGTGAGGCGGGTAGTTGTCAAAATTAAGGTCCCCTTTTGGGCACCCTAAATAGCAGGTGCCGTATTATAACAGGGACCCCAAAAGGGACCATAATTTTGACAACCACCCAGGTTGCTATGAGGGTTTCTGAGAAGGCGATAATATGAAGTTTACAAGCGGGGCTTTCAGAAGGCTTCCAAGCAAGCATGTGGCAGAGGCCGCATGGGGTATACAGTATGTATGCTTGTAGTTCTGTTGCCAGCTCCTCTTCTTCAGGTAGCTTCTGCCAGGTTTAGGGTTTAGGGTTTAGGGCTGCTTGAGGCCCTGCAGTTGGGCAGTCTGTAAATCAGGGCATGCGTCGCCAGCAGCTCAGCGCAGCCTTGAGTGCTCAGAAGTCTCTGCTGCTTGAGACGAATGGCCGTCGCCCAGCACTCAGCCGATCTTAATTGCCAAGCCTCCATTACTCGTCTTCAGTTTCGCCGAGGAGATCACCGTGAGCACACTGGGTGGCCCCCTATGCGCTGTTCACTCCCAGCCGGACTGGTTCGGTCGAGATCTGAAGGCACAGATGGCACGTCTTATGCCATGTATATTGCGCTTGGCCTGCTTGCATGGCTTTCTTCAACAGAGGCTGCGATAGCCGAGCTCACCAAAACGGGTCAGAGCAGCTTGTCCGCCTGGAGTCTTGCAAGTGCACCGTGTCCCTTCCCTCGCAGCTCGCAGAAACGCGATCTACGTCACATGTAGACATCTTGCATGCGACGAGCGAGCGAGAGCGAGCGCGAGCGAGAGAGAATGAGAGAGAGAGAAAGAGATTGGGCTCTCAGTTTTTGCATGTGCTGCGTAGTTGAGTGTGTTTGTGCGTGTCTCTTTGTGTGCGTGTTGTTAGGCACGTGGGTAGGCGTAATACTGTCAGCCTTTCCGAGCCCAGCACAGGGGGCCGCACAACACGGTCACAAAGAGAGCAGACAGCAAGTACTCCGGTGCATTGTGTCGGCGCGAGGTCCACCGGCTTGTTTAGCAGAGGGGTTTCACTCTGGACGACGGGACGGGACCAGTGCGCGCACGTACGCGTGGGAGGGGGAAGCTGCTATCGCTGTGGCTGCGCGCAGGCAAGCTTGGTTTTAATCTCGCTTCCGATGCTTTTGCTCTCGCTCGTGCGCCCTTTCTCTGTCTGTCTCTGCCTCTCGGCTCTCTCGAGAAGGAGGGAAGGCCCAGGGCTTGCTTTAGGCTTCGCTGTGCTTGCTCTGGGCTATATACATCTGCTGTGGCATCGAGGCCGCATGAAGCTGCTGTATGGCAGCAGGCTCATCCGCACCTGTCTCAGAAGATTGGTTCCAGAAGCCTTGCCGGTGTCAGTCAGAAGTCTGCAGGAAACGTTGACCTGCTGACGGAGGTTCTGCCTGCAGAGGACCTGTTGTTTGCTTTTGCAAAAGCTCGGGTGGTCTGACCCGGGAGGCTAAACGTGTTTCTCACAAAACTTTCGGCTTACTCTTCGGCACGGATCCAGCTTCAGACCCTGGCCAATTGACTGCTGAAATAGTATGAGTAAGGCCCTGCTAGCTCGGTGAACCGCCCGCTGCGGTCAGAACCGGAAACCGCAAAGTCACAAAACTCTGCTCGACTCGAACCAGCCACCTTTTCTTTCTCAGTTCGTCTCTGGCAGCGGCCTTCCGTCATTTGCACGGTTTTATTTGGTGAGATGCGATAGGAGGCCTTAGGAGGCCTTCGACGACAGGCAGAACTAACTTCAGGGTCAGCCAGCAAGGAGTTCAGGCTTAGGGCTTAGGAGTTTGGATGGCCGGGGCTGCGCTCGCAGGAGCCAACAGTCGAGATCTTGCTTGTGCGGCAGGCAAGCGCTCACGTTGGGGCTGCAGCTCGGTCTACCGTTGATCCATGCGGCATCATCATGCAAAGTGCGTCGACCTGTTGTTCCATGCGGCAGTCCTACGACATTGACTATTGGCTGGATGAGATCAGCAACTCGGCTTCCGCAACGTAGCTCAGTGATCGACTTGAGTCTAGTCAAGCGAAGCCCCCTTTCAGTAGCTTCTGAAGGCAACGACTACAAGCGGTTGCGCAAAGCACCAGAGGACTGACGGTTGTAGCCGGGGCTTATGATGGAAGTCTGTGCATGAGCTCTGAATCAATCAACTCAAGCGGTCTCCAGGAGCTCAAAGCGGACCGGGATGTGGTTCTTGCTGCTATGGAGCAGAATGTGCAGGCTCCTACTACTTACTACTGGCGATGTTGAGCCGGGTTGATCAGGATCATCCCATGCATCGATCTGCGATCTCCAATGCTGTCGCAGTGGCTGTCAACTTGCTGATGACGTGGAAGTGAGCACTGCCTTCCAGAAAAGTTTATGGAAGCGAGGCAGTTGGTACGATCAAGGTCTGTAACTTGTTCACGAAACTAATGCCCTGAACCATCAAGTTCCCGAACGCTTTGAAGTCCCTAAGCCCCAACACCCCTAAATGCCAAGCCCTCAGTCCATCTCAGTCTCCAAGAGCCCCCGAAGCCCCAAGCAGGCATTCAAGTTTGCCTCTGATGCGCTGCGAGCAGACAGATTCTCAGCTGCCAAAAAAAAAGCCCAGAAAACCCATTCAAAACGCGGTTATTAAGGGTTTCGGGGGGTTTGGGGTGTAGGAGCGCTTTATGAGGCTTTAGCTCGGATTAGGGTTTAGGGTCTTAACTTTTCGTTTAAAGGCAGTTGAGAGACAGCGGGCCACAGTGGGAACAGTATGGGTTTAGGGTTTCGAATTTAGAGTTTGTGGTTTGGGGTTTAGGCTGAGATGAACTTCTCGGTTCTGGCCTTCCCTTCTCGAGCCCAACATCCGCCTGGCGCACTGTGAAGCCTTCCCCCGGGTGTGCAAGCGTACCTCCGAAAGTATGTAGAATGATGGCCTTTTATAGGAGGTTCTGGGCCATTATTTTGCCAACTTTTGGTGTCAGGCCGTACGAACCCGAGCCGGTCGTTCTTTTGGTTGAAGTAAACTTCGACTAATATATCGGCCTTAACAACTTAGAATAGGATTTTGGGGCCCGCTGTACTATGAATATAATAAGGAACCCCTCCAAAATAGTGTTGGTAATCATTTAGGCCCCTATATTAGGAGATGTTGCGATGAGAGCGCTGGCAAAAGACATCTCGCTTGTCGACTTCATGGACATGGAGCTTTGGGAAGACAGACTCTCGTCTGCAAGGCGTGATTTGGGTCTGGGTTGTGCTGGCCCCACCTCCAGAAGAGATGCAGCGCAACTTCCCGAAACCCTAAACCCTAAATCCGAAACCCTAAACCCTAAATCCGAAACCCTAAACCCTAAATCCGAAACCCTAAACCCTAAACCCACGGTTGGTATCGTTTTCTGTTCCGTCTCAGGCGAGTTGATGGAGGCCGTGGTCCCCTACCGCTGTCGGATGTACAGGCAGCTCTCCATGGAGGTGAAGAGGAACAGGCAGCCAGGGCCTCGAGAAGCTTTGGAGCGGGAAGAACGGCATATATATATATATATATATATTCATATATATATATATATACACACACACATATATATATATATATATATGCTCACCCCCCCCGTTGACAGACCATGCCCTTGTGATAGTGTACTCTCGTTCGGTGACTAAGCTGAGATATTGTATCTAAACACACCACACATGACGACAATCTGTGAAGCAAATCCTTTACAGTACATATACCAAGTGTACTTTGAACATGCCATGTACTGAGGACGCATGGACCAGACGCGCGACACGTGAGTTATGAGTTTTGTGGTAGCATTGACAAAGGATGAGTATGAGTATGAATATAGGTATTAGTATTAGTATCAGCAATAGTATTAGTGTTTACTGTAAGTATATATATATATGTATATATCGACAGTAGTAAGTCTACATTAATGTTAGTGCTCATCTTCGTTTTAGTCTTAGTGTTAGTGCCAGTGTCAATGCCAGAAATAGTACCACTGCTAGCATTAGTATCAGTCTTCATGCTGGGTTTAATATCAGTTAATAATGGCAGAGGTGCTAGTATTGGTATCAAAATTAAAGTTAGTTTCGATATGTTACTATTCTGATAGTTTCGTATATCAGCAGGTTAGTATATCAATACATTGATGTGTTCGAGGGGCAACATACTTGTATACTTGCATATTCGTAGATTTAATACTTTAGTACAACTGATGCATGAGCAAACTAGTATATTGCTGTATTAACATATTAGTATATTAACATACCAGTATATTCGTACATTAGTGTATTAGCATACTAGTATATGCAATATACGTGTATTGTCTAAAGATTTATAAGTATATCAGTATGTTGTCATATTATTACACTAACCTGCCATGTCGGTATCCTTGCATATTACAGTAGTCGTATACTAGTATAGTAGCATACTAGTATAATAGCATACTAGTATAGTATATTCACACATTAACAAGTAGTGTAGTGTATCGTTACATTGGTATATGGGTATATGCTTGTCCTAAAACATCAGTACATGAATGCATTGATACATATCGGCATTTTAAGATAATGGTATGTGTTCTGGTGTGCCTTAGCATATGCACGTGTCTTTTGTAATGGTATTAGTCTTCACATAAGTATGAATATGACTATTGGTATTCGTAGGAGTATTTATGTTAATATTCGTATTAGGATTATCCATAGTCGCATTAGCCTTAGTATAAGTGTTCATAATGGTATTAATACTGGCATTATCCTGAATATTCAACAAGTTATCAATGTCAGTATTAGTATTGGTGACAGCATTACTGTTAACAGCATAAGAGTATACGCAGTAGTATCCGTAGGAGTATCAATACTTATGTAAATCTTGGCGTTGGTATAAACAGTGTGATTGGTATTAGCAATAGTGCTGGTGCTAGTGCTAATATTAAAATGAGGTTATGTATTCGCATGAACGCTGTCTTAAAACGAACATACTAACAGATAAATACATGCATGAGCTAATGTATTTGTACTTTAATATAGTGGTATGTATATTTATGTACATTGGTATATATGCAGGTGTGTATTAGTACTGGTATTAAAATACACTACTACCAATATGGGCATAATTATTGATATGCGTAGGAGTATGAACGCCAGTATTCATCATTGTTAGTATTTTTATGGTGCCTATTCGTATTGGCTTAAAAAATAGTGAGTGTTAGTGTTAATGCTGGTATTAGCTTGGGCAGTCAGCAAATGATCAATGTCAGTATTAGTATTGGTAATAGTATTCGTAGGAGTACCAATTTAAGAAAATATAAAACACTGACAACACTGACAATCGTCTAAACAGACCTTGCCTTTGCAAGTGAGTCGTAGCGCATGGTCTGTCATCCGATGGGTCACAATCAGCCCATTGAAAATCAATTCCAGAAGTTCCAAAATTTCCATAATTTCCAAAATCTCCGAAATTTCCGAAATCTCCAAAATTTCCAAAATTTCCAAAACGGCCCGACCTAGTCGACAGGATTTTTTCAAAACATAAGGGCGGACTTTTTGGAAATTTTGGAGATTTTGGAACTTTCTCAAATTTTGGAACTTTCTCAAATTTTGGAAATTTTTGGAAATGTTGGAAATTTTGGAAATTTCGGAAATTTCGGAAATTTTGGATATTTTGGAAATTTTGGAAATTTGTGAAATCCGGAAAGTTAGGGGAGAGAATTTTGGAAATTTTGGAAATTTAGGAATTGAGTTTTTGAAAGCTGAGTGCCCCCTCCCCCCGATCACAGACCATGCGCTACGACTGAGTTGAAAGGGCATGGTCTGTCAACGGGGGGGGGGTGACCATATATATATATATATATATATATATAGGCCATAAGCAGTACATTGACATTGTAATGCAAATTACAGGAGTATAGCGCCAGAAGCCGATATGAGAGTACTGGTCTCCTGCAGGGCGTGCGTTTCTAGACCATTTCGTGATCGAGTCTGTGCTGTGTGAGACAACGGCATGCGCGGGCTTGCGAAATGACTTATAACATTCCGTTGTTTGATGCTTCGACGGTTCAAGAAGCCAAATGTACGTAACGTCAAGGAAGTTGCGTAGCTGCTTTCGAGGGGGGAACGATGATCACCGTCAGCATCGTCGTCGTCATCATCATCACACCACCATCGCCTTCATCCGTGATCACGGGCACCCTCATCCTCTCGTTCTAGCGGTCGTGCCCATGCTTTTTTTCCTTCTCCCTTCTCACGCTCTGAGGTGCAAGGCTGATGTAAGAACATGCAGCATGTGAAGCCGGGCCATCTCCAAATGAACAGGAACATCGTCATACTGAGGGTCTTGTTACATTCGTGTCTGCCGTTTGCTTGAGACAGTTGCCGAATTTGTTGGCTGCACCAGAGGTTGACGATGAAAGTCCTGGAGCAGCAAGGTGTGGAAATGTCTGCAGAGCGTTGAGCACTGTGCTTCTCCACATTCCCCGCCCTTGCTCGCAGGCGAGTGTCTGCAACACGCCCCGGCAACCCTACAGGCGACAAGTTCAGCTCTTGATTCGGCGTGTTAAGCTGTTGCCTTCTGCTCAAAAGGCCGACCGTGAGATCGTCCTCCTCGCTGCGAGGACGGATCGGGCTCTTGCTCGGGGCTGGTTGAAGCCAGAAGAACTTTTCTTGGGGTGATTCCAGACTCACCTGTCATGGGAAGTGTGTGGCCGGGCGTATGGACGTATGTGGCTGAAAACGGAGTGAACTTCAGCAGAGCTCTGCTGAATCCAGACAGCATCCGGGCTTCACATGCATTGCGGTTTCGAAGAAGTGTTTTTTTGCCGCAGGTGGACGATTTCCGCAAGTGGTTGACTGTTAAAATTACGCCTTGTAAGTGACGTTGCCTGTTCCTGCAGGCACGTCTCCAAGAAGTCCACGTGGAACTTGTTGGGCCTCTTGGCCCAGACCATGTTGTCAAAATTATGATCCTTCTTTTTAGTCCTTGATATAGTACGGCACCTATTATTTAGGGCACCCAACAAGGGACCCTAATCTTCACAACTACCCATTGGGATGTCAGTCCTCTTGCTGCTCTCAGGCTTGCTTTAGGGATGAGTACAAAGGCTGAACCAAAAAGGTCATTATGTACTTGCGACAAGCGTAACTCCACGGGACCCTTGAAGCTCCAGTCGGCCTTCAGCTCTGAGGCATGATTGGTGCGGCCCTTCACTATGATAAGGAGGTGGTCATTGCATGCACGGTCCTCAGGCCCAAGATAGGTTCGTGTGGTTCGGCCCGCTATCACGCTGGATATTGACGTAGCATGCTCACTTCCGGCTCACCCACTTTAGATTTCCATACCTTCCTGACCTGCCTCGCGGCAGAATATGTAAATGACATATTTAATAGCATCCTCTTCTATGCCCTTACATAGTCTTTACAGTATAAGGTACCCCGAAACGGCAGTCTGAGTATTCAGCTCTCACACCCCACAAGGCGCCGAGAACGGATGTTCGCGTATGTCGGATCTGCACATAGCTCCTCAGCGGCCACTTACCTTGTGTTTGCAGTGCAGCGCGGGAATCAGAAAGAGAAAGGCGAAGACCAAGACAGTTTCGAGAGAGAGAGAGAGAGAGAGAAGTAACAGGATGACATATTCGTAAAATGCAATAATGCAATACTAAGAGGAACAGAAACACAGAGACATCTACCAAACAAGAGAACGAGCAACACAGATCTTTGTGAAGGGTGAGTGAACAGACTATATAGTTCCAGTACCGGGTCACACTGCTTTTGTATGATGCATCTAGCATGGCATTCGAACGCGGCATCCGAGATGGATTAGATTTTGAACACATGTCGCGGAGTCGCAGTGTGCCAGTGTTTGCATCTGAGAAGCATAGTGCAGTCATGCGTCATGATGCGTCATGCATCCCTGAGCGCCGCGCCTAATTTCCAAGGACCTGCAGGCCGACGAGGAGGTGCTTCGAGCCCTTGTTGCTGGAAACCCCATGGAGCTTGAAGCTTGGATTCAGCATAGGATTTTCAGACTGTCAGAACGGGTAGGCTTTTAATGACACTTTCGTCGTTGAGCTTTCAAGGAACACATGCCAGCCTCCATCAAAGAGGATCGAGAGTTTGTGTTGGAGCTGCCGCTTGACTCCGCATTCAGAATGCAGTCGAATTACTGCTTCCTGCTGCTGAGCCAACAAGACTTGCCTTTTTCCTCAGCCTCGCACATGCTTAGCCTTTCTCGGAACGGGGACGCCCTACAGTTCGCCGGTGATTTTCGGGATGACGGCGACTGTGTCGAGGACCTTGCCGAATGAGTTTGTCGGGTTGCAAGCTGATAGCACGTCACAGTGCCCACCAACTGCGCCGCATGACTGCCGAGCTGATCAAAAGCAGGCTGCCGTGCTGAAGACCCCGATGAACTTGCGATGGGCATCCACCCGGCTTCGGGGTGACAGGGATTTGGCGGGGTGCCCAGGGCCAGAGTCGCCAACAGCTTGTCAACGATAAGGAACTCGGATTCTCGCAGATTCTTTGAGGCTCTCAAGGCCTTGAACGCTGTCGTTCCGTGCTCCTCCGAGTCGGATGCTGCAAGACATAGGCCGCAACATGCAGCAGGCCCTCGCTGTTGGAGTGTAGAGAGCAAGGATAAACTGGCATGAGCGTGCCGCTGGTGTCGGCGTGACGCCCCTGCAGTACATGTCCAGAGAGCTGCGTGGAGGCCTCGGTTCGCACGGATGGGGATCGCCGGGAGCAGTCATTCAAATCCACACCTTTGTCTAAGGAGGCGACAAGGAGTTGGTTCTACTTGCCGTGCAGCAGTATGGTTCGGCCCTGCAGTTTGCAGAGTCAGCTCTGAGAATGGACCGCGAGGCATCCGAAGCGAAACGCATTCGCAGTCTGTTATTGCAGTCTCGTCTCTGCAAAGCAGCAGATCGGACAGAGATGGTAAGATGCTTTCTCATGAGACCACTGCCAGCAGGTGGTGATGGCTGCCATCGGCGAGAATCCCATGGCGCTTGAACACGCTCCTCGGCTGCCAAAGGTGCAGGACTTCTGATCTTTCGAGCACCACTTTGGCGGCGCAGCACGCCAGAATTGAACGTGTCTAGCCAAGGTGCTCAGCCCGGCCGACATGCATGGAAGCCGCCCGGTTCGGAGCAAGACAGGCGCTGCATCTGCGCATGTGCAGTGCTTGCTGCCTGTTGCCGCTGGTGTCGTAGGGTGATGTCGGACATTCATCACGGTCTTGTGGCACAGGCAAGGCCGGCTACAAACAAAAGCAGGGCACCGAAGCTGATTTGCTTCAAGATGTCGAGCTGCTAGCGAAAGCCGCTTGCCCGAAGCGAAGTGCAGAGAATATGTCGAGGCTGGCAGGAGGAAATTTATTGACGCAGCCAAGGCCCTGAAGCGAAACTCGAGGCCGAAGCGGGGCGACATTGGAATCCGCAATGTTTACTTCGGTCCTGGCTGTCGTCATACGTTTCTGAGCACGACTCCGTGGACTCCGCCTCAAGATCTGTGAGAAGTGCAGCAAGTGTAGCAGTTGTACGTGCGTATGTGCGCAACGTTGACTACGCCATCAGCCTGGCAGTCTTGATTTTGGTCGTTGCACCGGCAGTGGTAGCGGTAGTCAGTGGCGGTAGTGGTGGCAGCAGTAGAATCAGTGCTGGTGGTGGTGCTGCTGGTAATTGCGGTAACCCATTGACTGTTGCTGACTGCGGCAGTTGATGCTCGGCATGCTGTCCAGCCGCGCTGAAGTGCGTCGATATTACTCGTCCGGTCTCCTGAAGCTCTGTCAGGGCTTTGGTGTTCTGCCCAAAGCACCTCCGCCAAGAGGTGCAGGACGATGCTGAAACCCAATTGTGCCATGTGCATCCAAAGCTTCTGCCGGCGGTTCGCTACGCGAGGCTAGATATTGATATCGCTAAGAAAGAAGCATGGATTTAGCAGCAACGTGTGATGCTTACTTCTGGCATATCTGCAAATCGATCTCTCCATCATGTCAGTTTCTCGTTCCTCTGGAGCTGCAGTTGCAGGAGCTGGCAGGAAAGAAGGCTTGAAAAGTGTCGTCCAAATTGGTTTCAAGACGGAGGACCGCGTGACTTGCTGTAAATTGCTCTGCTCAGGGACGAGAGATGTTTCTGATTTCTCTCGCTTCGGTGTAACAAGCCAACTGTGGCATTGAATTGATGCGGCCAGTCGGTGCCAGGCGCTTCCGTCTGAGCTGGAGGCTTTTCGGGGCACTGTACAGGGGACTCGTCTCGTGCTCAGCCTCCTTCCGGCTACAGATAGTCATCGCAGACTACTGAGCATCTGGAGAGGATCCGCCGGAGAAGAGTGGCCGGCGAGAAGCATCGTCAGGGACCACAACCATCTGTGGTCCGCTGACCGGCACGAGAGGGCGTACTCAGCTGATCATGAGTTGCTGGCCGTCATTGGCGAAAGCCTCACCAAGTGGAGGCCCACTTCCCGGGTAAGTCACTCCCTGGTGAGCAGCTGAAGGAGCTGAGGTGAACAGTGATCCAGAAACTGCCTTTCCCGCTCGACACCCCGCGCCCAAACCCTCCAACCTTGGCCACTGGCAGTCTAGGGTGCCATTCTCACGTGTTACACGTGGTTTGGACCTCAGGAGAAACACCCACTGCCCCAGAGAGGCTTTTGTACAGCGCTTGCAAACTTGCAGAGGAGGAAAACAATGTGCAAGATGCGTGTTCGAGGCTACAAGCAGCACCGCTGGTAAGCTCCGCTCAGATGAAGTCGCCTGTCAGATTGTTTCTGGTGGATATGTTAGTTGATCTTACGATTCGTGATGTACTATTCGTGTCGCGCTTGACATTCGGTTCTTGAAATTTCTTTTGGCCTATGTCCTACATCGACACTGTATCGAGGCACAGACTTTCCTGTAATGCCTGCAGAAAACTGGCAGTACTACTGGTAGCAATCTAGCTTATACCAAATACGACTCATTAGCAGATGTTTTTTGTTAGTCGTAGGCCCTCATGGATCAGCGTTGCTACGACGACGAAGACAACTATGACCACCATGACGCCACCACCACTGCCAGCGGCCACCCACTGCTACTCTCCCGGCTGCTGCTGCTGCTGCTGCTGATTCTACTACTACTACTACTACTACTACTACTACTACTACTACTACTACTACTACTACTACTACTACTACTACTACTACTACTACTACTACTACTACTACTAGCTACTACTAGCTACTACTAGCTACTACTACTACTACTACTACTACTACTACTACTACTACTACTACTACTACTACTACTACTAGCTACTACTAGCTACTACTACTAACTACTACTGCTACTGCCACTGCTACTCTAACCATGTGCAGGCGCGTTCCAGAGGCAGAGCGGCAAGTCACCCTGGAGGCCCGGGAAGAGCTCGTTGTTGTCCGGAGAGTCTTGATAACCCTAAACCCTAAACCCTGAAACCCTAAACCCCTAAACCCCTAAATCCTAAGCCCTAAACCCTAAACCCCTAAACCCTAAACCCCTAAACCCCTAAACCCTAAACCCTAAACCGAAGCTCCTGACCAGGCTGTGCCTGAAAGCATCTCGTGCGCGATTTTTTGTACGAACTGGCTTGGCCTTGGAATCCACACCATGCGGGTCTAATCTAATCTGCACAAGGCTTTGAAGCGACGGAAAGTGGAGGCGACCTGCTTGTCGCATTGGACATGCAGCAAGTGATTGCTCGAAGCAGCTTTTCTCGCGGCAGAGCAGCCTTGTCTGTGGCTTTGGGCAAGGATCCATCTCCTTTGAAACGGCTCAGGTGGAGAGGGCTTTGTCTCTGCTCCCCTTCAAGATCGAAACTGTCGGGCAGAAGCGCAGAGAGAAGGAGCTCCTGCACTCCGTGGCCGGGAGCCCGGTGTCCAATGTCTTCTCCGCGGATACGGGCCTCCTGTGCAAAGTTGCTCCCGTGAGGCAGGGCAAGGGCACAGGTCTTTGCAAAACGCTAGTTGATGGCCTTTGCAAACGCTTGGGCGAGGGCTGTACTGCCAGTAGCCAAATCCAGTTTGGAGCGGCATGTGCAGTGCAGCAGAGGTGCCACTCAGTCCTTCATCCCCCTGCCATGTGTGAAGGGGCACTCGCAGGGTAGCTCCGTGTGACTTCTTCCACTGACACGTCATTGAGCTCCATGAAAAGGTGTGACTAGCACACGCACCTGCCTCACCCTACGTAGCGACGAACGTGCAGACGGGTTCTTCTGGGGATAGATGCACAAGCTGATAAGTTCTTTGTCTGAGGCCCAAGTGGAAAAGTTGTTGCAAATGTTCGGACACGCCACGGTCTACATGCCCGAAGGTGCGAACGTTTTCAGTTTTGATGTCATTGCACTCTACCTTCGTCTCGTGCTTCTCTGGGATATGGCTTCAGGCTTTAGGCTGTTGCAGGCGATCAGCTGTGGTGTGTTGTAGCATCCACAGAAGGTCTACGCTTGAGACGCTGTTTCTGCTTCTGTTTCCCGGTTTGTCCAGCTGTGCTCCTACAGGGCCGGTGAAGGGTTCGAGTCGTTCGAGTCGGGATCTTCAGAAATGCTGCACGGCAAGATGGGTCTTGATGGCAACCTTTGATCCTCTGTTTCTGCCTCTGCAGACGCTGAGCCGATCGTGGCGGAGTCCTTGCCTTCCCTGGCACTTCCGGGCAAGGATGGGCTTAAATGGCAAGTGCTCGTTTCATGAATGCACAAGACGTTATGGTAACCTGCTACTTGGATCTGCAGTATCAGCTGGCACCGTCTTGGTCGAGTCTCTTGCATTGTCTTGCTGTTCATGCCGGTGGATCTCGCAGAAGCGGTGCACGCACTGCTGCAACCAAGCAACCCTATTCGCAGGCACCTGCCATCTCGCCGCTGTGAGCGCCGCAAGGCACGGGGCCGCAGGACAGCGCCAGTCGCACTGCAACGATCTCAAAGTGACTGATAGGGCAAGTATCTATCCCATTGGGCCGGTCTAGACTGGTGCTTCTAGCAAGCCTTGACAGAGCTGGGATGGTTTGGGCAGTGCGTGCGAAGGAAATCAGAAAAAAAAAGACACGGCGAAGCGCTGTTGCATCTGGGAGCTGTTGTGAGGCATGGTCCAATGGTCCCCTTCTGTCAAAGTGTCAACCCCGAAGCCGCCCTGCAATGCTGCCAGGCCATGCTTCAATGCCTGTGCCCAGCGGCCCAAGTGCAGATCTGCACATCCCAATTTTACTAGCGTTGTACCGTTCCCTCAAAAGCCCGTCTTCCGAGTGTCGAGATGGCCTTGAGGACGATTTTGATTTCGGCCCAACTCTGGCTGGCGGTGCGTGCGGAGGCGCTTTGCGCCGACGGCGACTCCGCTTGTGCCGCCCATGCTGGCTCCTTGATCCAGCATCATGCCCGTGACTCCAAGATGAGAAACGGCCTCGATGGCATGCTCACCGGCGACCACGGTCTGGAGGAGACACCCGGAGGTGCGAAGTGGACCGAGGAGGAGGCACTTGTGGTACTTTCCAAGCTGATGTCTCTCTTTGGGAAGTGGCCGTTCGAAGGGTGGGTTCGTGATGAGAAGGGCAAGGACGTGAGGGCGACTATTGAATGCTTTACCGACGGCCCTGATGCCAATGATACCCATCACCAAACTGTGCCATGCACCTACTGGCGAAACGGCTTCTCAGACCAAGGGGTCGTTCCCAAATGGCCCATGCTGCTGCGCTTTGGCTTCCACAGCTGCATGAAGTACAAAGATGGCACGGGCGGCTGCAACGGGCGTCTCCAGCTCGGCGGGGCCTTCCGGCGCCTCGGCTATGCCCCCAGCCACCGCTTCCAGTGCACTGGCCCTGGAAAGGAGAGCCGCCGGAGGGGAGTGGCGCCCAAGTGCCATCCCAAGGAGGGTGCCGTCGAGAACTCGCCGGGTCACAATGCCAACATGGCTCTCTTGGCGGACTCCTTGGAGAGGCTCTACACCTTTAAAGACTGGCCACCTATGGCGCCTTCACTCAACAAGTCCTTGAAAGAGTCCGGAAAGTCGAGAGCGGACTTGTGGGCTTTCGGCACGATTGCGAGTGCCTGGATTGGCATGCGCCAGAACAACGAAGCCTGCCAGAAGGGAGAGGCTTTGTATGCCCAGTGGCCCGTGCTGCCCTGCAACATCACCATGCCCGACTTCACGTTCTTCTCTGGCCGCCGTGACTCAGCAGAGCCGGTCCCGCAGCCGCAGTGTGCCTCTTCCTGCAATGCCACGGGGCGTCTCTACGCACCCTACCCAGTCTGCAAGCCAGGTGGCCGGCCATGCAGCTACGACGAGGTCTGCAAGCGTCCCGAATGCCATGATTGCGACGTCTGCAAGCCGGCCTTCGATGGGAACCACATGCCCCGGCCTTACGAGTCGCTGGTTCCCGAAGCCTTCCCCGGAACCACCTTCAACGGGCAGCAAGTTGCGGACTACTTCGATCAGAACTTCGACTTCTCCAAGCGCGAGGCGATTGCCATCATGGGTGCCCATAGCTTCGGCGCGGTGCATGTTCAGGTAAGTGCCTTCCGTTATGACTGGACCCACATGCAGCAAGAACAGCTGAATGCAGTGTACTACAGGATCATTGGCAGCATGGATGCCAAGCATTTCGAGAGGTGGGGTCGAAAGGGGGCTTATCCTTACCCTCCAACGGCCATTGGGGGTCCTAACGGCTCGGCCCCACGTACATTCTTCTTCATGCACCAGGATGGCAAGGATGTCGCTGGCGGCCATTTCCAGTATTTTCATGTCTACGAGCGCTGCCCGTACTGCACAACTGATGGGATCTTGCTGGAAGGTACCAGCCTTCCATGGGTGGGGCTAGGCCGCAAAAACCAGACGGTCGAGCCCTGTGCGCTGGAAGGGAACAAGAGCAAGACCGTCATGCACTGCATCCGCCGCGATCCATGCTGCGACTTGTGCAGGAAGGCAACTCGCGTGACCTACCTCGGAGAAAATCCGCTGATCCGGGATCGGCCGATGTACGACATTCAAGGCTTGACCGCGGAGGAGAAGGACATCTTCGAGCGAGGAAGGTGCTTCCAGAATTTCTCCGAGCATGAGACCATGCTTGTGTCTGACCTGGCTTTGCACAGGGATATTCGAGTGAACGAGCTTGGCACCCCATTGAACTGCCAGAGCAACCACGCCTTCGGCATGGACAGCAAGTGCCCGCGCAACATGCTGGCTGATGAAGGGGATAAGCCAATGTCTGCGATTGTTGAGGAATATGCCAACGATCAGAATCTTTGGGCTGAGCATTTCAAGGACGCCCTGCATCGCATGCTGGCCAACGGCGTTCCTGAAGGTCAACTTGTGGAGAATTTCAAATTTAAGGGCATTTCGTGCTCTCATCCATTCTTGCCTGGTGGAGCCCACCACAAGTACGTCTGCAGGCGCACCTAGACATCTGGAGTCGGCTCATGTGAGACCGTCGGTGGCTCAGGGCTTTCTGCTGACCGAGCTTCTGGAGAACAGCAGCGGACGCATCACGTTGTTAATTGTGATCGTCATCATCCCTGCTCGCTTGTACACAGGAAAAACGGCGGCAATTGAGCCCTTTTGAGTGTGAGAGCGGCAGCACTTGCTGCTTACTGCCATCAGCACATCCGCACTCTCAGTCTGCGCAGACGCGCACACACTCTAAACCCTGAGCCCAAAACCCTAAACCCCTCCTCAGAAGCTTGGGAGAATCGAACCGGAGCATTTTGGCTCCTGGAGAGTTTTCGGGAACTCTAGGGCTTGGGTTCCGGATGTGGGGAACTTGCAGCAGGAGGTGTTGAGTAGGTTACTTGTTGAGCGCTATTTGGAACAAAAGGAGGTTAACGCATGACCACTTCTGTCTGTTCTCGGTTGAAACCTGCCTCCCTCATGGGATGCCGCATGGACGGAGCCGGACTTTCAAGAAATCTGAGCGCGACGGCGGTCGCAAGCTTGAGCATCAGCCAGCCCCGTGCACCGCCAGTGTAAGGCATGAGACCGTTTGTCCCCACGGCTTTACACCGCTGCCAAGCATGCGCCATTTCGCGACGACACACCACAGCTCAGAACCGTCCATCTCTCGTGAAAGGTTGCTGACGAGCTGTTCGACACTTCGACTGCTTGATGCTCGAACTTCGCCAACGGCCAAAGGCAAGCCCCCAGTGCAGGAGTTTGCGTACTCTTTACCATACGAGCTCGATGTAGAGTTCACACTTCCTCGGTGGTTGAGCCCAGATCAATCTACACGAGTCTTTTTTGTGGCGCTGGACATGAACTTGATCAAGAAACACAACCTCAGCCCTCTATCTGTCTGGAAAGGTGCCAGCATTGCCGAACGTTTCATGTGTGTCAAGCCCATTGAACGCTTGGACTTAAAGAAGGCGCAGCAGACAGTGCATGGCATTCCTGTCAAGCCATGCGTGTTGTCTGGAGGCAAGGCCAGGATATTGATGCTGGTTGTCGAACAGCCAAAATATATCAAGCCTCCGGAATGGTCTTTGTTGGGCTTGCTGAGCGTGGCATTGGACAGGTCACCTCTGCAACTGAGTTGCGTGATGCAACACTCGGAGTTGCCATTTGATGATGCCATCGTCTGCGGTCAACTTACCCTGGAGGCACCGACCGTCCCTTCTACTCCGGGAGCTTTACACCGCGTCCCGTTGAGAATAGTCTGCATGTTGGATGCTTCTGCATCTATGTCGAAACACCAGAGCTCTGTCCAGACTGCATTGTGTGACATGCTCCAGTGGCTTGCACCACAAGATCAGCTGGGAATTGTGGCCTCGTCCAGTGATGATGGAGGAGTCGTGCTCGAGTTAACCCACATGGATGACGAGGGCAAGCAACGTGTGGTTGAGGCTCTCGAGGCGGTGCAGACAGGAGAACATGCTGATGTCACGCGTGGCCTTGCTCTGGCTTTACAGAGCATGGAGAACACGTCGGAATGCCAGGAGGTTTCTGCGGTGTCTGCAATCGTCTTGCTTGCATGCGGTGAAGATGCCCTGCTGCAGGATATCTCTGCAGGTACTTCAGTACTAATCGGGGCTGCATTTACAGTTCTTGTCCAGCTGTGCGCTTGGACCAGAAGAGTCCCAAGGTTTGATCTTCGATGCCACTTCCCAATACCCCTAGAAACTCCACAGTTGCTTTGCTAATGTAGATCCGCTTTCTTACTGTGTTCATCTGAGCCGTCAGCTAACCAAAAGGCATACCACATGGGGTTGAAGCATGTGTAGAGGATCCGACTCCAGAAACACAATCGGCCTGCTGTCTTCAACTGATGATGGATCCCGGCAGGATCACATGGACTTTTTGCTCGACCGGTGTGCTGCGGTTCCATGCAGCCTGTACACCTTCGTGCTGGCATCAGACGAGAGCATGGATGCGCTGCCAGAGCTTGCCCTAAGATCCAAGACGCCATTCACATTCCTCGAGCAAGCACCTTTGCTCCGAGAAGCTCTTGCGAGACTCGTTGGCCTTTTGTCCAGCGTTGTCGCGCAGCAGGTCGAGGTGGTGCTGAAGCCTCGTTTCGAGGTCGAAGACATACTCACCCCATTTGACTGCTACTGTAGTGGGAGTGATCCTTTGACGTGGCATGTCAAAATACCTGATCTGAGCATCGGCGAGAGAAGGGACATTCTGGTGAAGCTGGCTGTACCAGCTACAGCTCCGATGAAAGACGGCAGCATCACTCTCCTAGAAGCCTCCGTCTCTTCTCAAGGCTACGTCATGGCAGAGCAAAGCACGAGCCTGCGACGCAACATCAGCGGTCTTGCAGCCTCTGAAGGTTTGAGTGAAAACTTGGAGGTGCGTGATCATTTGGAGCGTCTGGAGGCAGGCAGGGTGCTGGAAGAGGCGGTCTTCGATGCTGACCACTTTGCCTTCGAGGCAGCTAGGGGACACTTGCAGAGCAAGAGGCGGGAGTATGGGGCCATGGTTCCAAGAACGCCTATGCTCGACCTCTTGGATCAAGAGTTACAATCTGCAGATCAGCACCTCGAGCATCTGCACTCAGAAGAGTGGAAGTCGTGCCGTCCAAGGCTTTTTGAAGCGATTCTCATGCACAGGCTCCAGCGCTCGGTGCTGAGCACAGCACTCGCAGTCGTCCAAGCCTGATCATGACGCATCATGAATCTCCCTCTCATCTGCTTCCCAGTGCCAGGGACTTTGCTCCAGCGAAGCTGGGCGGAGTAACTTCTGCGCGCCGATTTTCGGAAGTTGCGCGAAACTCATTGCGGAAAGGTTGGAAGCATAATCATCCATTGCGAGCTTGACTCATGCACCGCAATGAATGCACAAGCAAACGTGTTGGGCTCATGTGTGCGGAGCACTCCGGTTATACGTCATGTTCGTATTACATCGTACAGTTTAGTAAGTTTAGGGATCTACTTTGAGCCCTTTTTTCTGAAGCTCGAACGTCTCGCCGGGGCCTCACAAAGCCGTTCCATGCTGGGCAGCTTGATGAGTCTGCCACCATCGAACTCCGGTAATAGTATGAGTTATTATTGGTAATCATATTTCTATTAGTATTGATATCTAATGTTACTATTAGTATTAGTCATTGGAATTCGTCTTCGTATTCAATCTTACTGTTAGTATCGATATTCACTATTACTATTTGTATTGGTTTGCAATATTAATACTAGTATTGTCGTATTGGTATTTTGCATGCATTTGCACCGCAGCTGTTCCAACAGCTTCCGTGTTGATAGCACAGAGCTTTTGAAATTGTGGCAAGCATTTTGGTAGTGAAAGCTGGCTAAAGTCGAGGCTAGCGGACGACTCGTCAAATCACACCAGTGCGGAACACCGCACAGTTTTTCCAATGTAGCTTTCTCTTGTCGCTGCCATGACTCCCACTGCCGAGGGTGAGGAGGGCGGTGCCGGTATGTCCCATGAAGAACAGAAGGAGGAGGACGACGAGGAGCATGTCAAAAACCGCAGCAAAGCATCTTGCCAGAACAGTGTAGGACAAGTCTCTCTTCGCTGCCAGTATGACGGCAGTCCTGATTGTAAGAATGCTGTCAATGCCAATACTCTTGATGTTACTTTCGATAGCTGCATCGTGTTGCTGGGTCTTGCTGAGCTCAGAACTGCTGTACCCCATGAGTGCCTCCAGCCTTCAACCTTCCAGGTCTCAGCGGTCTCATTTAAGCCACCGTCGCCGGAGCGGGAAAGATGCTCGGTCTGGACTTGTCGGCGCAAAGAGGCACTCCTCAACTGTAGCGCGATCGCATGGACATTCAGACTAAGGAACTCTCCTCGGCGCCTCTCAGCTGCAAGTTGCTCTGACATGCAAGGCACAACGACGGAGGATTCAAGGCATGTAAGCCCAGGCTCCTCAAGCTCCCCAGCTTCCAAGCGTCACCACTTCTTTTGAGTCGGCAGCTCTTCTCGGTCCCAGCGAAGCCGAGGAGCTTCTCTTCCTGAAGCTTCAGATGCTCTTGGGCAAGGAGAGCCCTGTGGAGATGAGCTCCAAGGCAGGGAAGCCGTGGCTCCGGCCTGGAAGGGATTCCTTGATGATATTTTGGACCGGTATCAAGCAGCCACTTCCGGCGAGGGCCTGTAACAAGCCTCACGTCCGAGTCGGGATGCGGTGCACTATGTTGCACTCACAGGCGAGGATTCAGGTTCTTCTGCAGCCAGAAGCTTTTCTCTCATCAAGTGCTACCGCAGCCCAACCCGAAATCCCAAGACCTAGTCCCTTATCCGGGTGAGGTGGTGGGCATGCTCTTGCAACTGCCGCTGCCAGAGCTTCGGCAGTTGGTTGGCTCGTCCTCACTGCTGCGGCAGAGACTTGCCGAAGCACTGAAGCTTCTGGGCCGCTTGGATCAGAAGGCTGCATAAACGGGGAAGACTACCGAGATCCAGTCAAAGATTTCGTGTTTCGAGAAGCTCTGCTCCTCAGCTAGTAGTCCTATTATTGTTATTAGTCTTCTTGTCATTATTGGTATTACTAGTATCATTAACAAAATTAAAAAAACTGCTACTATTCAGGCATTCAGCAAGCCGGGACGGCATCGACCTCCAGCGAGGCTGCTCTTGAGATGCGCCCGCCGGTGGCTCGCCAAGCCGAGTTGCTGTTTCTGGCACTGATGCCTGGTTGCAGCTCAGTACAGTGTATGGGTAGTTGTCAAAATTAGGGTCCCTTTTTGGGTACCCTAAATACTAGGTGCCGTATTATATTAGGGACCCCAAAAGGGACCCTAATTTTGACAACCACCCGTATTCTGTTCTTAGAAACAGGATAGGCGAGGAGATGAAGCGAGATCTAAGCTGCCGGGCAGTAGGTCCTTTGCAGCTGTGTCTGCTGGATTTCTGGGAACTGCTTCTGACTTTCTTTGCTTCAAGGTGCAACGGTGAGAGTAAAGAGGTGCTTGTAGATTCAAGTTCCGGGTCCACTCGCCTTGGAAAGGAGCTTTTTAGGGTCCACGCGCAAGCTTAGCAAGGAGCTGCCTCCTTGGCGATCGAGACCTTGCGCTCTCCCTCACGAGCTCCTTGCAGCGACGCCTCACGGAGGTGGGACCAGTCGCAGGCAATCAGTCATATTCAAAGGCCGCCCCATCCTGAAGTTCTGTCTGCAGTCCACAGACCATGAGTTTTGCATCATCGCGGCAACACGAATTGCAGCGATGCTCAGGCGATGCCGTCAGGTTCACAGGTTCAGGCAGTCTGGTTCGTGAGTCCGAGGGGCGAAGACGTTCCATCTTGTCAGTGTGAAGACGACAACAAGACTTCAATCTTGTATGCTCGACATATGTTGAAAACATAATCGAATCACGGAAAATGCTGCGCCCCAGGGTAGCGAAGCACGGTTGCAAGCCTCCCATGCAGAAAGCTCTGAAACAGTCAGGCGGAGTTGGTGGGCTGTTTGGTAGAAGAGACACTTGCCAGCATCATGAGACCGACATCCGCAGCTTCCGTTTCATGTAAAGACACTAGAGTCACTGGAGCACAAGAAGATCACTGTTCTGAGGAAAAAGCTCCGCACCTCCATCAAAGCTCTCTCCAAGACGTTGGAGAAGGATCCTATCGGTAACATCGGCCCCGCTTTCAAGTTCTCCTACGCAACACGCCAGTACAGGTAGCTGCACTTATCACCTGCTTTGACACGGCGCAACTCCCGGACCTCAAGGATCTAGAACATGGGGAACATTGCAACTTGAGTAAATTGGTGGCAGTAGTACTAGTTTGCAGCAGTGTCAGTGGCAATGGCAGTGTAAAGGAGTAGTCGTTGTCGTAGAGGTAGCAGTCGTGGCTTTGTGGTGGTGGTACTCGTAGTTGTTGCAGTCGTAATCGTGGTCGGTCGTGGTCGTGGTCGTGGTGGCGCTGGTGGCGCTGGTGGTGGTGGTGGTGGTGGCGGTGGCGGTGGCGGTGGCGGTGGCGGTGGTAGTGGTGGTGGTGGCTGTGGCGGTGGTCGTGGAGGTCGTGGTGGTCGTGGTAGTGGTGGCGGTGGCAGCGGCAGCAGGGGCAGTAGCAGCAGCAGTAGTAGTAGAAGAAGCAGAAGCAGATGCGGCAGCAGTGGTCCTATCAGCATGTATCAGCAGTATCAGCAAGGGGCAGCAGGAGCAGCAGCAGTCCCCAGTCAAGCCAAGTGTTCTTGTACTGATAACTCCGCCTACTCCAATGGAGGAGCTGAAAGACGAAAAGGGTGCCGAGCCCAAGAGTCGGGCGCGGTCAAGGACGCGTGTAGTTCTCTGGCTTTGTTCCGTCTGAGATGGTGCAGTATGTGTCCCGCAGAGGGTGCTGCTTTGCATACGAGTGCGGGATAGCTGGCCATCAAAACTGTCATCTACTTCACGAAGCAGGAGACGAAGCCAGCGAAAGAAGGCGCCACTTCCATCGCAAGCTCAGCAAGCTCAGCCACCGCCACAGCCAGGCCTAGGGGGCGGAATGTGTGGCTGGAGCCTCCAGGGCCTAGGGGAGCTGAGCCACTGGGGTGTAGATGCTGCTTGAATCTGAAGCTGGAAAGTTCAGCAGTGTGATGCATTTGACGACAGGTACCGCGAAGCGGAACGTGGCAGGGCCCAGTCCCGCAGCAGAACGTGGCCCTGCTCCTGCAGGTCTCACCAGGGGCAAAGCTCCAAACTTGAAAACCCAAGCCCGTACCTGCATAGTCCAGCCACTTGCGCGTCCGAGAAGCCCATGATCACAGGCCCCATCGGCCCGAAGATCTTAACCCCAGATCAACACCGAAAATCAGTGTGTCAGTGAGCTCACATTCTGCTCCCAGCACTTTGCAGAGACTGAATCCAGCTGTAGACTCAACGGCAAGTTGCGTTATCGTTTTGTCAAGTCGTTTCGAGGTGTGGGATGGTGACGGAAGTACTCACCTTTGTCAACCTTAAGCGCATGGGCATGACTCGCACGCACCCTCGACCGCCACCATCATCAGCAACAGCAGCGACGGCTGCCTGCTCTGCTATCTTCTTCCTCTGATCGTCGTCATCGAATGTGAAGACCATCATCATGCAGCATCATCATTCAGCATCATCCTCTTCCTGCTCCGCCTCCTCCTGCCAAGCACCGAAACTGCAGGCGGGAATGCTGGGAGGCCAGCGTTTCAGCCCCGCCCGGCCGGATCCGTGGCCAACCTGCAGGTGTCTCTTAGGCCTTGCAGTTTGGGGCTTAAGGGCTTCATGCGCTTCGTCGCATTGCGGACTTCGGATTTCGAGACCGTTTCATCTTCGCACGTTGGGGTCGCGTTTGGAGGTCTACAGTGATCATACTAGAGCCCGGACGAGACTCCTTTGACAAGACAGGCGGAACATGCAGACACCCATAAACATGCGCTAGCGCTTCACTAGGGGTGTTGTCGTTCTTTCCATACCTAAGCACCACCTGTGCAGACTAGATTGACTGGATCTCTCCGGGTTGCGAGTTCCCAAACCTGAAAGCCCAACCAACATCTGGACCCGTCTGGGAAACAGTGCCGCCAAAGGTGCCTCGAACGAAGCCCGATTCTGCCCAGGCCGGGTGCATGCTTGACCACAGAGCCATGACTGTAATTTGCGGCTCCCTATAATTGGTAGAAGTGCTGCCTTAAAGTGCGGACATGATATTCTTGCTCAGCGCACCCGCCAAACCTCGTTCTGGTTTTTTGCCTCTAGCAAAGGGAGAACGACTTGTGAGAAACATCACTGAAGCAGCACAATCACAAACGTTGACAGAAAGATCAGCAGCAGCAGATGTAACCATCATCGTTCCCAGTTTTTTCCTGTGGCGTTGGTTGGCTGTGGCTTGAGTGTTTCAATTCGGGAATACTCGGTCAGAAGATACGAAGATTTCGCTCTCATTCTGCTTTTGTTGCGAAAGCCCAGAGCCTGTTTCCGGCCTGCATTCCCACCTGCAGGCGGCCTCCACGACCTCGGCAGCAGCTGCAGCCACCTCGGCCGCCGCTGCCACGCCTTGCAGAGCGTCCGTGGCTGCCGCTGAGCCGGCAGTGGCTAAAGATGAGGCAGCCGTGGCCGCGGCGCCGGAGGTGAAGCAGGCAGCGGCCGGGTGTTGTGAATGTCGGATGGCTAGCACCGTGTTAGGACCTTTTCGAACAATCTCTAGGATGTACGGGTAAAACGTAGCTAAACGGGAGCTGCATGCAAACTGGCAAGTTGTGCGGGGACAGAATCATGCTGTCCTGGGGCAAATTGGACAAGGGTTGTCTTGCATGCGAGCATCTTGTCTGCCGACAGATAATTCGACATTAGAACCCAAGGCATAATGCAGTTGCAGAAGCTACAACCACAACCTAAACTCTACATCATGTAGACGAGAACTGCTGTGAACTTAAGCCACTGAAGCCCAAGGATTCGAGACCGACTTGGCCGATTCATGAATCTTGTCTGCTTAGGGTTTGAGGTTTGAGGTTCATGAGTTTCGGATTTAGGGTTTGAGGGTTTAGGGGCAGGTTTGCCTTACAGTGGCTAACAGGTCCTAAACTTGAGGAAGCGCGGCTTCAAATCATGTGAGTGGTTGTCAAAAGTGGTCCCTCTTTGGGTCCCTATTGTAATACGGCACCTATTATTTAGGGTACCAAATTTTGACAACCTCCCATGTAACATCAGAGCTGGGAGTCGGGGTGAGGTTCCAGGCAGGAAGCGGAGGGGAGAATGGGGATTATGAATGTGGGAGTTTCCGAAAGTCAGGGGTACCTGATCTGGGGGTCCCTAGAATAAGGACACTATTGTTTAGGGTACCATGTTACGGTCCTCTATTTTCGGAAACTCCAATATCCTTCCCTCCGGGTTCAATCAGCGAAATGCAAATTCAGGTGGGTACCGCCCCATCTGCATCTACATCTTCGGGCAAGGCCTGTTGCATGTTCTGACTTGTTGGTGTTCCTTCTTTGCCTCAGGCATGTTATCAGGGTGCCGTCATTATAAAATAATGCGTCTTATCGTGGACAAGGCAACCATAGCTACAGTAACTACAGCAAGAAGGAGTGAACATGCCAGTGCCTGTTGCTTGTTGCCATGAGCTTGTTTTCTTGTTCGTTGCGCACACTTCTTTCCATCCCCTTGTATCGAGCACGAGTAGTTGAATCTCAAGGCTTCACGGTCCGGAACCCATACAGCTAAACCATGCCGACCAAGCCTGCCAACAACTTAGCACACATAAAATCGGCGCAGGCCATTCAGCGAAGCCAGTCGCAGGCACCACAGGCATCCGTGCCGACGCCTGTGGCAGAGGCCTTCCGAAATCAACAGCTTTGGCACCAGGCTCACAAGACGATTTTCCCAGGGATTATATACCTACTGGCACCATCATAGCTATTCTGATTACAAGCTTTTTGGGCTCCTTATGACTATTTCATACAGCTGCTGTTGGCTGTTGTGATTGTCTCCCAGGTCATTCTTGGCCGACTCGCCGCACTCACCGCTTGATTCTGTAGGAAACTGTGCAGCAGTACAAGGGAGCATTACTCAGAACTGTTACCCTAAACCAAAGACAAGAACCTCCCGTGCTTCAGCACCTCAGTGAAGGCCTCCCGTGCAGCTCGTGCTGCCAGCGCCGAGCCGGACCCGAAGCGGCATCAGGCGCCTCACCGGCTTTCGGTGCTGAGCACACAGTGCTTTCATGGCATCTTGCAGTCTGCACGCGCAGCCCCGGCTCAGCAGGTTCAGGATTCTGGACAGTCTCGACGCCCGCAGCGCACGAAGCGCAAAGGTGGGGAAAGAGATCCGTTGAAAATGTGACAGCCTTCTCCGACTGCTCAGGGCTGCAACCCTGGCTTTCCTTGACAGGCCACGTGTGGTCGCCGGTGACGGACGCCTTCGAGGCAGGCTTGGCTTGCCGTGGTATCAGTACATCATCTCAGTACATCGTAGTATACAGTGGGCTATGCGTGCATACATGGCAGCGCCTTGCAGGTCGCACGGGCGAATCTGGCAGAGAACGAAGAAACGAAGGCCAAGGCCTCGACGTCCAAGCCCTCTGCCAAGGCTGCCAAGGCCAGGACTTGGGGCTCTGCCGGAGCTGCACCGTCTAGGAGGATCAAATTACACCACTTCACACCTGCAACATTTTCGATGCATCTGTTCGGCTGGACCGAATCTCTGTCCCTATCTGTGTCTGTCTTTGTACCCATGCGCCACAAAAGCGTTCTGGAGGCACCTGCACCGCAACCCGACCGTCGGAAACCTGGCTGCTATCTCTCTTGCTGTGTGCAGCGGCAGATATCGACCAGTTATGAGTTCAAGGTCTGGCTCAGCAGGAGATTCGTCAACAGCTGCAAGCTCTTGCCGAATCCAAACTGTGACTTCGCTCAACTGAAGTACTGTTGGCTGCTGTCTGCTGTTCTGGGGCCCTGCATGGGAGCTCGCTTGCAGAGAGCTGTGACTGGAGAGTCAGGCTGAACCGATAACGTGACGCACACTTGTGAAAGTTGCAGCGTTTTTTCGTTGTTCCCCTTACGCTGCGAGTTGGCTCGGTTGATAACTCTAGTGCTGCGTGTGAGCAACCTCCGGTTTTGTCACACATGTTTATTCATGCTGTCCTGACCACTGTGTGACCTTGTCTCAGCTTATGCCTCCTTTGTCTATCTGTATGCTCTGCGACGGAATCCCTGCCGTGCGGAACATTTCGTTGAGTATCACTTGCGGAGGGTACCAGATCGGGTGGAGCCAAGGCGAGCGGTGGAGAACGAGGATTTCGAACTGGCTCAACAGCTGAAGCAGCAGGAGCAGGCGAGGCTGTGAATCGGCCCTACGGATAGTGTGGACATGGCGGGGTTTCTTGAGTGGCACCTTACATTTAGGGATGCTGACTTTCAGGATTCTACTGGTCCCATTCAGGGTTCTACAGTGGCGTCCCTTCTGTTGATGCCAGGAGCTGCAGCAGCTTTGTGGGCCCACGAAGTCCTGGGCTTCCATCGCCACGCCAGCAGTGCCACCAACCCGAAGCGTGAAGCCAGGCGTCTTGGTGATGACCTCTGCGGACAAAGAGTCTGCATACTACTACCTGCCAACTCGTGCTGCTTGTGAGGCATGGGAATTCCTCCGAATGCGAATCGAAGCCTCTCGCCAGCGCGGACGGCTGCGCACAAGACCGGGAAGCTGGTTTTTGTGCTGACAGCGCCAGGCATCAGAAGACTCCCTGCATCAAGCAACAGGTTGTCTGAAGATGCAGATAACTCATGCATGATTCGTTCATGTGGCTGCTATGTCCAACCCGTACTGTTGGCATGAAAACCGGCCACATCAGTTTGATTGATAGTTGTTCGTGCGCCTGCAGGGGAGCTCACTGTCGAGTCCTTCAAAGCAACCTCAACCCACGTGTCGCGACGAGATGCCTTGGTGAGGGACACAGTTTCACACTGTTGGCATGGGCCATAAAATCCCTTTGGGATGGTGCGAAGATGTCTCCGTGAGTTCAGGCGCGCATTGCCACGGCAGCCTTGTGGAGAGGTCGATCTCTTTCCTGGGACGATGTTCATGAGATTGTGCTGCTCGGCCCTGTTTTTGCTGTTCTGTCCGACCGACGGATGCCTCGAAGAGAAAGCCCTAGGTTCATCTTCGAGGATTACCACGCGCTTCACATAACACCGCGATTTGTGGCGAGCTGCCCAGTGCCTTCAGAGCCTTGGAGCATGATGTCAATATTGAGAGTTAGAGTACAAGTTGCTGGAATGAAGTCGCCAAGGAGTACCATCTGATAATGGTTCTGGCACGAGCACTGGAGGGAACTGGAATGCCAGGCTCGAGCTGTGAAGAGCCAGCGCCAGAGTTTCCGCGTCAGAGTCGATACGGGGCGAGCTCCAAGGACTTGAGATTACGGCGCCGGATAAGGAAAGATTCCTTGGAGGTCACATCGAAGATATGGTGCCAGACCCAGCTCTGCCGACTTTCAATCAAGGGTGGGGAGAGCTGCCAGAGCTGTGCTGTGCTGCATCCAATGTCATTCTCTTGGCTCCTTTTTTCGCTGGTACAGGGTTTCGCTGTATGCTCCACGTTCCAGACGCGTATTCGAGAATGGTAGTTGAGGTGGCAGTGCAGTTCTAGCACTTGCCATGCCAAGAGTAGGCGAGGCGACTTCTGAGCAGGAAGGGTAATGTACATCTTTGCACAACCGTCTGACAAAGACCAGGTTTCCAAGTATGGCCGATCTGGACCGTCCGCGGTAGTCTTGCTGCACGAGGCCGTGGATGGTGAGACTTTGTTGGTGTGTCACATGGGTGATCGATGCAGCAGCCTTGTGCCTTGTGCTCAGACTTTCCCACAAAGTCTGGGCCTCTACGACCGAAGTGCAGGCAGGCTGAGTTCTGTAGCCCACCACCTTGCAAGTCTGGTGTATTCTAAGTCTCGCTCTGGAGGATCTCGGGGCGACTCCCTGAGAAATCTGGTCTTCTTCCTGGGAGCGGTGAAGGACATGACGCCCGAAGAGAGGGGTGCTCCGGCTTCCACTGAGATCGAAATCTTTACAAGAGAGAAACGATAAGGATAAGCCGGATAAGCCTTCAGGCCCTCTCTCAGTTGGCAAGACTTCGATGCTCGGCTTCCACAGGTGCTGTGCATCGAGCCTGCCGCCATCACTCAGTTCCCTGCGTGGAGGCTTTCCTGGCAGAGGGCTGAGGGATGCTGTCTGCACAGCTTCAGTGCGTTGGCGAATCCGCAGGCAAACCTCGGCCAACAGGCTGAGTTCACCTCGTAACTTGGACCCATAAAAAGTCAAGCTTGCATTGTACGGCTTGACTTCGGGCACTTCCTTGGTATCGTAGTTCTGGCTGTATGTACTGCCTGACTGTAAGGAAGATCATCGATGTACTGCACGGGCACCATTTGTGCCCTGGCAGCGTCTTGCAGCTGCATGTTTCGAGTAGGCCCAAGCCCCAAGCGCACCGGTGTTGATGTCGTCTCCAGGTACGGCCGCCTGGCCCCAGCCGTGTGGCGATGCACGCGTCGTCCACAGAAGGCGGAGCAGCAGGCGAGCAAGACGTTGCAGGATGTTTTCTGATCGCAGTGCTGCCGCCAATTTCTGCGGTGTCCAGGCAGAGGCAACTCGTCCGGCTCCACCAAGTGGGCTGCTCTGGGTTTTCGTCCCGCAGCTCGTCAGGAATGGCATAGGACATGTCGGTTTGGATGACCAAGTGCTGCAAGGATGGGCGGATCGCCTCGTGATCCTGTGGCTGATGACAAGTCCCCTGGCAAAGCCAATGCCTCGAGAGCACTGGGCCTTAACTCGGCAGCTTCCAAGGAAGAGGGACGGGCAGTACGAGATTCCGCGCTGCTGCATCTCCCAGCTCTGGTGCTCGAAAAGATGCTCGGCTAAGACATACGTCTACGTGCATTCACAAGCTGCCACACAGCCAGCGCACGAGAAACAACATAAGTAACATGTTTTCGGTCAGCAAAAGCCGTCACTGTGCCCTTGGTCGAGTGTGCAAGTAGAAAGTGCAAGATGAGCAGAGAAGGCAGTGCACTGGTTGCTTGCTGCAATGCGCAATAGCAAGCCGAATCACAATGTAAAGGCTCTCAATCGTCGCCCCGTGCCGTCAAGGTGAGCATCGAAGCCATGCCTTGTCCTTCGTCTACCCGAACGGAGAGGCGCCTTGAACACAGCTCACTTTTGACATTTTGCAATGTCTCTCGGCCAGGTGTTGACGGTGAACCCGTCCTTGGTGACGTGCCTCAAACTGCAGCACCGTGCAGCGCCGACAGAGCGGAATCTGGTGAATGCCCTCCGTGTCGCCACAGGCGACTGGAAGGCAGGAAAGACCCATCCGGTTCCAGCATACGGCGGATGTTAGGATGCGGGACGAAGGCGTTTGTTGGTTATGTGCCGCTTGCATTCACGGTGCCTCTCGTTAGGCTGCTTTCATAGTTATCCTAAGTTCCAACATTGAGATATTGTGTTGGTCTCTGCCCTTGTAATTACTCGACACGCGGTTGAAAGCTGCATCATCACAGGGACATAGTTTAGCAATGTTTTACGTTGGCTGCTGCAGTAAAGGTTGTAGCCCAAGTGACTTTTGTTTGGCTTCGAATTTGGGGGTGTGAGCTTCGGATTTTTCTGGTTTCGGGGTGTCGGGAGTGTGGGTTTTTGGAGATCTGCGATTTAGGGATTTAGGGCCATTTAGGGCTTGAGGCTGCAGGATTCAGGGTTTAGGGTTTTGGGTTCAGGGCACATGGACGCTGTCCGTGGGATTTACAATGTCTTGTTATGGATGTTCTTGAATCAATTTGGGTTGTGGAAGAGGTTTACAAGGGATGTGGTAATTGCTTTCTGACCCTGCTACTGTCATGCTGCTTTGCACGCACTAGCTAACGTCTTGTCTGAGTCCGAGCATGCCCTTGTAGTGGCTTGGTACCTCGTCATCTTGTCTTCGCCTCCCTCAGTACTACAATGCACCCTTCTAGTCATGCTGATGCGCTCTTTCCCTCGATTTCGGTCGTGTCAATAGTCTCCACAGGCCGATCCGAACTTGACGGTGGATGAGGGTTGTGTTGTCCTCGGCAAAGCCTCGGACATAATGGCGCAGCGAGGCGGGGATTTTTCGCATCTTGAGGTGTAGAGATCTGAAGAGGGTACAAGCTACAAGCCTTCATCAGTTCATTATGACGATGCGAATCCTTCAGTAGCGAAGTGGTCTTTGGGGGTATGGCTGCCATGTATCTTCCAACCGGTATGAAGATGAGGAGGATTGAACAGCTCGAAGCTGGTAGATATGTGATGAGCATAGCACGTAGGATGGCCGCAGTACTGTGCTGAACAATTCGTAAGCCAAGCATCCTAAGCACTAAAACATCGAAACCAACATGTAACCCCAGAAACCCCACACCCCGCTCACTTCCCCACCCCGCAAGACCAAGGCTTCAGCAAAAAGGCCTATGAAGCCTGACCATCCCTGAACCCGGTGATTTAGGGTTTAGGGTTTAGGGGATCTAGGGGGTTCAGGGTTTAAGGTTCAGGGGATTTAGGGTTTAGGGTTTAGGGGATTTAGGGGGTTCAGGCCTGAACCCTAAAGTCCCAAAAGCTTTAGTATGGAACCCTCGAATCTGGGAGGAGGAGGCGCTCTCCTGCCGCAGCGCACAGCACTGGTGGATTTGGAGCTCGACGGGAGCCCTGCTGCCGCTGCCCAGGGCCAAGGCCTCAGAGCTTCGATGTGTGCCTTTTCCTGCAAAGTGTGCGGTTTCCTGTTTCAGTGGCCTTCAAGGGTTACTACAAAGGTTGCTTTCGGGTTCGTATGACCCTACAGGGGTGTCGCTGCAAGGAAATATGGAATGTCGGCGCCCAGTTAGCTTCGATCTGGAGCTTTGAGGTCTCAAAGGCTGCAGTTCCCCGAATAGTTTTTGGATTTGAACGGCGACGCAGAGGTTTAGCTTGATGGGTGGATTCACTTTTGTGCTCCTCTGTCTCAACTACTAACTACTCGACCTTTTCAGTCTGTTGTGCCCTCTTTCAGTCTCCCCCTCTGCCTCTGCTTAGGCTCGCTCTCTCGCTCGCTCTCTACTCAGGGTTTTGTAAAGAGCCAGCGACTGTGAATTGAAAACAGATGAGGCTGTTGCTGCACGGCTCCTTGAGTAGCTCCAGCTGAAACCTTTATGGTTGTTGACGTTCCGTTCTGGTTTTAGAGCAGTTAGAGCTCGTTTTTCTGCGGGTTGTCCACCTGCTTGCTGTTTGCAACCATGCTGTTGCTGGAATTCAGCATGTGCTGAGTACCTGAGTTGATGAAGGGGCAGAGGTAGCAGCGCTTGGACATGTCCTAGCCTCCCCAAGGCAATGCCACGCTTGGCATGACAAGGGTCTTGCATCGACGCTTGAATCGAGGTCCCGGCCGATTGGACGTGTATGCGTCAGTCGAGCAGGAGACGCAAAAGCCTGTGCGAGACGTGGCGCCTGGGACTGCCAAGCCTGATACTTATAGAATTATCTTAGGTATACATCTCGCGCATGATTGAAGACATGTTCTGAATGATAAATCTTTCTATTTCTCTCTCTCGAGCTCTCTCTCCCCTCGCACTACCTTGTTTGCATGAGCACTTTCTTTTCGGTCTACATAATGCATCCAGATAGTTCGGTACATCGCGAGGTGAAATGGAGAACCCCTGTCACAGATCATAGTAAGTATGAAGCGATGTTGTCACATACGAGCAGACTAGGGACAATGCTCCGCACCGGATTTCCGAGTTTGGGTGTTCAGGGGTTTTTTGTAGGAACATAAAGGTATCTCGGAAGCATGCAGCCTTTAGCCGCCTGAAGGTCGTGCTGCTTCATGGCGAGCGCGACTTTCCCCGCGGCTTCCGCGAGTCACTGGCCCAAGGCTGCATGAAGACCCGTTTGGACTCCTGTTGCAAGACTACATGCCAAGATCCTGTTGGAATTTGATCGCCAAACTGGAACGGCTCTGGGTAAACCCGAAGCACCGGGCCGTGAGCCCTCCGACGAGCTTTTCAAAGCAGACGAGCGTGCAGGTCTCCTGAGCTTCAAGAGCTTTTCGACGTCGCCCTGGCAGCGCCTTTTGATGCCACGTCCGTGCCTGAAACTGCCTTGAAAGTACCCGAAGCCGCGAGAGGGGTCGGCTCTGCACGAGGTCTGAGCATCCATGCTGCCATTTCCCTTTTGGGACATTACTGGGACACTCGAGCCTTGGCAAGATTTGGCAAGCCTTGGGAGTTACCTTGTCCAAGCCTTGCTCAAAGAGGAGAGTGGTAGGCGTTTGTCTAGAGGGAGCTGGCTGCAATGCTGCGACCCGCCCCGCTCTCGCCAAGGAGTGTTGTCCTTGTCAGTGTCTTCGACTTCCGTCGCAGGCTGGGGTCAATGGTAGGGTCTGACATCTATTTGCTAGAGCCCGCGTGGAGCTGTGATAGAGACTTCCTCCTGCCCTGCCAGCCAGGTTGCGAGCGGTCTCCGGGCCCCCACAAGGTTGCCCGGCATGAAGCTTTGGGCCACAGGGCTACGTGATAATAGGGGTACTAGTAGGATTACCAACGCATGATTACAATGGGGCCGTAGGCTGTAAGGCTTACTTCAAGGTTCTTGGTTTTGATTCAAACGAAGTCGAGACCGCGTCACCGACATGTCGAGCGTGGAAGGAGGCATCCAAGCCGGTTGCAACACCGAAGATCCTCCAGAGGAAGGCACGCGGTGGACTCGGTTGTCCGTTTGTCGTGCTACAAGTACTGGAATCTACGTACAGTATACTGCATTGTACTAGACGGCACAAGATATAGCTTGATCCAGTGTATCATTGTGTGCCATGGTATGTCACGTCACAGTGTGGTATGCTACAACATCAAGTTTACTATGCTAACCTGCGGCACTCCATCTCGCGCAGTGCTTTCTGCCCGGTTATAGTCGTAGCCTCTTGGAGTACATGCAAGCAGAGTATCGCAGCACATCAACGTGTCATCTCTTGTTCATTGAATTATTCGAGAGCATGTAGTCAACGTGTCATCTCTTGTTCATTGAATTAACTATTCGAGAGCATGTAGTCAACGTGTCATCTCTTGTCCATTGAATTATTCGAGAGTATGTAGTAGTCTCACCTCGGTCTATAAGCCTTGCTTCATTCTTAGGCGAGTTTTTTTTGCGGCAGGAGTGTGCTGTCATGGTTGATCTTGATAGGCTACACTGTGTTGCAGTGGATGTTCGTGTGGAAGCTTCGTTCTTCAGGACACTAGGCTCGTCTGCTTCCGTCTCAGGAGGAAGTCGTTCTGCACAGTACTTGTCTTTTGTCCTTTTGAATTGTTTTATCGGGCCCGAAGGCGGCGGATACATCTCCAGTTCGGTCTCCGGGCCATGAGCTCAGTGCCCGAAAGGTGGAAGCGTGGGGAGTCGGCTCGAAAGCAAGCCGATCTCCGTCAGGAGAGTGGGGTTGCTAAGGAAATCTGTGTATAACAAGGCACAGCAGGGACGACTGATCTTGCAGTTGCAGACATTCTCGGAGAGCAAGCGCGCCGAGCGCGCCGAGGCAACGCTGCTCGGGTTGCCTGGGAGGAGCTGATCAGCAGTGAAGAGGAGGATGGCGACGGTGAGCCGTGGTCCAGTGCGTCGAAAAGAGAGCCTGCTTGGAGTCTACGAGATGTGTGAAGAAGCTGCTTGTAGCAGGGACTCCTGCAGATGTGCACCAGACGTAAAGCATGGTGTGCTGCCTGCCTCTTCTCAGATTTCGCACAGTAGTCATATGGATCACATGTTCATCCACGTGTGCAGGGAGCTTGCTTGCATAGACGTGCAGCCAGCATGGTGCTGCCAGATGACATCCGCATGTTGGCAGACTCCGAGCCCTCACGAGCTGCTTTGTACTCCGTTCTGCTCTCGTAATTGGGAAGCACGCGAGCCAGCGACAGCATCGCTTCTCTAGTGCGGTTCTTAGTGACAGCGACTGCGGCGCACACTGGCCCGAACTCCGAACCCTTCACGGCTGGTGCATCGAGTTTAATCTCGATCGTTCAGTTCGCAGTTCGCAGTTGCGTTGCAATCGCGCTTTCGCCCAGGATATGTATGGTCTTCGCCTCATCAACAACTTCTACGCGGACAGACAATGAACGCTTGAACGTGTTGTGCAGTACCTGATTGATCTTTCTCTGCCGAGTTGCCAAGTTGATAGGTGCTAACCAGGTAGTGCTTCGCTTGAGGTAAGCATGCTTCCACCAGGTGAATGTGTGGGCACTAGATCTGGAAAAGTCAATAGAAGAACCCTATCTGTGATGCCTACGGCCAGAAGTAGCTCTTGGAAAGTTCGTTGAATAAGAGTAAGATCTGTGTTCGGCGAATCCAAGCGGAGATCAGAGAGTTGCCTACATGTTTTTGCTCTTGGCCCAGCTGAAACACGGGATGCAGTCCGAGTCCCACGAGAGGTCGAATGCCTCTTACGGACCCCAAGCACTCTGGTAGACAGGACTTCGCAGGCACCCGCTCCGACTTCGTCATTGTCGGGCACCCCGAGTACAACCTCGGAAAGGCACTTAGGAGACTTAGGGTTGCATCCGTGCTGGAGTTCTGGAGGGGCAAACTTTTTCGCTACAAAGAAGCACAGTTTTCTGGAGAAGAGCTCGTCTTTGATTCAGCTGGCGGCAGGCGTGCCAGGTAGCATGCTGCTTCAAAACCACCCATGCAGTCGCTGAATCCGAATCGATCGCAGGCCCAGTCCGATTATGGCTACAAGGCGCCGAGCGCTCGAGAGCACGTGACGGTTGGGGCGATCGCGCCATGCCAGGAAGGATGGGACAATCGGCCAATTCCGTCGAAGCCTGGGAGGCCTCCAAGCGGGGATCGCAAAGGAAACACGCGGTGCCGCGGTGGTGCATTGACTGGGAAGCTTGCAGGAGCTTGCCTGGCGACAGAATCCAGCGAAAGGGCAAAGCCATCACCCCGGTGCTAGGACCTGCGCCGATCCTCTCGTTGTCATGGCAACACACAAAGTCACGAGGGCTTTGACAAATCAGGGTTGCAGAAAGCGCATGCGTTGTAGTCCTTCTTTATTGAGCAATTTCCAATCATTCCCGTGGATGCTGGGGCGGTGGTGGGTGGCTGGGTTGGTGGTGAGGGTGGGGTGTGGGCGGCGGTGGATGGGTGGGCTTGTGGCATCGCCTTGGCTATGTCGGCTGTGTGAGTTTGGAGCAGTCAAAGTAGCGCCAGCAGTCACTTCTATGCGCGAAGTCCATGCAACACGTGCCAAGTGTTCTCAGAAACTTGTGACTTCTCCGCGAGATGTTTGCAGCAGAGTGTGTGCAAGAGTGCAATAGCTGGCAGCTGCCATTCTTGGCATGGGGACCCTGAATGGCCTTGTGCTTCTTCCAAGGCAGCTTACCTGGAAGCCTTGGCGAAGCCGGCTTGCAAGGCATCTTACAAGGACGCGCCAACGCTGCACTCCAAGCCGGCTAAGATGAGGTGCAAGGAAAGCTTGGAGAAGACTGAGCCTTTAGGGATCCCTAACTTCCGGCATCGAGCCATGAAGCCCTATTTCAGTCAGGACCCGTTTAGTTACCAAACCCACGATGATCAGGAGCGGGCGCTGGCCAAAAGCCAGTCCGACACGCAGGCCAGGCCTTCGGATAGATGAAAAGCCACACCCTAGTGGCTGGCACGCTGGATTCAGAGAAGGTGAGGACCCCAGGTGGGCCCCCTCTCCACGTGCCAGGGCGACAGTGCCACGGTCAAACATACAACCGACAACCCGACAGCATGCAAGCACCCGTCCCGGCAATTCAATGAACAAGCTGCTTTGCTCGCTCGGCACTGGCCCACCATTCAACCAAGTGGAGTCTAGTCGGCGCCTGCAGTCGCCGGGCCAGCCTTGCGTTAGCCCTCGGCACTACCCCACTTCTGTTACTTCTGTTCGTGTGTTCGGCGTGTGAGTGAACATACCATCGGAGCGGTTGTCCTACATCGAATGTGCGTGCTCGAGTTTCTGGCTTTCCCTGTATGAAAACATGCTGCCGCCCAGCGACTCTTATCTGCCCTAGCTGCCCTAGCTGGTCGCTCGTTACAACTTTGCGGGTGAAGGAAGGCCGATGACGAATACAGACCCTGCCGGGGAAGTTGAGAGGAACGTGGGAGGCATGTCGCACATCCACGCACACACCGACACCCACACTCACCCACCCAGTTCCCAGCAAGCTTGAGAAGTGTCTGAAGTAAGATGATCTTATCCCAGAGTCCAGGGACAAATCGCTTGCAGCTCCGAGCATGAGGTGAGAGCTCGGGCCGGCGGGGGAAGAGATGCAGGCCAGGCGCTCCGACCGTGCGTTCTGCACGCGAGTCGAACTGGCATAGAAGTACCCGAAGAGCTGAATTACAGCCGCGAAACGTGGGTGATCTTGGCAGGAGTGAGCGCTCGAGAAGTTTGAACTCGATTTAGCGCGCGGTAAGACAGGATTCTGCCCTGGCGCATGCAGGTAGCACCATTGACACGTTCTTGGAGGAGCTTGTTAATTCTGGCTTCAAACGGTACCGCAGAGCCTGCTGAACCGTAGCATCCAGCCGCAGGGTATCACAGGTGCCTGCAATGCCAAGGTGATGTTGTGATGAACATGTCAGAGTTTGTGCGTTTGAGTGCGCTTGACGAAACAGCGTATCGATGAGCGACTCTGCTTTTGGTACTTCTGCGTGGTGAGCAAGCTGTTCGATCCTGTTGGATGAAAAAACGAGCTGCCGTGACCCGCCGTAGTACCCCTGGCCCTTCTAATAACCCCTTGTAGTGTTCCCCCTTCGTAGTAAACCCTGAATCAGTTGATGCCCTCAGCAGGAGCTGCAGGCCATGGAGAAGTTGCCGCCGTGTTCCCCGAATCTCGCACGCAACAGCGCAGCGCCTCTTTTTTTGTTGTTTGCTCTACGGCGCAGTCCAAGGAGTTGAGGCAGGCTCGGTAAATTCGTTCGCTTAGCTAGGCGTCCACAGCCGCAGAGTTTGTTCAGACTTCAGGGTCATTGAAGATTCCAGTGTGCGCAGGCGAGGTGAGCGAAGCTGCACCCAAATCGTCGCGTCGTTCGATCGGCTTGCGATGGCAAGGAATCGGCTGACCTCGGGGTGGGCAAACGACATCAGATCTCAACCAGAAGCTCGGCCAGAAAGTCCAGCGGCAAGTTGTCAAGCGGAACAAGTTCTCTCATCGCATGCACCCTAAGTTTGCATAAACTTGGCAGTCCTCCGTTGTGTCGCAAGTGGCCAGCTGCCAACTTAAGCATTGAGGCACGGACGTTTCCTTGCACTGAGGTCATGAAGCATTACTCTGCGGTTCAGGTGCCGATGCCGAGTGATTTTGAGCCTCTGTAGTGCTACGAGCGCAAGAGAAGGAGATCACCTAATCGTGCGACCGACCGAAACCCTCAATCTTGCAGCTCCCATGCAAGATCATGAAAGCTTGGCAGGAAGACCTCGAAGTTCTTCGCAGGCGACTACATCGCACTCCCAGTGCGGTGAAGGTGCCACACCATGCCGCATGCGTCTCGCTTGAGTCGACTAGGGCCTGTATGTGCATTGATGGGCTGGGACATATCGATTAAACCACACTCTGCCACATACCTCTGCTTGCAAGTGCACTTTGGAGCTGGACCGCTGTGAAGGCAGAGCTGCAGCAGGATGATGCTTGGCGCCGCTCTCCCGAGATCTGCAGATGCGGTGCACCGACTTCGACATGTCTCCATCAGTGCTCCGGTGCACGCAGGTTATTATGACCTCTACTTTCAGCAGGCCAAGAAGAACGGAGAACAAATCAGGCAGCACCCTTACAACGAAGCAAAGGCAGCTCCCAGTTTGCGCAAACTGCAGGCAGACCAAGCTGAAGGCTAACAAGATGATGGAGAAGGCCGAGGGAGCAAACATTGCTTGCATTTATGGGCGCCTTTAGTCATTGCAATACATACTGGCAACGGCCAGATTTGCACAGCGAGGAATTGACAGGCAATAGCACGAGAATGCTGTTGCAAGAGAAGTGATGAAGAGATGGCTTCATGGGTCCTGGATTGCGGTTGTTTCAAGGTCTGTCAGGTGGAATCGGTCGGGCTAAGCAGTGCTGCAGCCGCGATGGCGAGGCCATGCGCGGGACGGATTGACCAAAGGTGTCACGGCAGACGATGTGAGTCGATGTGACTCGACTGCTTCTCACTCTGAATCTGAAGCTCATCCCGAAGCCACTCTAGTATAGGAAAGCTGCGTGCATCACGTCAGCGATGGCAGGGCATGGGCTGCCGTAGTTCCGCCAGTTTCAATCCAAATGTTGTTTCCTGGCGAGCAAAGCTTTAGGCAAGAAGGTTGTCTCTCGTGAAGACTGGCAGAAGAAATGGCTGTCGAGATCTGACTTATCAGCGGTTTCCGGCAGCGAGTCGTTCTCGGACTTCTCTGAGTCTGAGTCTATCAGATCACTACACTACACTATTACACCACAGAAACGCTGCCACTACTGCTAAAGAGATTTTCCATGTTTGGCCGGACATGTCAAAACAGTTATTGCGCATCGATTGGAAATGCCGAGTCACAAACCATGCCACCGGCCCGGAAACAACGTCACACTCTAGGACCCCATAGTTCAGCGCCCTCTGAAGGAGGCAGCCGATAGCTACAAGGCACCTCGTCTGGACGAGGTGGAAAAAAAGGCCGCAGCCTGGAGGTCCCGTGGTGCCGTTTCGGTGAAGCGACGAGCAAGCTGCCCATGCCGATAGCTGTGCCCGCCTCTCCAGTCTCAAGCGCCGGAAGGTATCGGTAGTGTATTGACGCAAGTAAAGAGGGAAGAGAACCTGGACCAGCACTCGATCAGCAAATATCCGGCCAGCTTTGTGCAGCTTGGTAGAACTACCCAGGAGTTGATGGCCCAGCAAAACATGTCTTGCGGGAGGTTTCTGAAGTCTAAATTCCGTGATGCCGCTGCCCGGCCCAGCAGGTCCTGGATCTAGGCAGCGGGGTTTCACGCACTGCTACTCGTGACATCTCGTGACAGTTTGCTTCTTCAGGGGCTGGTGCACGCCCTTTGCTGCGACTGTGGTGGGTTCCAGGCCACGTCGTGACTCTTGCTGGCTTCGCACTTCAGCCACGATGTTCTCACTTGGTTCAGGCTTGGTTTGCTGCTGCGCAGACCGGTGCCAGAGGCGCCGTCGTTGGGATGCTGCTTCGCATGTCAAGACTGGCCTGCGTTGCTTCTGAGATTCTGCGAGGCGGCATAACCAGTTCGGACGGAGCCGTGCCCTTCGTGGCCACGCGTGGCTACACCATCAGATCCCTTGTGTAACCCCATAGGCAAACATCCCTCGTCCCCTCCCAGGTCACGAGCTGTAGAATGAAAATAGAAGTGCTGCCAAAGCTCTCGGGGCGGTCATATGCTTGCACGTAGGATCTGAGCCTTAGGGCGTAGCTGTCCAGCGCTCGCTCGCTGGTTTGGTTGCTAGCCTTGCGTCGTCCTGTATGTGCAACTCCAGATGCACCTTGACGAGCTACCTGTCGCACCTGGCTGTGTCTCTGCTCCAAGGGACACCGCACACCTGCTGCAAAGGATCCAAGAGTGCAGGGAGGTAGTTTGCTTCGAGATGCCCTTTCTGGATGTCCGTGGACCGGTAGCATCAAGCATAAGAAGGCATAAGGGTGTCTGTACGTGAATCGATCACCGAGTGTGTGATCACGTTAAGATCCCATGCTAGCAACCAAAACTGATGATCCTTCCCGGCCTTCGGCAGCTCCTATGACTAATGTTTTTGATTTCGAGTCTTCGTGGCAACAGCAGTCCCGCTGTTTTGCTGCAGACTCAAACCGCTTGTGCACTTGTTGCATTCTGATTTCAGATTGGTGCATTACTACCTGGTTAAATCGTCAGTTTTGAAAGTCAAAACCCTCAAAAACCCACTTGGTTAATCGGCAGAAGTTTTCTGTGAATAGTAATTTCGCCTACTTTGATAGCTTAGCTGCAGGTGGTTGCTCCCATGCAAGTGAGCCCCCGGCACAGCAGGATGGGAACCTGTGCTAGGAAGCCAGTGTGCAGAGTGAGTTCGATATCCTCCGCAGCATGCAGCATCCGCTGCTTGTAGAGAGAGTGGCCATTGCAGCTGCTGTTACAGCGCAACTGATAGTTCTCAGAAAAGTTTCAAGCACTCGAGAGAAATGACGCCTTTTTGTGGCTGAAAATCATTTTCCCAATCCTTTCTCGGCAGAGGAGGGTCTAAAGCGGCATGTGGCTTTCCACTGGCCACGAAAATCTTAGCCAGTTGACCTGTGGAAGGCATGCAAGTGGTGGCACCCCTGCAGTGGCGTTTTTCACTTCACCGCAATCTAGGCCCTGGGGGTGTTGTATCAAAAGTGTGTGTGCTTCCACCGTGTCCTATGGATGCTTGTGGCCTCAGAGAATGTAGCTCGTGGGTCGGCGAAGATGGACATAATCGGCTTGTGAGTGCGCGAAGTGTGTGAGCTTGAGGCTGAAAGGCTGCACTTCAGTGTCCTCACGGCTATGTTTGTCTGGGACTTGCGCAAAGGTGCGCTTCAAGGGAACGAGGATGCGGACCGCAAGTGTGGCTTCTTAGAGGTCCTGAAAGAATGTGAGGAAGGAGAAGACTAGAAGACCAGGACCAGGCAGTCTGACCTGGCCGGTCCCGGTCTTCGTTTCGACTTGAATTTGATTCTCTTCCCAGTGCCTCTGCAGCTTGCAAGACGAGGTTGAGCTGCGCACAACCGGTGCATCTGGCATGGTCCTTGCGCGAGGCACTGACGCAAGCCCAGTGGGTCATTCCACGCCATTCCCTTCTTACCTTCTTGCGCTCCAGCCTGGCTGCCAGTGCCAGAGATGACCCGTGTGGAGTCACGCAGAGGCCCTGAGAAAATCATGGACGATGGAGATTTGAAGCAGCGGCTGTTCGGCGACTTGCACGTTCCACCCAAGAGGAGGCCACATAGCTGGGCTCAGCCAGGACTTGTTGTTTCTCGAATGCTCTTGAACTTCCTCTAGCCTTCAGCAAGATAAGACCAACAAGCCACCAGCACTCCTTGTGCAATTCCTTTGGCTAAGTTTCGGACGGAGCTGATGGCTCCTTCGGTAAGAGGCAGAGGGACATCAGCAGTTTGAGGCATCAGTGGCCGTGTTCACTCCCTGTGTTGCCTACGAGCAGCTTGCTGGACGCTTGGGTATGGGCTGAGCTCCGCGTACCTTCTTGATCAGATAGAGCTGGCGAAGCATGCTCGCCAGAAGTACAGACATCTTCGCGGGCTTTACGGGATTCCAACATGCTTCCAGACATGTGCATGCAGGACCAGCGTACTACGGTGGGAGTTTACCCACAAGGCACACTATAGGAACGGCAAGCTTCTTTGCCGCCATATCCCAGTTTGAGTGCGGTGGATGTGCTGATCCGACGCAGTTTCCGTGTGCACGGCAGTCTGTGCTCAGCCGTCCATGTGACAACTTCCCGACATGTTCCTCCATACCTTTTCGTGAGATGAAACTTCGGCCAACAGTACCGCGAACTGCTCTCGTCTCTGCCCCCTGACCTTGTGCCTGAAGAGAGCCGCGTCACCGATTCTTGCCACTCGCCCATCGAGATCCTTGCGTTTACAGCAAGGCTTGAGCTCGACAAGACGATTTCGCAGATAGTGTGGGGAGGTTCTGGAATCCCACATCTACAAATTTCCCGCCGGCTGTTGCCACATCTGGAGAAATCGGAGAATTCCCTGCAGCGGAGCCTGGCCTGGAGATCTTTCTCACTGTCGGCTTTGTCTTTGCCTGACTCGCATAGCGGCTCCTTAGATACTCGTTACGATGTCTGCGCCAAGGGTCAGCAAAGCTGTGCAGGAGTCTCGTTGACCATGTAATCAATGTCTGGGCCGAGCATGCTTGCTCGTGTCACCTATCCAGCAAGAGATGCCGGTCTCGGATTGGACGAGTTGCAAGCTGAAGCAGCTCAAACATGCTCACGCTCCATTGGAAGCGTCTTGAAGGCTGCACAAGCTTGGTTGGGGCATGCTTTCAGGGACTGCACTTTGGACGCAGCACGGCGAGCAGGTGCTATTGAGCTGAATTTCGTTGTGCCCGTCTTGCAATGAGGCGGCATAAGGGATCTCTGTTGCAGCAGGACCCTCCACGCGAGTAGCATTCTCATCTTCATGTGGAGGGCCAGTCGCCAGAGCGGTGTGACTTAGTAGCTTCAAAAACACAAGTGAATCTGAGATCGGTTAATCCAAAAAAGTTGTCCCTTTGCCAAAAAAGATAGCAGGTGGCGTCTAAAGCGAATCACTGGGCTATCTTCTCGATGGGAGAAGCCCCGGCGCATGCTCGCCCGACCCCTCCCCGTGCGGATGAACTCCCCCCGCTAAGCTTCGATAGTTTGACCATCTCCTTCCCCTATGCTAAGGCCAGGGCGGCCTGAAATGTGACCTGCATCTGCACAGCAGTCCCAAAGTAAGTGGCCATGTGATCTGGGTCCCGCTTTGGGCGAGTGAGGTTACTTGCTCAGCCCATCTCTCCAACACACGCTTCTAGCCGTGCAGACGAAGCTGTGCAGCTTGCTTGATATGGGCGAGATGAATCTACCCCCAAAGAAATCCTCGCAGCAGTTAGTGCAGAAGATCGGATCCAGCATCCGCTGTGCTTTACACGAGGTCCAAGAACGCTCTATGATCTTCGTGCATCCCGCACCGTCAGCCACTCATCAGGTTAGTTTCTCCAGACCCGGAGATGGAAAAGTACCATGATTCGGACACAGGATCGTTTTGCAGCCATTCCCAAAGTCTTCTCGTCGCTTTGAGTTGTTTAAGGAGATGTTTATGAATAAAGGTTTGCGTCTTACTAACAGAACAGGTTGGGCTGCCTCTTGAGCACCTCGGTCTGCAGCTCTTCCCGTGTGCCCTTTGCTCTGTGCTGAGCTCTTGCCGCTCACACTTGGTGGCCGAGCCGGCGTTGTCGTGATGCTTCGCTGAGTGCTCGTCGAGCACTCCAAAGGCCTTTCAATTGGGTTTGCAACTGAGAAGTGTCCCTGCAGCATTGCATCTTGTCAGACGCGTCAGGAGCAAGCACGAACGGCTGGAAGCGCTTCTGCGTCAGTCTTTCCGAGTGACGCCTGTGCGTAGACGCCGGTACATCTTCGAGCGCAGGGTCACGCGAAAGTGTGTCAGGTCCACGCAGCGGTTCAGTGCAGATCTGTGGCATGGAGAGACTCTGCAGTGCAACCCGTTTTATCAGACTTCGCCTCGCAGACATGCAGTCAAGCAAGATAGTCCCAGCGCTTGGCTTTGCATTGCAAGAACTTTAGGTGCCGGCAGGTGTGAGGTTCGAAGTCCTCATCCCTGGTCTTCCCTGCACCCTTGCAGCGCAGATGCTGACAAGTGGCAGTGCAACCCTCGGCGGTTTCGACTGCCGTCAAGCCTGACTAGACGGTCTCACTGTCCCTTCATCCTGTGCAAGGATTGCAAGGAAAGGGATGCTTGTTGTTGCAGCCCGCGCACGGTGGCTTCGATGCATCTTATGATTGCTCGCAGGCAGAACATCCGCCGCCCTTCCATCAGCTGAAAGACTGTCCTAGCACGCATTGGCTGTGATGTCGGATACCCAGTAGTTAAGCTTCCGTCGTCGCCACGGAGACTCACGGCGCCTCGAATCGGTACTGGTTTTGCTTATGCAGGCCGCTTGCTCCGCATATGTACCCGTCACCGTCTGCGGCTACCATCGGCGAGGAATGGTTAACGACAATGGTGGGCTAGCTTAGCCGCATGCAACCATCAAGCATGCCACAGTCACCAGAAAGCCCAATTGAGAGGAGTTCGCCCAGTCTTTGCCACATGTAGCCTTGCGAAGACATCGAGGCAGCTGAAGAAGGGTGTTTGCGGGATGCCTTGGAAGGTTGTAAGAGGCAGCCGAGGTGAAATGAAGCTCTCCAGCACAGAAGTGAAAGGCTGCGTCGATGTTACGGCGGGTGCAACACGTGTTGACAGAACCAAAGACGTCGCTAGGAATCCGAAACCTTTCGATCGCCCAGCTCGACGTCAGCTTGCAGAGCCTGCGCCAACCTTGCCGGAGAGCAGCGAGAAGATAATGCCAGTCTGCTGCTTTTCCGGTGCAGCACGCTCCGGTGAACTGGGCAGTGCATTCTCCTCGTTCGCCAGCGCATCTCGGTTGCAAAGGCATTTGCGAAACTCTGATCATACTGTGTCAGATTGTCCTCCACTCTCTTGCACTCCCAAACGATGAATATCACCCGATGCTAGGGCCATCCAATACATGCATTCACCCGCAAAGGTCGCTCTTGGGGAGCACTGCGCTGTGGCGACGTCCTAAGCACCAACGGTGGTTCGAAGTTGGGAGTGCTACAGTAATATACAGTAATGCAAGGCAAGGCATGCGAAAAGCCAGTGAGAGACAGAGAGAGAGAGAGAGAGAGAGAGAGAGAGTAGCCATTTTGGCTCAAGGCCGTGAGTGGTTCAAGGCCCGAGCCCAAAACAGTGAGAGAGAGAGAGGGCCTCAAACCGCGGGGTTCATGTGAGAAAGTGCAGAAAGGGGGAGCAATCAAGATCAACGGCACGATCGCTGCCCTTTGCGTCTACGCCGTGCGGGTTGCTGCCGGGGAGCTCGTGGTGTTCGAAGCTCATCGTGACCTGTGCGTTGAACATTCGGGAGATTCTTAACCGCACCTTGAGGGGGATCGGCGAGCCTACAGGACATCGATCACTACTACACGATCCGCCGCACCGAGAACATGTCGACTGGCAAGGGGGACGCAGCGGGCGCACCCTCTAAGAGGAAGGCCGAGGAGAACCCCGTCGATGGACAACCTCAGAGCTTATCCCTGGACCTGATTCGTGAAGCAATCCGGGGAGAGATCAAGGAGGCCGTGGGGGAGTTCCGACACGACATGCAAACAGTCAATCGGCGAGTGGATTACGTGGAGTCACAGGTCACGCAGAAAATGCAGCAAACCCTCAACATGCTCGATGAGATGTCGATGCGTGGACAGAAGCACGGGGAGATCTTGGAACAACTACAAGAGGCCAACCGTGAGTTCAACCACAGAATCTCACGCCTCGAGAAAGGCGGGGGAAGTGCTGTTGGCTCCGCTGACTCCACCACAGCAACTACATGGGAGGGGAACAAGCCACCAGCACTGGTCATCGGGGGATGGGACGCAGATCAAGATGCAGCGACTACAAGGGAGGAGGCGGAGAATATCCTACGAAGTGTGGAGGCACCAATCCCAGTCCAGGGGATGTTCGTCCCTGGTGTCCGCAGAGGATATGCGATTCTCCCCGTCGATGAGCGCATCGGGGAAACCTGGGAGCAACGCAAGACGAGGATCCAGGACACCATCAACAAAGTGAGGGCGGCCAACGTCCAATTGGGACAGAGACCGGACGGCACCTCCCGCAAAGTTTGGATCGCGCTATCTCAGCCGCCGGAGAAGAGGCGCCGTGCGAGACTTGCGGCAAAAGTGAAGCGTCTCTATTTGAGCCTTGGCGGGGATAAGAACCTGCTGCAAATGGAGTATGGAAGCGGCAGTGCATGGATCGACGCCCACAAAGTGTGCTCAGCTACCGCCCCGCAGCCACCCAACACACTTGAAGCCGGACCCGGATGGGTGGATCTGGACTGCATTGCCAGAGCAGTCGGCAGAAGCAAGACAGCAGTGGAGAAGGAGTGGACCCCGCTAGCGGCGGAGATCCACTGAGACGGGGAAGGAGACATGTTTCACCACCGGGGGAACGGGGAACCCGTTACCACCAAGGAGCTGGCCGTTTTGGCTTGGAACGTCGGGGGGATTACGGCAGAAAAGTTGCTGGACGCCTCCGAAACTTTCCACACCGAGACTCTATTCCAAAATGGAGAAGTCTTCATGCTGCAAGAAATCATCACGGCACCGGGGCTGTTTCACATGGAGAACGACCGTTGGCAACTTGTCTACGGCAAGGCAGAGGGAGAGTTCAGGGGGGAAGGGGTGCTCCACACCAACCGATTCAACCACAAGCAAAGCAGTGTCATGGGGGGAGGGGTGGCTACCACACTCATACCCACCACAGGGGGACAGCCCTTCCGTGAACAAAACCTCCGTTCTGATAAACTGCTGGTGGGGATCGATGCAAACGAAACCTTTGTGAAGCCTCGACCCGGAGCCATTGGTTGCACCGCCAACACAGCGAGGGGGGAGCTTATTCTACAATGGGCCCAAGACCTCCGAATGAAGTTCCCGCCACAGGACCTTGACACCCCCACCTACCACCCGTACAACCCATTACAGCAATCACGCCGGCTGGACTACATCTTCTGCCGGGGCATAACGACGAGCTCAGGGTCAGTCGTGCAATGCCGAGACAGACTGGCGTCCGACCACGACGCAGTGTTGCTGGAGATGTTCCAAAGTCGTCAACAGCTGCCTCACAAAATCACCTGGGGGCCGCGTCGACTTCGACCGGACGACCAGGTACGCTCACTGCTCAGAGTACCACCACCAAGAGGGGAAGACCCACACCGCACCCTCGCAACTATAGCCAAAGCCATCACAGTGCCGGGGGGAGACAAACAGCACTTCAAGGAAAGCGCTGCGCTAAAGCAACTGAGACAAGCAACCCTAGCATTGCCAGCGGGCGCAGCGGCCAGACAAGCATGGAAGCAAATTAGCAAGCAGAGGAAGCAGGAGCAGCGAGCATGGAAGCAAGCCCTTGCTGACAAAGCGGCCAACTTGGACTGGAATGCGCTCAGAGCTTTGCAGCAAAAGGAATCGACCAAAGGCTGGCACCTGCAACTCCAGGATGATCCAGATTGGCAGGACAAGCTGCGAAAGCATATGGGAGGGATTTTTGCTAAACCACAGGGGGACGCTAAAAGCAGCGTTCGTCTTGAAGAGCTACGACAGCTTCTGAGACGAAGATGCAAACGCACTCCCTGGATACCCTTCGAAGTGGGGGAACTCAACATCACAGCCAGCAAGTGGGCTAGCAACAAAAGCACAGGGCCGGACGGCATCTCACATGAGGCGGCGAAAGCCCTGCTGCTGGATGGGGAATGGAGAGATCGGGTATTATATCTTCTCAACGATATGTTTTACACCGCGAACATTCCCGGGGGGATCGAAGCCAGCATCACCGTGTTGTTGCCAAAAATTCCACGACCACTCCAATGGGGGGATACACGCCCTATCACGTTACGTTAAGTTCCACGCTGTTGAAGTGGATCGCACAACTTCTCCTCCATCGGGGAGGCGATGAAATCCGTGATGGGGGGGAAGGCGTGCAGTGGGCGAGAAGGGGGCGGCAAGGTGTGGAACTGGTTGCTATCCTGAGACGTGTGGTACAAATGTCACGTGACTGGGGGGTTGGGACATGGATTGTTAAATTGGACATCCGAAAAGCGTTCGACAGCATTTGGCAGCATAGCCTCGGGGAGTTGGTTGCTGCGCGGGTGGGGGGAGTGGGCTCAGCCAGATGGCCAACTCCACAGAATGGGGGGAATAAACCATGGGAGGCCCTTCTGTGGATCAGCCTGTTGGAAACCAGAGCCATCAACGTCGCCCTTGCCAACACCATTACACCAGTTAGCCAGTCGAACGGCATTCGACAGGGGTCACCCGATTCACCCGACCTTTTCGGGGCGGTCGTTGCGCCATTCGCAAAGCACCCAAGCAACCCAAGGACGCCCAAGGGGGGGAACCACCACCCCAAAGCGGGGGGAGTTTCCTCGACGACACATATCTATGGTCGCAGAACAAACAACACCTTCAAGCCCTGCTGCACAACCTTGAAGCAGAATTGCGCGAAGATGGTCTACAAATACATCCCACGAAGACCGCAATCCTCCACAGCACTGCAGAAAACACTGGCACCTTTGAGATTGGCGGGGAACAAGTCGAAGCACAGCCCTTTGGCACGATCATCAGTGTGCTCGGTTCTCCCCTCACGTTCGAAGATCAGGTCGCAGCCATTGTGGGGGAAATGAACCGTCGAGCCCGGCAAGCCTTTGCAAAGCACCATGATGTCCTGGTAGCGCGCACAAGATTCCGCGCTAGGGCCAAAGCATACCTGACGCTGGTGAGGGGGGCGGCGCTCTACGGGGCGGAGACCTGGCCGGTCAGCCAAAGCTTTTTGAGGGCCGTGAACTCCACACAAACAAAGCACATCCGAGCAATGTTACACCTCGAACGCCGACCCACCGAAGCATGGGCTGAGTGGCATACGCGCACACTACGCCTTGCAAGAGTCCACATCCAGAGGGGGAACATCCAGCGCTGGTCGAGCTATGTCTTGTTCCGAATCTGGGGGCTCTGGGGCCACATCTCCAGGGGGGGCCAACAGTCAACAGCATGGTTACATGGAAGGACCTGAAGTTCTGGAGGACAGAGCAACAGAAGCCACGCAGCAAGCGCATCAATCATGCAGGGCGCTTCAACCCGGAAGGGGACGTCGAACGAGCACTTGAGTGCATTGCAGGCACAAACTGGGGGGAGGTGGCCGCAAACCGTGCAAGATGGAATGACCTAGCCAGTCAATTCGTTGAACGCTTCGACGTACCCTGGGCAACGGGCAAACAACCGAGCATCAGAGACAACCTCAGCCCGCACACACGACACTCACAGGGGTCCCAGCACAGTCTCTTACAAAGTGGAGAGGATGGTCAGCACCAACAGCAAAGCCAAGGAAGGGAAAGGGGGCGGATGATGGAATTCTCTCCCTGATAGCCTCATGGACCCAATCTTTGGGGGGATGGTGGTTGCCCAGCCTTACCTCGAGAAGAGGGGGACCATGACCAAACACCTCTGGGGGGGAGCGGTGGTTGCGGAGGCTCCCTTCACGGGAGCGGCAAAAACAAGACAGCAAGAGAGAGAGAACTTTTCCGCGATGGGAACCAACACAACAACTTGATACAAACAATACTGACTACAACAAACATACCACCACGTGGTCTCGTCGTCCGTCTCACTCGACACCTCCCACAACCAACCACCACCACAAGCACAGCGCTACAACCGTTGACTACATGGAGGCGCCAAAAGCATGACATGCAGGCAGCCAACACTAGCTCAAGCAGCAAGATAGGCTCACTACGGGCAATGGCATCAGGCAGCGGCAGCGCAGATGCTGCATCCCTGCAAGAAGCTCCTCCGCAGGGGGAACCAAGTTCTTCGGAGAGCGAGAGCCCGGAGAGCGACCATCCCTTGCGGGGGAACGCCACTTTGAGGCGGCAGGTGCGACGCCAGATACAGCCCCTCTACAACTTCTCGTGGAAGGACGTCGACCTGGTCTGGTCGAAAACAAAGCAGCGACTCTGCAAAACACCAGAGCTCTCGGAGGGGGAGGACTTCTATACACCCACTGTCGAGGAGAAGGAAGCCATCGCGGACAACCTGTACAATATGGCATACAGTTCTATGATGGCTATGGAACTCTACGGCGAGACAGGGGGGAGCAAAGCAGTCTTGGAGCAGCAACCCTACCATGGCAGCAAGCCTCTGGTGTGCCGTCAAAATAAGAGGGGGAGCTGGAGCGGCTCATGCGCCCCCAGTCGCCAGCCGCCGAAACAGCCAACCCTGGGGGAGGCAGTACTCGCGAGACAGAGCTTGACGACACCGCTGTGGGGGAGCACAGAGACCAGACGACCGCTACCGGGGAGAACCTGACAGGGCCAACCAACGAGCTAAAGGAGAACCAGCCGAACGACTTGCAAGCTTCAAGGGGGGAAAAGGTTAAAGAAGAACCATCGCCCGACTGGAGCGACCTGGCGGAGGACTACCTGGTCAAGACGCCACCGTACATAGAGGGGAGCGGCTCGGAGACTGACTACCCGAGCCTCCTGGACCCACGCAATGACGGGGGGTGGTCGACCCCACCCAACCTGTTCGACACAGTGAAGAAGATGGTGGATGTGACAGACCCTTCTGATGCTGCGCTATGGGCCGTCTTTCGGATGCCACCTATGTACGCCGAGCAGAACCTCGACCCTCAAGACGGGGGAAGTGCTGCAGAAAGTGCAGCTGCGAACGCCATGCTCCACAAGGCCACTGAGGAGGTGAACGATGAAGCTGGGGTTGTCGAAGTAGCAACCGAGCCGCCGGGGGACAACCGTCTCACCTCGAAGGCGGGGGGAAGCTGTGGCAACTCGGCCAAGCTATCCATGACCGCAAAATGCGTGAGTCCGTGGTTACAGGACGAAGCACTTCGCACCAAGCAAGGTCCTTGAGGGTGACACGCCCAGCAAAGCCGACGGGGCTTGCAGCACGGCTCCTAGCAGTGGCCCGCAGTGTGGACAGAGAAGAACGTGCCCAGCCTACAGCGTCTACGTCTTCGGGGAGAACTCCAGGCAGAACCTTCCCAGCTGGGGGGAGACCAGAGGACCGGACGGTGATGGCCCGGGGGGACGAAGACCAGCGACCTCCACTGAAACGCAAGCGAGTGAGTGGCAAACGCCACAGTGTAGGAGTCCGGTGAAGCGTGATGCGGATGCCTCAGTGTTTTTTGCATTTAGAGTTGTTTCTGTTTGCCTTGTTGGGGGAAAGATGCACCGCAAAACAACGTAGAGACCCGATGCCAGTGACTACCGCCGGGGGACTGCAGCTAAACCTGAGCAGCGTCCTTGACCTTCTGTCTTTCAACATGTCCTTGCTTTGTAACTGGGGAACGCGAAGTGTTTCAGCAGTCGTAGCTACCTGTAGTTGCGACGAACTTGCATTTCAGTCTGGGGGGGATTGCCAGCATGAGTTACTACTTTCGCTGTCGTAATGCGTGTTGTTTCGACCTTGGCTTAGTACTGTGATGTGGCACACCTCCTGAACCCTGCTCTGTAATTTGTTTGTGCATCCTCTAACAAAGGGGAACACCGCTCTCGAGGACAATTCCTGGACGTAGTTGAACTTAGTGTTTGATTTGTGGGGGAATGTCCAGCAAAAGTCCTATTGCAGGTGGTCGCAGTTGAAGTACAGCTGAGCCCCTTGTGACCAAGTCATGGGGGGAGGACCTAAATCCTGCGGACTGCAGGTGCGCGTTCGCGTGCGGCAAGGGTAGCGTCCGCTGCCTCTGTCCTACCTGGCAGAGAGAGAGAGAGAGAGAGAGAGAGAGAGAGAGAAACAAAGAGGGACCGAAGCACCGAACAGGGGGGGGATTCTCCACTCATCTGCAGTATAGACCTCTTTTTGTTTTGCTGTTGGCACGAACATGGGGGGGAGGAACCCTAGCAGCCCTGAACTCCTGTAAAGCCAAGCCTCTGGGGGAAAACCCTCGTGAGGAAACCAAGGACAACCCGTCAACTGCGGGTGTGCGCTGCGCACGAGGGTCAGAGCCCGGACGCTGCTCTGCCCTCACGCCCGGTAGAGAGAGAGAGAGAGGCTTCCCTTTGGCCGAGTGCAAGCAAGAGAGAGAGAGAGAGAGAGAGAGACAGAGAGAATCAGTACAGCCAAGCCCATCAACCAAAATGGTGGATGGGGCTGCTCGAAGAGCGGGGAAGGGGGACTGCCCCTTCTCCTCGTCCCGGAGCAAAGCAAAGCAAAGAGAGAGTGTCTGTGTGAGCGTGAGTGTGTGAGACAGAGACGCGACTTCGGCTTCATGAACCCAGACGACCACAGCGAAGACTTCTTCGCCTTGGGATGGCACAAAGGCCTGGGCTAATGGGACGAGGTCCGTTTCGATGCTGAGAGCGACGAGTGCAAAGGCAGCGTCTTTTTGGAGAATGGAGGAGGTGTCAGCGGAGGTGGGACAGGCGTGCTGGGGAGAAGCTGACCTGAGGAATCAGGGTGATACACTTCAAGGGGGGGAGAAATGTTTTCGTTAGTCCTGGGCACAGCCCTCGCAGTCTGGTTTAAACTCAATCCTTCACTGAGTACCAGCATGGCGTGGTCTTCAGTAGCAGTAGCCGTTTGCTCGAAGCAGCGAATCCTGCTGACGGTGGGCAGCAAAGGGCCGCAACAGAAAGAGAGCGAGAGAGACAGCGAGAGAGGGAGAGTGTGTGTATGCGCGCATGTGTGTCTGTCCGGCAGTGCGGCGCGACGATGTTCATGTTTTCATGCGTGCAGCAGCGCAGCAAAACTGCAGTTTGCAACTGAACGTTTCCCAGGATACTATGGACGCATTTGGTCGTTTCGGCTTCACCACCCTGGCCCAGTGCCTGTCCTTTGGCTAAGCATCATGACTTCAGGTCAGCGAAGAATCGGCGAGTTGCATGTGACATACCCGGACGATTTGTGAATCCTGTCAGCAACAACCCGATGCCTTTCATTGCCTTTCTGTCCCAAATGCTTCCAATGTTGCTCTAGCACTTATCGCTTCGGTGCTGACTTGAATCGCCTGTGCGTAGGATTGTGTGAGGCAAGACTGGCCGATTGTTCCTAACCCTTCAACCCATTTCCTGGGCTTTCCCCTACCCCGACGCTCTGCTCTGCACGAGCCGGCTGGTTCGTTTTGCCGGGCCTCCGCATCTGAGGTTTCTGGCCGTGCCCAACTCCAAGGCCGTCTCCTCTCTCGCAATTTCTGGCAGATGCCATTAAAGAGAGAGCAAGTATTATTTCTTATTATAGTAGTGGATAGTTGATATATCAACTATCTATTATTATAATAAGAAATGATACTATGAGGCTAGCTCAGCCTCTTAGACTCTGTTTGGCAGCACACCATTTGATCGTCAGTGACCGTGAATCGCTCGACCATGCCTGGCTCTGGCAGGGACGCTGATCCTGGGTGGTTGGAGCTTGGGGGCTTTGCCTGCGAGGCCAGACATGGCCTATTGAACTATTGAAGGCTGCTTGTCATTGAGACCAACTTGCACTTCGTAGTGCTTTGAGTTCGACAAGACGGAGGCAAGTCGCGCACTGCTTGGAGATGATGGAATTCCAAGCAGGGGCCTCAGTCTCAGAACTTCAGGCCACTGGGCGGCTTGATCATGCGAGAACGTGGTTTCAGTCAAACATGTCTATTCAGTTCGACCACACATCATCTGAACCCTTTAGCCCTAAACACAAAGCCCTTAACCCTGAAGGTCTACGCGCTGTTTGCATTGGACGAGCGCACCTGCCGAGTGGCCGAGCCCATTCAGCGTTTGGCAGCACGACGTGCGCTGGCAGGCGAGTTTTTGCACCGGAATCTTGTTTTTGTCCAGCATGTGGGAACTGAGCCTGCCATTTTTGTTGTGTGAGTTCTTGCACCAACAACAGTTACTTTGTGTCTAGCCTTAACTATTCCCTGGTATTGCTTTGATTCATCGTTTGCGCCCACTTTCATGCTCAGTGTACGCTGGCTTCTGGAGAGGCGAAGCATTGGGTCCCCGCTTTCGCAGTGCTGCCATCAGCTCCTGGGACTTGTTTGCTTCACATCTTCCTAGTCGTAGAGTAGGGAACCTTTAACCGTCCCTATAAAATACCGATGTAACCAAAAAGGTTAACCTTGAGCTCACCATGATACTCGACAAGTAGGTTGCTTCACATCTTTAGAGGCGTGCTAATACGGGCCCGGGGGTGCCTCAGTGACTCAATGCAGGCCGAGACCATGCCATGGCAACTCGCTCCATTCATACATTTTGACATACATACGTTACATACGTACATACATGCATACATACGTACATGCGTACATGTCTGGACACACAACATCAAACAGAGACAGAGGTTGACATAGATAAGATCAACATGTCCGTGCTCTGTTGTCCCTTTGGATGTTGGAAGCGAGAAAAGATAGAAGGGTGTCTGCGATTAGACAGTTGAAGTTTGAGACGCCTTAGACTTCAAGCTTGGGCCGTTTGGGGAATCTTCGGCAGCTTGCTGACTGAAGCTCGCACGGCATCGTATTCAGAACTTTGTAGCAGTGAAAACGTCCATGTCCTCTCAGCCACAGACGAAGGACCCCAAAGCTAACTTTGGGACTCTTCCCATGCCGCTCTTAGCTTCTGTCCCTCTTTTGCTTCAGGCATCCACTTCACCTGTCCGCGTTTTCGAGAAGTTTGCATGGAAGGACCGTGGCCTAGCACTGTTCCCTTACTGCCGCGTCTTCAACCTGCTGATTAAACAATCTTCGCCGACAAGAGTTAAGCCGCCCCACTTTTGTAGGATGGCCTTGCTGATACCAGGTCAGGACTTTACGCGGCGTGCTGCAAATGATGGTCGCGTCAGCTCTACAGCAGCCCTGCACAGTGCTACTTGGTGCAATGCTGTGATGTCGTCGAGAGAAGCTGCCATGGAGTGATTAGAATGGCCGACGGCAAACTGGTGGAAGCAGCAGAAGCTTTTATTCACGCGCGCTCGATCTTGCTTGTGACATCGCCACATGTTTAGCATTGACAATCTGAGCTGAGGCTCGATCGCACTTCCCCTTCTTCAGCGACGCACGCCATTTTGACATCGGCGTGAGTCATGCAAGGAACTGAAGTCTTCTTGGCGGCCATTCGCCATGCTATCGCCCAGTCTTGCAATGACGTTTTAAGGCCTGGGACATTTATCGTCATCTGCAAGGCTGAGCCCCAGCCCCAAACCACAAGTTCCCAAGGACAGGACTGCACGGAGCTAGGAGCACATAACCAGGATCTGTGCTGCCAATGACAGGACCGCAGCGAGTCCGAGGAGTCTTTGCGTCCCCGTGATGGATCTCCAGGCGGGGCTCAAGGAACTCTGACAAAGGCAAGTCTTTTGCTCAGCTTCATGAGGTCGGTGGCCATGGGACCTTTTTCTGGAGTGTTGGCATCTATATCATCCGCGCCCGTCGCGAATGGCCACAGAGTCTGCAGGCACTGCCTAGGCCTAGGTCCCTAGGTGTCGCGAGTCTTCTTTGCAGTGTAATCCCTGTTTGCGGAGGCACAGAAGCAGGGACAGGATGCCGCCGCATGCTTCTGACGTCGGGCTAAATGGGCGCAAAACAGAAATAGTAGTGTGCAGTTGCATGCGCAATGCGTGGGTATGAAGCAGCATGATGCGTGGTGTGGCTGTGCATGATCTTGCCTTGATCTTTCTTCTATTGAACCAGAAGTGACTTGTGCGTGCAAGCAGTTCGTCGACCAGCACACAAGCTGAAACCCTTGAGCCATCAAACCCTTAAACCCTAAGCCCTTCTCCCAAAAAGCCTGAAGCGTCAAAACCCCCCCAACAAAAAGCCGAAGAGCGTAAACCCTGACCCCTGCACCCCAAAACCAAACCCCCCAAAAGCCCCGGAAAACCCAAAACCTTAAGCCCCAAAGCCCGCAAAAAACCAAAATCAAATCGGAGAAAAGCACTAAACATATTGGGGAAAAAATATTTTTCCCCAATATGTTTAGTGCTCATGACGGCCAATGCCCGCATCGCGCCGAGCACTCTCCAGCCAAGGGGCCGAGGCCCAGTCTTGCTTTTGGGTGTTGTACTATATCCATTATACATATATATATATATATATAGGTATGTATGTATATTATATATATATATATATATACATATGATGTATATATGTAGATACTATAGTACACTATAATGTAATGGAATGTAAATAAGACAATAAAATAAAATATGAAATATCTAGATGTGTATATATATATATATATGAACATGTTTTGTATGTGTACATGTACACGTATATGTACATGTATGTGTATATGTGTATGTAGATGTAGATGTCTATGTATATATGTGTGTGTATGGGTTTAAGGCTTAGGAGAGTTTCTTGCGACCTCGGGGTCATTGTTTCGGCGTAGGAGTCGGTTTTGTCTTACATCGGGCTTAAGGATAATTGCTGACTTGTCAGGTTTAGGGTTGCGGATGTTTCTTTCTACATGGCCATGACAATAACAGTGTCATTGCTATGATGGTGATCTTTATCTTTTTGACTTGTTGCCACATTGCCATCTTGCGACATTGTTTACTGTTTGCTCACCTGTTTGTTCTTCACAACAGAGCCTCGGAGCTTCCCAATGCTTCGTCGAGCGTGCCGCAGGTCTCGGAGCTTCAACATGTGCTACTCCGCATCTTGTGCTTCACCCAGAGGAGGGCTCGGAATGCGAGGCAGTTGAGGTCAACGTGACACTGCTCCAAGGTGCCGCTAGTGGGAAGCGTCCCCAGCTACACCTTGCATCTTGACTGTAAGACCAGCAGGGCACTTGCGGATTCAAGGCCGCATGCGCCAGTAGTGCTCCTCTTCTGTTCAACGTTACTGTTGTTATCATTGTCACGTTTGCTCTTCTTGCTCCTGTCTTCTTCGGTTTTCACTGATCACCCCTCACTGACATTGGACAAAACAGCCTGGGAGCCTTGCAAGGCTTGCGAATGCATCATATTGGAGCCTCTGCAACGGGCGCTCGACGAGGGGTCTTAAACCAGCGGTTCTCTCCTTCGATTTATGCTCGCATGTCGATTCTGGACCCCATGGGAACGTGGTCTCGAAGATGCTGTCTGGGTGATTGAATATGTTGTGGAGCCGTTGCAGGTAGAAGGGCAGTTTACTAATCTCACCGAGTGCCATGAGTGCTTCGGGTGACTCTGCTGGGAGTGACTTCGGCAGCTTTCTGTGCGGAAGGTCTGCCCAAGCGCACAGCGCACAGCAATTATTGTTATTCTTCTTATTGTTATCATCGTTTGGTGTCTTCTGGCTGTTATTCTTATGATTCGTACAACTGCTGCCATCATACCTTAGAGCCTGAGCTTCGCCGTAGTAGCTCTCTCGGAATGAGAAAAGTCAGAAAAGCCGCGCCATTGGTCTTGTCGTGCGTTTTGATGAGGCCCGAAACCCTAAACCCCTCAACCCTAAGCCCTAAACCCTAAAACCCTAAACCCTAGAGCACTAAAGCCCTAGGCCCTAAACCCTAAAACCCTAAACCCTGAAGCCAGGCATGGCTCCGTTTGCGTCGTGACCGGTGCAAGTCGCGGGGTTGGACGCGGCATCGCTCTGGAGCTTGCAGCAGCAGGCAGCCAGCAGGACTTTCGTACACGGCTTGGAGTTTAGGGGTTTAGGGTCTAGGGTTCAGGGTTTAGGGTGTAGGGTTCTTCGTGTTCATCTCGGAGAAGCTTGCTTAGTTGATGCCGGAGAATGCTACTTGTAGAAGATCTCTACAATAATAGTAATAATGACAGTAATAATACTAGTAATAATAATGGTAGAAGATCCCTATACCATGGTGCAGGCTGCATCGTCTACGTGACGGGCCGGTCAACTTCCTCTCGGCAAACCGAGGCGGATCCTCTTGTGAAGCTGAGATCCTACTTCGTCAAGGTCTCCTTATTATCATTATTGTTATTATTATTATTATTGTTATTAATTTTTTTTCTTATTTATTATCGTTGCAGTATAATGAGCCCCAAGACCCCAGTCTAATTATTAAGGCTCCCCATATTACTTCGTCAGGGGTTCAGGGTTGAGGGGCCAGTTGGCAAGCAAGGTGCTGCTACAAGGATCCGTGGATGCCACGGCCAGCGCTGCCAGCCGACGAGGTGGTGCAGGCAGCTTCCCTTGTGTCTGGGGAGGAATGGGTTTACGTCCAGAATCGCCGAACTATCCACGGCCGAGGTCGACAACACTACAGGGTCACTACAGAATGGTTGTTGTTCCCATTATCGGTGCATGCGTACTTTTCCGGTTCTGCCGACTTGACGGGTTGCGCTTGGACGGTATCGGACTAGGGGTTTAGGGTTTAGGGTTTGGGACCCTTGCATTGGCGACTCGCGCCCTTACCAGGCGTAGCGGCCTACATCGATCACACGCTGGATGATGAGTCGAAGCAGTTTTCTGCCCGCAGAGCTTTGAGAGTTTCGACTCCGGGGCTACACGGGCCGCGGGAAGGTTTGTGAAGCTGCTCTCCGAGCTACACGGGCGGCTTGACTTGCTCGTTCATGCCCCAGAGAGCCCAGAGCTCGAATCTCTCGGATGGCTCCAGCCCTCCAGCCCGGCTAGAGCTCCGAGGTGAACAACGCCTTTCTGATGCCAAAGCCGGACACGCTCTTCTTTTCGGCTCCCGTGTGGCAACAACCCTGCAGGTCTGTGTTGGTTGTCGGTGCTAAGCTGGGCGGAGGGGATTGTTTTGGATGAGAGGCTCTTGGACGAGCAATTCTGCATCGGAGCTCGTAACCATGTGGTACTCTCTTTGACACTCGGCCGCCGCAGGGGAGGGACAGAAGGCCCTTTAGGGCTCGTGGCTGATCCTGTGCATATTGGCCAGCTGTGAGGTTGTCCCGAGATCTCTTGAGCAAGGCACGTGGATGTGTTATCAACGTCGCTTGTCTGATTCTTTAGATCGGTTTCCTCTTGAGCCATTTCCGTCCGACTCACCTGAGTGGTAAGCACTTGCGCAGGATGAGCCATAGCTGTTATTGGATCACAACTGCTGCGTTGTGAGTTGAGATTGCGCTGCGTACATGTGCCTTGTTTTGGATACTACGTAGCATGTGCTTGAGGTGAGCTCTGGTGGGTCGCAAGGGAACACCCAGGTGGGAAAGACTTGAATCAATTCCTTTCAGGATTCCGCACCGTTGTGGGGTTTTCGACGCAAGCTGTTATTTCGAATGATAAGGTTATCCACGTGCGGCTAATCCAAGCAGCAGACTCCTCTCTTCGAGGTCTTCCCCGTGGCATATCACGTGAACAAGGCTGCCTGCATGCCACGAAGCACGAAGCACCATCTCAGCCTGAAAATCAACATCGCAGGCTGCATACGACCGAATGGTACTGGCTCTCGCATGCCAGCTACAGAACTGCTCCGTGAGCGCTCCTCGGCTTCTAGAGAGAGTCCCCCCCGTTGGTCCGTCTTGCATGGGACTGGCTTGTCTTTGCAAAGCAGGTGCTGACGCTCTGGCCAGGCGCGTTGTTGGGGACTGGGGGCGGCTAGGAGCTGCCAGTAATCCGTGGGTTCGATGTGGTGAAGGCTCTGTCGCGACGGAACGGATGGTGGTGGGCAAGCGTCGCTTTCAAGGCAGGATACAAGCCGCTAAGCCGATACACGAACCTACAAGGGACCCCATCCAAACTGCATGTGCATTCTTGCCACGCGACATGGGTAATTGCTGCTCGGCCAGGATGGCTGACTGATCCGGAGACGACGCTCTTCTCTGGTCGAGCCGTGGTCAAGCTGGGCGAGCTCAGCGCCGAGGCCGACCGCGTCGCAAGGTGGCTTTCGGGTAACTCTTCAACAGCAGTTGCAGGCGCGTCTTCGACTGTCTGGGAGGCTGCAACATTCAGCAGCATGCATGAGATGAAAATGCAGGAACTGCGTGCTGTGCTGCTGAGCAGGACTTTGACGACGGTCGAGGTGAAGCCCCCGCTCTGGGACAGCCAACCGATTCCAGCTCAACTACAGCTGTATATCACTGTCCAGGTCCTGTATATGTCCGGCGGCTTCGATGTGGATGGCTACCGTAGCGGCCCTGCAATGCGGATGGTTCACATATCAGTCCCCTTTCCTTGCTCCAGGTCATGATCTTCAGCGAGAAGCTTCCTTTGCGATTGCTCAATACTTCTCGGAAGTGCTGTTCTCAGCATGCTCAGCCTGATGAGAGCACTCTTGCACCCGGCGCAAATCGGCTGCTGCGGGAACCGCTCTAAAGGAAGCACCCAGTCAAGCTCGTGATACTTAGCATCTCACTCTCGCCGAGGCTTCTGCGTGCCCGTGATGTATTGTTACGTGCAGCGCATCAGTATGTCGAACCCATCACATCAGCACATATCAGCACTACTTTTCAGCTCACTGCATCTGTATGTCTACCTGCATCAGAGCTCCATCATCGCCAAGGAACAAACAATCCTGAACAAAGTAAATACGGAGACCATGGCTGATAACATTTGCAGCATGTGGACAAAACGCGGAGAGCATCGCCATCCATGTAGTTCCAAAGTGCCGTCAACGTGATAATCATCAAATTTTGTAACACAGCCCAATCACGGCACTGTCTTCTGCAACCTGAGGCACCCAGCATGACGAGAGTTGTGAATTGAGCTTGCCGGGACAAAGACTTTCTGGCAAAATCTGGCAGAAACACGTTTTCGATAACTTGGTTGTCTTTATCACGAAGGCCGTCTGAAGGCCCATATAGCTGTCTCCGCCCCGATCTTCCTCGCCCAATCCCCTCCTTCACATCCTATCCCAAAGATAAATCTTTTCACATATTTATATATAGATGCTACCCCTCTCAGTTATCAACTTTTCGCGGCTTTCGACGGCACGTATTGAGCTTTTGATGCTAACGCGCGTCTTTCTCTCGCTCTATCTCTTCATCGGTTCTGGCATTGTGCTGTGAGGATTTATGTATCTTTATCTAGGGCAGGCGTATCATAGTCACCATAATGAAACAAAGATAGTCCTAAAGCTTGTAGCAGGATCGGGTCGCGAGGATACAATTAAGGGCCGGCTAATATTCTGGGAGGAGGGCAACCATTCATGATACTCTTGCAGCTGAATCTTAGGGATTACGTTGCGGGTATTCTATTGAGGGTACTATCAGAGTCGATATTGGGACATATATGAAAGTCGAGGCTAGGAGTCAATTTGTAAGAAAGGAATCACTGTAATTTCATAATTATGCTTTCTATAATCTAGAGGTAAAATTTAGAATTACCGTTAGAACGAATATGGCGCGTCGATATTATTTGGGTAATAAATATTGGTAGCAATAAATACTACTATAAGAACGATTATAAAATAATATCGTATCATTTGAAGATCTACTATTATATAATCGTTTATTAATATATTATATTTCATAATTTTTGATATTGAAATATATATAATTTTTCATATTTAGGTCGATATAATAAAGATTCAATACTATAGATGATTCTATTTTGATTTTCTTTTCGATAATTCATATTCATTTATTTAGAAATATTTATTTCGAATATGAATCTAAATATGAATTCAAATTTAAGATTCTAATACGAATGATATATCTGAATCGAGATTTAAATTAGAT